TCAGGCCTGAGGAACTTAAGCAGGAACTTGGTGTGGGATTTGGCTCTGGGACAAGAAAGTTCTGATGTACCTGTTCTTCCTCTCAGGGAAGCCAGCATGGGCACCGCTTGTGGGAGAAAGGAGTGCCAGCTTGGCAGGTTGGTCACGGAAGGGCAAAGCATGATGGGAAATGAAAGATGGTCCAACAGAAGATGTTGCCTGCTGATAAGGAGAGGCGAGTGGGAAAGGTATTTCAACAAAGCAAGTCTTCAGAAGATTAGGAACTGTTCTGCAGGAGCACTCATTGTGTTCCTCAAGCTTTTGAGAGTTGGACACACACACACACAGAAACACACACACATATTCTGGATTAACAGCAATATAAGTAATCCTCCTGAATCAGATTAGCAGTCATGGGATAAGGCATTGCGTAAGCCTTTATTTAATGGAGGGGAGGTTGTAGCCTCCACCTGCCCCTTCTCAATAAGGGCATCCTGTTAAAGGGATCCAGGGGTGTGGATCCTGTCCGAAGCCTGGACATGGGCTAGAGCCATGCCATGACCCAAAGGTGACCCCTTGGGTGCCCCTACTTGATGTAAGTCATAGGGCTCCCCCTTTTCTTGGTTTGTCCTTAATTCGACTCCCTGCAGATGGACGGGAGTCAAGATATAGTCTGGCTTCACCCAAGGCCTAAGCCAAACCACTCACATCTGTATCCAGTAAAGTTGTGGCCTGTTTTAGCCCATTAAGCTATATACTTGTGTCTGTACATTTATTGGTCAATAGGGAACTGCAGGGCAAGGGACCTTGGCACGCTAGAGGAGAGTTCCTCTGGTAGATCAGGAACTGGCTAAGTTGCAGGAAGCAGAGTCGGAATAAATGGATTGTTCCTGGGACACCGATGAAAAACTGTAGCCCTACAAGGATCAGTACTGGGACCTGTGCTTTTAAACTTGTGCATAAATGATCTAGAGTGAAGAAAAAGCAGTGAGGGGGTCAAGTTTATTGGGTGAGACTAAATCGTTCAGGGTCATCAAAGCAAAAACGGGATTGTGAAGAGCTCCAAAAGCATCTGAAACGGAATCTGAGTTTCCCAACCGTAAAACGGCAAAAGCAATTCAATGTAAACACGCTGAAAGTGTTGCATGCCAGGGCAAAATAAAAATTAAAAAAAATAATAATTTCGCAAATGTGCTAATGGGGTCTGAATTGGTGGTGATTGCCCAGGAATGAGAGACTGGACTCGATGAAAACATTGGCCCATTGAGTGGCAGCTGTGAAAAAGGTGGATTTCAGCAGGAAAGGAATTGAAAATAAAAGAGCTGATATAATGCCATTATGCAAATCTATGGTGCAACTGAACTTGGCGTTTTATGTGCAATTCTGGTTGCCTCATCCCAAAAAGGATATTGCAGAGTTGGGAAAGATTCAGAAAAGGGCAACTAAAATGAATCAGATGGTGGAGCAACTCCCCTACGAGGAATGGTTACAACATTTGGGTTTTGTTTTTTTAGTTTAGAGAAAAGCAGAGCAAGGGGAGATATGGTAGCTAAAGTCATGTATTGAAGTCCACTTCAGTGGATAGCGGACAGAGAAAAGTTTGTCTTTCTCTTTCATAACACTAGAATTTGGGGCTATCCATTGAAGCAGAATGTTGGGAGATCCTGTTAGGATATTGATGTTCCGTTCCACCTTAAGAATAGGCATGTGAAGTTGTTATAAGCCACATGTCTGTATATTTCCAGCACAGCCTGCTGGGAACTTCCGTTGTGTATAGCTTTTGCTTAAGCTTTTTGCTTGGACACAAAGGGGAGCAGACATGCTTTTCCTTTGTCCTGATGCTGAATAAAATGCTTGTAAATACACTTTACATATGCCTCTCTCTGCCCTTCCATTGCAATGAGTTCTTATCTCTGCTGGCTTGCGTACCCAGCTTCTAACGGCTTCTGAAGCTCGGGTCGCAGTTTTGAGCCAGGGTGGTGTAGTGGTTAAGAGCGGTAGTCTCCTAATCTGGGGAACCGGGTTCGCGTCTCCGCTCCTCCACCTGCAGCTGCTGGGTGACCTTGGGCCAGTCACACTTCTTTGAAGTCTCTCAGCCCCACTCACCTCACAGAGTGTTTGTTGTGGGGGAGGAAGGGAAAGGAGAATGTTAGCCGCTTTGAGACTCCTGAAGGGGAGTGAAAGGTGGGATATCAAATCCAAACTCTTCTTCTTCTTCTTCTGATGCTAATCCAAGGACCGGAGTTCGCCTGGCTGCCGGCCGGTGGGCTGGAGCCGGCTGGGGGCTGCTACTTGCCCCTGTTCCCTTGGACACATCCCAACAGATCCAGGACAATCAAGAGAAGGTACTTCTTTGCTTCTGCAAGAGGCAGGGATGGTCACAAACATATTCAGCTGTCAAGAGGGGTTCAACAAATGCATGGAGACAAAACCTCTCAAAGACTCCCCGTCTGCCTTTGTACTTCTGCCATCAGGAATACCAGTAGCTCTCCATCATATAGAATCCAAGTGGCCAAGAATTAAGGCAAGAGCAGACATTTCTCTGATGAAAACTGGGACGTCCCATTCCATAATGATACTTTTACTGTTTATACCCCACACATCTTTCTGGGTCGCCCCCGCCACTCTGGGCAGCTTCCAATGTATATAAAACATAAGAAAACATAAAACATTAAAAAAAACACCACTTCCCTATAAAGGATTGCCTTCAGATGGCTTGGGGGTCGGATAACTCCATACCCTCCAACATTTTTCCGATGAAAATAGGGACATCTTAAGGAAAAGTGGGATGATCACAGGGCATCCCTGATCTATCCTGATCAATTGATCACCCAAAAGGCTTCCCCAAAGAAGCTCAACAACTCTGATCAATCCAGAAAAAAAAGGTCAATCCAATGGGTAGATCATTGTTAGTTTTTTTATAGTGGGAGTAGATCGCAGTATCTTGGGAGTTGGACATGCCTGTCTTAGACTATTATCATTCTCCAGAACTGAGCTCTGCATCGACCTTGAATAAGTGTCAGCTAAGGGATTGGCTCTTCTGGATAGAATCCGGAAGGGACCTGAAACTAATTAGAACACCCAATTCCCCCCTTGGTATCCACTCTTGAGATCAGAGCATTCTAGAGCCAGTTACGTGGCCAAAATCTCACCAGTTTCCTTAAGAAATGACTTTACTGAGCTGCATTTCCAAGTGATGTCCATCACAGTTTTGGATGATCACTGCAACAAGGTTCCTGTATGCAGACAGACTCTGCATTTGTGGTCAACCTCAGGTGGAAGACATCACTCAGCTGTTGGCCTGCCCCTTATAGAGAGACCCAAGAGATCACTTTCTGAAACCTTTGTTCACACAAGCAAGGAGGCGCAATCTGGTAGAAAATGTTAGGGTTGTTTTGTTTTTGTTTTTCTTGAGTGACAATAATAGCTTTGTAGCACACAGAGGGGCCCTCTATGCACTGTCTGCAAAAGAAATCAGGAAAAGGGAGTTAGATATAATCGCTATAAATTGCTGTGGTGATTCAGAGGTTGAATCTGAAATCAAGCAAGATTCAAGCTCATTGGTGTCTCTGGTAACATGTCCTGGATCTTGACATATTATGGATGGGTGTTCTGTATTATCTTATGAATACTACTGTTACAAGTTTGTCATGGCCTCTGGCTTCAAGAAGAACAATATGAATTGTGTGGGATGTAACATAAGCAGTCAAATACAACATTTCCTGTTTGCCTAGAGTGGACATGCAGGGGGATGTTGGTCCAGCCAGTTGAACTTCCTGTTACACCTGGTCTGGAGCATCCTCCCCCTGCATGTGACCAGGTAGGTGGATGTGACCCTTGCAGACCCCACCAAAGGTCCAGTTATGCAGCCCTGTTCCTCTCTTGATGCTCCTCTCTTCCATTTTGGCCACTGCTCCTGATGCTGTCTGCTGGCTCTCTGCCAGCAGCACATGGGCCCATCCTTACAAGGATGTCAGCCACACTGTATCTGTAACTACAAGCTAAAACCTGCCTTCAGGGATCCAACTGTGAACTGAATGTGAGTAAACTTCTTGTTAAACTTTTAAAAGAAGATTCAGGTAGGGAGCCGTGTTGGTCTAACGCAGTTGAAATAAATAAATAAAAAATTGTCCAGTAGCACCTTAGAGACCAGCTACCCAGAACAAACTTAGTTAGTCTTTAAGGTGCTACTGGACAATTTTTTAATTTTTTTTTAAAGAAGCTTCTTAGGTCTTTATTCTTTTAGGAGGGAATCAAAGGGGTCTTACCAGGAATAATAGAACTTAAGAGTTTCTAATGAATCTGCAACTAGCTTCCTGCTGTGTAAAAGGGGAAATGTACTCTGCTGTATGAATAAACTCACTAGCGTGAGTTAGGAAGGATAATATTTAATCAATATATCCTTCCCTGCTACCCACAACATTCCCACAAATTGAACTGCTCCCATAGCGTGGACTGTCTCAGTAGATCCCAAAGTATCCTTACTCCTGGATGTTAGCGCTTCCCGTCCATTGGCAGAAAACAAGTGGCAGTGAAACTATGTTGCACGAAACCCTTGCGCTATGTTCATGAGTTATGGATGTAGCTGGCATGGCAGCTTCTTTTGTCCAGGTGCCCTTCAAACTCTCACAGGGCTCTACTCCTGCCCACAAACTGGGAAGCACCAAGTTCTGTGCTATCCCTCTCACGGCATGTGCTTCGTGGTGTCCGCAAATCTGGCCTGCCGGACTGGGGAAATATTTAGGGGGAGGGTGCAAGAGGAGGAGGTGGGCAGCCTGTTCCTCTTTGCAAGAAAAAATAATTGCACTGATGGGGCATTTGTCCTCATGATGCCTTGCAAATTCCCGGGTGGGAGTGCAAGAAGCGCCCCCAGAGTCCTCAGCTGTGCAGAGGAGCCAGTCTGTTTTCCAGGGCAGCCATGTCCTTCCTCTGAACTGACTTGGGCAATGCACATGGCTTTGGTGTTGTGACCCACAATGAAAGACTCCCGCGGCCGTTTCGAATGCCAGAAACCATCAACGTTGCTTTTGTAATCTGTTTTTTATTTACAATGATATTGACAACAGAGTGCTTTTCATCCAATTAATACTTATTGCAAGTCACGGAGAACTTGTGGATGTGTACCACTCAAACTGAGCAAAGGAACTTATTTTGAAATCTAGGACTCTTGAAGTCAACCCTCGGTGTCTCCCCCCCCTCCCCCCGAGAGAGGGTTTTTTTGCAATCACTCCCCCCCTCTCTGTAATCGTGATTCATTAAGGTCAATATCACAAACACTTTGAAAGTCATTACACAGATATAAGCCTTTCCCATAAAATGGTGTGGTTTGTTTCTTTCTTTTAAAAATAAAAAAATAAAAAATGCAAACAAAATGTGGTTCTGAAAAGCCCCAAACCCCAAAGAGAAATACATTTTTATCAAAAAACCCACCCCTCAATAAATGATTGACCAAGTACATGACAAAATTATACATAAAACAAAATTGTACTTACAATGTTTACATGAAAAATGTACTTTGACTGCATTCTAGGCATGAGAGGACCATATCTGCAAGAAGTCAGAGCTTACTTGGCAGTAGTGAGTTTGTCAGTAGAAATTTGTAGCCCGAGGATGTGTTGAGGAGAGGGAAAGTAGCTCAGGGAAAGACTTGCATGGTAGAATGAGATGACAGAATAGTAAACAGGCATGAAAACACCAGGAAGATCTGCCCCATTGGGCATTCATGGTCTCTAGCGTTCCTTGTCTAGTGCAGTCAGTTTACAGCAGACGGCCCAGGAACTAGTTTTCCTGAAAGGCAGGTGGGGAGAAAGGAAGGAAAGAAGGGAAAATACAGATCTGCTGGAATCCAGCCACAGAAGCCACCCTGAGTGCATGTATGCGGCAAGGCGAGTCATGAAACCCAGGTCAGGAGTTAAGAAATAACCCACTTGTTGAAATGGTAAGTGAAATCTGACACAGTGGCAACTCTCCCCGGATTTACGTGCTTGCTTCAAGGGGAGATTTCGCAAGCCCAGATATAATGGGGGGCGGGCGGGCATATTTGGTGATCTCAAAGGGAATCTGTTAAGGAATTAGCAGTCTGGGTTCCTGGTCAAGAGTTTCTTTGCATTTGCTGCTGAAGGAAGAATCGGCGGGGGTGAAGGAACGAAGTGGACTACCCTCGCCGAAAAACCATCGCTAACCCCCAAAAGCAAAATTTAAACTGAAAGGTTGCCCAGGAGGAAACCTGCTATGCAAAGCATGCGATGGCCAGACTGGTTGTGGGGTCCAACGCACATCGTACCCCGTACCTCAGTGTTGTTAAGCCGTCATAATTCAAAGTTGGAAATCATCAAACTCCAACCACTAGGCAATGCTGTCACAGATGAGAGGCCTCCCCAAAGGCATTGAATCCTTAAAACCCTCAAAACAAGCACCCAGGAAAGGGATCCACACAGAAAGGGATCCATACAAAAGTTTGCATGGGAGATTTGATCTGGTCACACACGGGGATGCACTGTAGCTGGTCCAGTTCGGCGGAAAGGGTCAAGTGCCACAACTGGGGGAATCCGCGTTTCTCCAGACACCCACCACGTCTTACAACATACAGTCCTTGCTGAGCAGAAGTCGCAAAGGCCACCCCACCCCTCCCCAACAAACGAAAGCTATGGCTTGCGAGAAAATACAAATTAGCTGCGCTTCCGGCAAAGCGTGGAGGCTGCAAGCTCGGAAGGACAGGTGCAGCTGGCGCTGAAGAGCACACGACATTTCCCCCCTCCCCGTCCTCTCCAAGCCCCCCGCACCATCTCAGAGTAGCAGGGAGAGGCAGGAGCAGCCCAGAGGTCCATCGGTGTGGGGCGGGGGGCGGAGGGAGAGCCACAGGCCGGCTCCTCACTCCCCTTCCTCCTTGATGCGCTGCTGCTTGTTGCGGCGGGCATCCAGGTCGAAGTTGAAGTCGCTCCACTCGTCGCGGGGAGGGAAGGAGATGGTCTGGCGAAGGGTGAAGCGCACGGCGTCGATGACACGCTCCCCGCGGGTCTCGCTGGGGCCCACGCTGACCGCGGAGGCGGCCCCAGGGGTACGCAGGAGGTGGGGGGCAGAGGAGAAGTCGTGGATCTGCCGGTTTTCCATGATGCCTTTCCAAATGGCATGGCGGAACTGCTCCGGGATTTTGAGGCTCACCAGATCCTGGAAGGCGAGGAGAGGAGAGAGAGAATCAGCCACTCCTGCCAAAAGAAGCTACACAGGTTTCTACAGTCTTTTAACGGGGGGTGAGTGGCGCTTTTGGTGACTATCTCAAGGGTTCTTCAGGTCTTGTTTGGCAGCGCTGAGCTTCAGAAGCGAAGATTCGGTAAGGAAATGGAGAGACCCTCAGCCCGACAGGATGGTGGCTTCCCCAACAGGCCAAGCCCCAAGCAAGCAACACCAAAATCCCAGCAAAGCAAGAAGGCTTCAGGTGGGAGGGAGGAGGTGCAGGAGGAACCCCAGAAGACGTCAGGACAACCATGTCTGTTTCAGACCTGTGGCTTGCAAACAGTACAAGGCTCTTCCAGCTGGGCCTGCCCACCTCCCCTTCATGCAAAAAACCCCCGCTTTTACCGCCACACCACTGTTCTGGACCCATTTATGTGGTCTGGAACAGCGAGAGGCCTAAAAGAAGATGGGGAGGGTGGTTGAAAGGGAGAAAGTTCAGCAGGAAAAGAGTTGGCAGGGGAAAGGGTTGGGCCCTCCGTTCTCTGACGCCCCTTCACCAACTGCATCTCCCCTCTCTCCCGGGGGCACTATTGCAATGGCGAAGGGGCTGCCAAAGTTGTGAACAGGCTGGCGAGCTGCAGTGTAACATGTAGCTCGCCCCTAAATCTGAAGCGTAGCTTTGCCTTCTCCCCTCCAGCGCAGAGTGCCGAGTTCAAGAGAAAGGCCCCTTTCCCCCACCATGCAGCGAAAGGGCGAGGCAGTTACTTACATCCATGGAGTAGTGTTCAATCTGATAGATGGTGGTCAGCCCTTGCGCCGTGAAATAATCCACGCAGGAGGAACAGCCCAGCCTTGCTAAGAAACTGCAGGAGGAGGAGGAGGAGGAGGAGGAAAGAGGAAAGGAGGAAAGAGGAAGAGAGAAAGAGAGAGGTTGAGATAAGAAGGTCACCCACACCAGGCGCTCTGCTACGCAAAAGCCTTGATTTGTGGGAGCAGGAAGGAACCCCTGTCGCCACCCACCCCAAACTGGTCACCGGGAGGAAGAAGGTGATATCCCCTGAGTGGGACACAGAAGTCAGCTATCCCGAGCCTCGTGGAAGGAAGAGGCAACAGCTCCCTCTCCATGCAGCACGTAGTTAATCTGTGGAACTTGCTGCCGCAGGAGCAGTGAAGGCTACCAACCTGGAGGGCTTTAAAAGATGATTGGACAAATTTGTAGAGGGGAGGAGAAGGCTATCGATGGCCACGCTCTGCCTCCACAGTTGGAAGCAACCATGTGAGAAGAGGACTCTGGGCAAGATGGGTCATTGGCCTGATCCAGCGGACTCTTCCTATGTTATGCTTCTGATGCTGGAAACCACAGGAGCAGAGAGGGGTCCTGTGCTCAAATCCTGCATGCTGGTTTTCCACAGCAAGTGTGGTTGGCAACTGTGAGACCTGGATGCTGAACTAGATGGACCCTGGCCTGACCTTCTGACGTTCTTAGGCTATGCCATGGGGAGAGGGGCACCACATACTATGGCACCTTGGCCAACAGGGCACCTTGGAAGGGACCTGGAAGCGAAGAGGCAGCTAGCGCAGGTGCTGCTTGAGTGCTTAGTGTAGTCCTCCTGATGTTCACCAGGAGCTAAGCAGCAACATCCTGCAGTAGATGCAGCTTCTGATCCGTCTTCAAAGGCAGCCGTGCATTTAGAGAGCCACAGCAGCCAGCCCTGGAGATAAAAATGGTAGGGTTCAATGCTGCAATGTATCTTGGACCCTCCTTCGGGGGAGGTTGTAAAGCCATGGTTGGGTGGCCATCTGCCAGGGATTCCTACGTTGCCCTTGGGGTCCCTTCCAACTCTACAGCTCTATGATTCTGTGACCTCGGAAGGTGGTGGACTCCCCTTCTTTGGAGGTTTTTAAGCAGAGGTAGGGTGGTTATCTGTCAGGGATTCTTGAGCTGTGATTCCTGAGTTGCAGGAAGGTGGAAGAGATGCCCCTGGGCTCCCTTCTATAATTCTATGATCTCCCTTCATGGGAGGTTTTTAGGTAGAGGTTGGTCGTCTTCCAAGGATTCTTCAGCTGTAATTGACAGCTGGGGTTGGACGAGATGACCTTTGGAGTCCCCTCTAATTCTACAACTCTAATTCTTTTCTCCTGAAAGCAGGGCAACAAATGCAATTGATGTGAGTTACCCTTGGCTACTATTCCAGGGTTCTCCAGATGGAGAGATCGCCACCCTATCCGATTCCATCACATGCAACAATGGGATTCTTCACCGGAATCCCCTCTGCCTCATTTCCTTCTTGTGTGCGTGGTAGGAAAAGGTCTGGGGGCAACGGCAAGGGGAGGCAAAGGCAGCGCGGCAAGCCAGCTGAAGTAGCTCGGCAGGTCTAACATGACCTGCAAACTGCTTCTTGAACAGAGCAGCCCCAGACGAAGGACCCCACAGAACAGAGAAGCATGCTGCTGGTCACCCGTGATCTGAGGGGTGGGGGGTGGAAAGCCTGCACAGCTACAGCTCACTCACCTGACAATGCTGCAGTCTGTTGGGTAGGGAGGTGGCGGGGTGCAGTGGGATGTCGATGGCATGGAGAGGGTGGGGGGCAACGTCTGGGTCGGGCTGAGCCCGTTCATGTCGCCAGCCATTGCCATGTGGGCCCCCATCATTGGAACTGGAACAAGGAAAGAGAGATCAGAGTTACAAAAACGGAGGCACCAATAGCTGGAACCTGTCTTCCACACCCCTGAGCTAGCCCATCTCCTTTCTTATATAGCACAATCTCACCTTGCTCTCATTTAAATGACTAAGGCGGTTTCAACCATATGTGGTTGAGGTCTGGCTGGTTGAAAGTGCACAAGTTAAATCTGAGGAAGGCAGAGAACTTAAAAGCTCCTGGTGTGAGCACTGGCATGAAAATAGCTTTTAAGCTCTCCATCTCGCTTGGTGGGAGGCCAAGGCCTGCTTGGTGCGCCAGCTCTGGGATGCTCTCGTGAGATTTTGTGGGGCCATCTGAGACCCCACATGAGCCTCCAGAGCCTATGTGCTGAGTGGGCCTTGCCCCCAAGCGAGGCAGAGGGGTTAAAAGCTCTTTAGGCACCAGCTCCGCTTTCGGAGAACTGGATTGCAAAATTCAAGTAAGCGCAGGTTTTGCAGGAGGGCTGTTTCAGTTTTTGGATGCCACAAATTAGGTAGGTTCACCTTCAAATGAGAAGCGACTTGAATTCCCCCCTCCCCAGCTAGTCACTCCATCTCAGAATCTTCCCTGCATTTTGTAAAACAACCCTTCCCAACTTTCAGGTAGGGAGGCCTGGTCTGTCAACTCACAAGCTCCTCTTCCGGTGGTTCCAAAATTGATTAATTAAATGAAACAGTTCTAACTGGGTTTGGTGTTTTTTTTTGGAAGATATTCCAGATAAGGATTTCTGCAGGGTAGGGTAGCAGGCACTGGAGATGGCTTGTTTGAACCAAGGGGGCAGTGGCTCAAAAGAGTTTGGGAGGTTCTGCTCTGGCCACTATTCTGCCACCCCAGTCATCCTAAGCTCCAGCTCCAGGAGGGTCACGGGGGGAAGAAGCCTCTTACTGTTGGCTCCCATGCTGTCGGGCATCGAGGTGGGGGTCAGAGCGTTTCGCTGCTGTGGGTTGATGAGCTGGCTGACAGAGGGCAGCTTGTTCATGCTGTTCATCTTGCCGAGCGGAGGAGAGGTGGACCCATAGGAAGACTGGGACTGGATGGAGTTCCTGAGAGAGGGTTGGAAAACAAGGGCGGAGAAGTCAGGCCCACGTGGAGAGGGAAAGGGCCAACCTTACAACCTTAACGCTTTTAATTAAATTTACTAGTTGCCTTTTTTTTGGCCACAGCGACTCGAAGCGACAATATTCCAAGCAGAAAACAAGCACGTGCATCCATTAAAACATAAGAAGAACACTGGAACGGAAGAAGAGGAGGAGTGCAGGATCAGACCAGTGGTCCTTCTAGTCCAGCCTCCTGTTCTTACAGTAATTCCCAAACGGATTCCCATCATTTGAAACCCACAAGCAGGACTGCAGCAGAAGAGGCTGCTTCCCTCCTGGCATACCCAGCAGCTTGTGTTCAGAAGCATTTACTGTCAATTCACATTTCTTAGTGCAGAAAGTATTGATCTGATGCATAGAGATCTTTCCTGTTCTAATTAATTCAAGAGGGTTCTGGAAGCTTCTCTGCATAAAAGAAAGAAGCAGAAGGTTCATGATGTTTGGGTTATTCCTTCAGAGAAGCTGAGTACAGCTGGCTTAACCTGGCCCTGTTATCTCTTCTGTCAAGGTCATGCGGACTATAATAGTGAGGCCAGAAGGAGTCTGGGTCTCTCTTTCTATCTGTCTCTTCTGATGTGGTGTTCTGCACATAGTGTTAAAGTTTCATCTTATTATAAGTTATTGTAAGTTTAAGTTAAGTCTGCTGCATCTGGATTTCTTATGGACAGGGCCAATCCTGAATGTTTTGGATTTGTGAACATTATGCTCATTTGCCTTCAGTAGCAGTAAAGCTCTGCTGGATGAAACACAATGGCCTCTGGTCTATTTTTGGGGAAATCCTGCAACGTGTTTTTTACTCTGCTAACTATATGTTGGAAAAATAATAATAATAATAATAATAATAATAAATTATTTATATCCCACCCTCCCCAGCCGAAGCCGGGCTCAGAGCGGCTAACAACAGTAAAATAATACAGCATTCTAAAATTAATTCATTATAAAATCAGTTCAAATCAAGTTGATGGCAACCATTGGGTTGGAGTTCTGTGAAGGATTACCAAAGAAGGGGGTCAGGCTGTGCCTTGGCCAAAGACCTGGTGGAACAGCTCTATCTTGCAGGCCCTGCGGAAAGATATCAAGTCCCGCAGGGCTCTAGTCTCTTGGGACAGAGCGTTCCGCCAGATCGGAGCCACAGCCGAAAAATCCCTGGCTCTGGTTGAGGCCAGCCTAACCTCCCTGTGGCCCGGGACCTCCAAGATGTTTTTGTTTGAAGACCGTAAGGTCCTCTGTGGGACATACAAGGAGAGGTAGTCCTGTAGGTACGAGGGTCCTAGGTCGTATAGGGCTTTAAAGGTTAAAACCAGCGCCTTGAACCTGATCCTGTACTCTGCCAGGAGCCAGAGCAGCTGATATAGCACCAGGTGAATGTGATCTCGCAGCGAGGACCCCATAAGGAGCCTCGCCGTGGCATTCTGCACCCGCTGGAGTTTCTGGGTCAATCTCAAGGGCAGCCCCATGTAGAGTGAGTTACAATAATCCAGTCTGGAGGTGACCATCGCGTGGATCACAGTGGCTAGGTCAGGGTGAGAGAGGTAAGGAGCCAACTGCTTAGCTTGGTGGAGATGAAAAAAGGCCGCCTTTGTTATAGCTGCAATCTGCGCCTCCATGGAAAGGGAGGTGTCGAAGATTACACCCAAACTCTTAACGGACGGTGCTGGCACTAATTGCGCCCCAGCAAGAGATGGGAGTTGCCCCCCCAATCCCATATCGTCCCAACCCAGCCAGAGGACCTCTGCTCTGGATCAACATTGAGTAGAATTTCAGTGACATTTACTGCCCCTGATTGTGGGGGCAGATCATGGCCATTGCGGCTAGTAGCCATTGATAGCTCTCTCCTCCTCCATGAATTTTACTGATCCTCTTTTATAGCCACCCAGGTTGGTGACCATCACTGCCTCCTGTGGGACCGACTCTGTGCTGCTTGAAGAAGGACTTTGTTTTATCTGTCCAGACTCTTCCAACATCCAGCTCCATTGGATGTCCCGTGAAATGCACAGCAGAGGACAGGCCTGCTGCTCAGCCCATTTTCCTACTTGGTGGGAGGGCAACTATGTTCCCTTGTGACCCGTAGGCATTGTTGCTCTAGCCTCAGAGAGTGAATCACAGGTGATTTGCTTGCTTTGGGCTCAGAAGTGCATTGGCCCTTGTTGTGGGGATCCCTCCATGCCCATTTCCTCCAATGCACCCTGCATTCTCCTGCCACCCATCCCCCATGTGTGCATGTGCACATACAGACACATCAGCTGCCCAGACCATCTGGCTGTAGATGCACAGAGACCCACAGAAAGGCTGAAGGCAAGACAGAGTCCTAGCTATGAAACGACCACAGAGGACTGTTCGAATGAGCAAGAGCTCTGCTAAAGGTAAAGGGACCCCTGACAATTAAGTTCAGTTGTGAATGACTCTGGGGTTGCGGCGCTCATCTCGTTTTACAGGTAGAGGGAGCTGGCTTCTGTCTGCTTCCGCAGACAGTTTTTCCAGGTCATGTGGCCAGCATGACTAAGCTGCTTCTGGTGAACCAGAGCAGCGCATGGAAACGTCGTTTACCTTCCCGCTGGAGCGGTACCTATTTATCTACTTGTACTTTGATATGCTTTCGAACTGCTAGGTTGGCAGGAGCAGGGACCGAGCAACAGGAGCTCACCCCGTCGCGGGGATTTGAACCGCTGACCTTCTGATCGGGAAGCCCAAGCAGCACAGTGGTTTAACCCACAGCGCCACCCTAAGAGCTCTGCTACCTGAGACCATTGGAGATGTCAGGAAGTGACTATGGCAACTTCTGAAAGCAAAGCATGTCTTTGAAGAAGCACAGGGCCACAAATCCTTCTCAGTTGTTCGACATGGCAACTGTGGTTGGGATCTTTAGGACAGGTGAAAGAAAGGACAGAAAGAAGAGTCAAACTGTGGAACTCACTCCTGCACGAGTGATGGCCACCAACCTAGATGACTTTGAAAGAGGATTAGGCAAATTCGTGGAGGCAATGGATTTCTACTAGCCATCCTGGCTCTGCTCTGCTTCCCCAGTCAGGGACAGCAATGCTTCTGAATCCCAGTTGCTGGAAACTGCAGGAAGGGAGAGGACTTGTGTTCGAATCCTGCTTGCGGGTTTCCCTTTGGGGCATCTGCTTGGCCCTGGTGAGAACATGATGCTGGACTAGATGGGACACTGGCCTCATCCAGCAGGGTCTTCTCATGCTCTTAATGCTGTATTCACAGAGACTCTGGAGGTGCTTTCCTCTGTGTATTCGCTTAAGAAGAACAGAGGAATCCAACATTCACAGCGGAGAGGAGCAGTCAGATTGCTCACAAGATTACATTCCTTGCTCCATCCCCACCCTGGAATCTACAGAAGGGCTTCCCAGAATCCTGTCCTCTAAGATCATTCAGAAGGCTGGATGACAGAACGGTCATCTGGCGTATTTTGCCCCATGCTCCTTTCTGCCATGGGGGTCCTCCATATCCCCTAAGGGTGTGCGGAAGAAACTTGAAACCTGTGAGCTATATAATAATAATTATTATTTATTATTTATACCGCACCCATCTGGCTGGGTTTCCCCAGCCACTCTGGGCAGCTTCCAACAGAATATTAAAATACAATAGTGCGTCAAACTTTAAAAGCTTCCCTAAACAGGTCTGCCTTCAGATGTCTTCTAAAAGTCTGGTGGATGTTGTTCTCTTTGACATCTTGTGGGAGGGTATTCCACAGGGCAGGTGCCACTACCGAGAAGGCCCTCTGCCTGGTTCCCTGTAACTTGGTTTCTCGCAGGGAGGGAACTGCCAGAAGGCCCTCGGTGCTGGATCTCAGTGTCCGGGCAGAACGACAGGGGTGGAGACGCTCTTTCAGATATACTGTACTGAGGCCGTTTAGGGCTTTAAAGGTCAACACCAACACTTTGAATTGTGCTTTGAAACGTACTGGGAGCCAGTGTATCTGACACGACTCCCCCTTTTCCAAGTTCCCAGAAGTTTGCCTCAGGGTATGGTAAGGAGGCAGAGACAGTAGGCCCTCCCCAGCTCTCACTGGAGAACATTTTCCCTAACAGGAACTGGGACTAGAGAAGGAACCCAGAGTCATTAGTAGGAAACTGATTCTGCCTGTCTCCAAACCAGTGGAGTGAGAGAGGCCTTTGATACCCTCCCTGGAAGACTCCTTGGAAATGATGGATGCAGTAACCATTTCCCACCAGAGATTAAGGGTTTGGCAGTCCCTTTCAAAGAGAAGTTCCACTGGGGTCTAGGGTGCACCCATCACCGCCTCCCACTATTAGTCCAGGTAAGTTCCTGGGTCCTTAAGTCAAGGTGCACACTGAATGCATGCAAAACCCTTGCTTGAGCCTGTTTGCAAAGGCTTGACCCCCTTCTGGGGTGAAGAGCGAAGCTGTCTGTGTGTTTGTGACTAGTGAGCAGGGCTGGGCAGATCTGTCCATTCCTGATTTTCTCTCTTTTTGGCAATCTTAAATTCAGCTTCACATCACTTTGTGCATTATTGTTATTTTAAATGCTGTCATGAAAATTCGCCAGCCTTTTAACGCCCTGCAAAATTCAGAGAAATGTACGTTTCAAAGGATAACTGTGCTTCGGTTTGCATATTGTTTCAGAAAATGAAAGCTAGGTAAGATCCCCTGTAAATGGAAATTGAATTGCACCTCCCCAATTCCTATTAGCATTTCCTCCCGACTAAGTCCTTCTCCATCTTCACGCTACCCATAGTGAGAGGGAAAACGAACTGATATGGAATTGTTTGCACAGACCTGGTCTAAAACTTGGCAAGACACAAAAGGTGCTTTTGGGAGCTGGTAAAGGCAGACGAGGGCGTGTTTGAAGGAGAGGAGAGTGAGTGATGAGAGCAGGATGGACAGCACATCCATTTGTTGTGAGAGGAGAAGGAAAAGATAAAAAAGAGAGACAAAGGGACAGGAGGCCACTCCAGTTAAAATCAAGATGCAAAAGTTTATTGAAAACCAGCACCACAAATTAAGAAGAGTAAGATGATAAGAGTGAAAGGAATATTGCTCAGGGTGAAACCTTTTTCATGGCTGACCAGAGGATGTGTGTGGTTTCCCAGTGAATGGGGTTCATCTCATAGAACTGTAGTTGGGAGGGACCCCCTGGGGTCATCCAGTCCAACCCCCCGCAATGCAGGAATCGTGGCTAAAGCATCCAGGACAGATGACCACCCAACCTCTGCTTTCAAACCTCCAAGGAAGGAGAGTCCACCACCTCCCGAGGGAGCCTGTTCCGCCGTCAAACAGCTCTTACGGAAAGAAAGTTCTTCCCAGAGTTCCTTTCCCAAAACATCATTTGGAACGCAGAGCCCAAGCCACATCAAATGATGCTTAATGAATCCCAAGGAAGATTACACCTTGGAATCGCTTTGAACCCCGAGCCAACTCATTGCACTTTCCCATTCCTAGGGCCTAATGAGGTCAATTAACCAACTGCACGTCTTGCCTCTTGGAACTGCTGGCTGGAAGATGCAGGAGGGTCTGTGGGGTGGGCTGGGGGTGCTTGGGAGCTGGCATGCCAGTGGCACGAGGTGGGCATGCCAGTGGCACGAGGAGTGGTGGGCAGAAGGAGCACTCAGAAGGAGGCTCTCCTCACCTCCACAGAACAGGCCGACTTAGCACAGCACAGAGCCATTTCTTGTAAACAGAGGCAGAAGCCAAGTGACCTACTTCTACTTTCTGGGTTCTATGCCAGGCTGTGCCCACATGACACTTTCCCACACTCTGTTGTCACAAGATTTAGGTGCAAACCAGAAGGGCAGGAAGCACGAAGCAGAAAAAGGAGGAGGCCCCAAGATCTTCTGCAGCTTGCTCATCCAACCCCACCCAACCCTTCTCACTAGGACGTGCCACCTGGCCCCCTTCCGCTTCAGTTTTACGAGAGTTTCCTGCTCTTCCTCACAAAGCAGACATGGCGCTCCTTTGGGTTTGCTAGTCAGGTCCTTAGCTGCTTAGCTTCAGCTGGGCTACCTGCCTGTACTCCCAATGCACCAACAGAGTCAGTATGGTGACCACCACAATCCCTGCACGGCTTGTCGAGGTGGACCGCATTGAATCAGCATAACTGACACACACACACACACACACACCCCTGGAAGAAACCACAACACACTGAGGTTTGGACTGATCAATTATGGAGAAAACATGAGGTGTCGCTTGTGTTTCTACAAAAATCTAATGTATGCATTAAGCACATAGGCAATTGCGCCCACCAGTATGGCTCATGTACTTCACTGGCTATTTAAGCAGATGGTCTGAATCACAGGTGAACCTATAGCTGGCCTTTGCCAACCTGGTGCCCACCAGATGTTTTGGACTATTCTGGCTGGGGCTGATGGAACATCTGGAACTCAAGTTCATGTTATGTATTTGTGTAACTGTGCAAAACTCAGAAATGACTCCTATTATTATTATTATTATTATTATTGATTGCAGTAAGCCAAAATCGCAAGTCAACATCCAATTTGCACCAGGAGATATTCATGGGGTAAATTTTTGTTCTTTCCTCTGAGATCTAGTGGTGAAAATAACCACAATTTCTATTATGGGGTCTGGTCCCTGAAGAGAATGCGTAGTATCTTAAGACTATTGGTTTCAGCAGGTCTACTCTGCAAATTAGTTGGATATCAACCTGTGAGTACTGATAGCCAGTCTCAATACTCAGTAATGTTTGCATCTCTGCCTGGATGCTGACAAAATTCTCGCGGTCCAGATTTCGGGATCCTAAAATACCTGAACTTGTTTGTTTCATGAGTGGCACCAATCTGCTAAGGGTTCACTCCTCTGTTGTGCTTTGTTTTAACTCCAGACAGTTCAAATGGGCATTGATTAAATCACAGAGCAAACGAAAAAAGAAAAAGGGAAAAAACAGAATCTCAATGAGGCTGCATAATTTTTCTTAAAATATGGAAGAACAGCAGATCCCAAAGCGATGTCTCAATACCCAAATGCCCCTTCCCTCCACAAAAGGTTAACCAATGAAATGCATCTGCCCCTCCTGATTTCTGGGCTGGCGAACCACCACCAGCATCATAAGCCTGCTGAATTTGCTGGACTGTGAATAACTGCAGGTAAGGCTGTGTTCCATCATTTGCTACAAACTTGAGGCAATTCCTTGCAGTGAAGACAAAATGGGAACAAAACAGGAACTTTGGAGCTGAGCGCCTGATTTACAGCAGCAAAAGCCAAGCAATTTCCCCACTCACGTAAGAGGTTCCTGTGTGATCTCTTTTGCAAACAAAGGTAGAAATGTTGTGAGTGGCGGCGTACAAATGCAACACCAACTCCGTAGGAAATAAACAGTTTCATCTGATCCACAATGTGCTCGTGTCGTCCATCTGCCCAGCAGGGACAGGGCATCTCAAATCTATACACATTACTAGTCTCTGACCAGCATCAAAAGCACTTTACAGATTTACAATCAAAAGTTCTCAAGGCCGTAAGTTGCGCTTCTGTCTTAGCAAGTAAACACACATCTTTAAGATATGCTCGTAGACTGAGACCTGCTCAAAAGAAATCATTCGAAGGCCGAGGGGTGAAAACAGAAGCACCACATTTTACAATGCAGGAAGAAGACAAGGTGGTACCAGACCTGGAAATGGCTATGTCCGCAGCTAGGGTAGCTGCTGTTCCTGCAAAAGCTTGATCCCTTTGCAGCGGTTTGCTGCCTGCCCAGTTTCAATCAAGCCATTTTGCTCAGTTAAAGCCCCCCCTTTTCCTCCCATCCCCCCCTTGCAACAAGGGAGCTGGACAAAACCTCTGCACACACAGAAAAACAGCCTCCCCGCTTTGTTCTATGAGTAGACGGAAGAAGGGTTTGTGGGGCTGGAATGTCTGAGAATGGCGTCGCTTCTTTTGGGGGGCTCCCTCCTCGTTTCCGAAAGCTCGCTCCTGAAGCACGCTGAGAGGAGGCTGCGGGGAAGGAACCAGAGAGAGGAGAGGAGATAAAGGAACCATCACCAAGTGTGAGCAGCCGCAAAGAGAAATACCTTCATGATCAGAACCCGGAGGAATAGGAGGAGGGAAGAAAAGACTGTGGCAGAACATGGGGTCAGAGAGAAAGAGCAGATCTTAGGAGCATAGGAATATGTCTTATTCCAAGTCAGATCACTGGTCCATCCAGGTCAGTATTGGTTACTCTGACCAGTGCCAGATTTACGTATAAGCTAAACAAGCTATAGCTTAGGGCCCCACTCTCTTGCCCCCCCAAATTTAAAGGAAATAAAACCTGGATGTACATTTCCAAAATATAAGATAAAAAACAAATACAATAAAACCTACATGCTGCAACAGTGTTTTGTGTTGTGTTGGCTCCTATGATGTAAGTTATGGGCTCCGCCTGCTAGCCTGCTCCCTCAAATATCCCTGGATTGCTCCTTTCTATATATATGGTCCCTACGTTCTGCATGGATTGGTTGCAGGGCAACATGTGCAAATGGCTTGAGATACCTATGAGGTCCATAAATTACTATCTAGAATTTATTCAACACAAAAAAACCAGTGACAATTTGTTGTTGACAAAGGACAGCTGGACATATAAACGGCCCCATAACCTTCAGTAAGTTAAGGCCTCATCAAACCTAAATCTGGCCCTGACTCTGACTGGGAGTGGCTCTCTGGGATTTCAGATGGGGGGGGGGGCAATTCCCAGGCCCACCCGGAGGGGCCATTAGAGATTGACCTGGGACATTCTGCATGCAGTGCAGAAGCTCTATCGCTCCAGTCTGAAACCACAGGGGATGTTTCCGAAAGGATTCCTGCAGAGAAAATGCCAGGTTGCTGTGAGAACCAGAAACCCCTTTTGTTCTGTGGCTATCAGGGGATATAGCTGATTAATTTCTGCATAAATTCCTGTCCACATGCAACCCGCATGTGAAACATGGATCAAGTATTGGATAAACCAAAACAGAACATTCTGAGACTTGAGGTGGGGAAATTCTAGAATAGAGGCGTTATCCCAGATGTGGGAGATGCTGGCAGAAATCTGGTTTCTAAGTCCACCTCAATACAGCAAATCTATTTGTTTCAATTATGTCCAAAGTCACTACTGAGCAGGTCTGGCACAGCTTGGGAGTATTTATTTGGCGATGTCCCTCATGCCCTGCAATATTTAACAAGGGATGCACAGTTCCTTCTTGATGGTGTGATTTTCCAAGGGGTGGGGTGGCTTTAAGACTTAGAGACTCTCGTAAAGACAGTGTCTACCAAGACACTAGCCCAGCCCAGTTTTGCTGCTTGCCTGGGACTTGCAAAATGGTGGGTGGGGTCATAGTGGGGTCAAAGCACTTGGCAGGCTGCAATGCCAAACTAAACGGTTTGGGGTGGCAGCAGGCTTTGAATGGCGAAGACCCTATTCTGGCAGAAAGCAGCTCAGTGGCACAAGCAGAGTGCAGACCTGGGACTCCTGCAGACATCTGGGTTTGCAATGTAAGCCTGCAAGGCCTCTGCAGTTGCTTCAAGGCTCTTTTTTTCTATTGCACCAGCTGAAACCATCCCTAATGGACTGAACGTGAGCAAAGCGGGGAGGGGGGAGAATTGGATGCATATTAAAGGAAGCCCAGTGTTGTTGGTGGGCTGTTTTAAAAGGAGGTATAAGTCTCTCCTCGCTGAGCACCTGCAGGGCAATGGCAGAACTCCAGAGAGAATCCTTTGCAACTTTGTTCAGCTGGCTTCAAATGGCAGCGTCTGAAAAAGCTTTCAAGGTTTGATGGGAAGCCACCCATCTTTAACTAAAGGTGTTGGGATGGAAGTAGCACCCGAGTCCATGCTCCTTGCCCTCCCCTGAACATTCGTGTTGCAGGAGCTCAGTCCTGTGCATTCAGATGAGGAAAATAGTCTGGTTCAAAGAGTCACTGAGATCATGAAGGTATTTGACACAAAGAGGAATCATGAAACCATGCACAGAAGGAAAAGCAGGCAAAAGAAAAAGCAGGCAAAATCCACTCTAGCGGGCAAGACACAGGTGCAACACTCACTTCCCAAAATTTTGAAACCTGACAAGCAGCGTTCGAAACTCCCGTTGTTCTAGGCGCATTTTGAGACAGGGATTTTAATTAGCGCGAGCAGTTTCTGAGCTTTGGGCGCAGTGCGGCACCTAAGATTTGAGATTAAAACTGCAGAGTGGGAGGAAAGGAGGACCTTTTTCTGCCTCCCCACTTCCGGCTACTCTCTGAAGACTGGAGAAGAGACCCTCTTAAGAATATTAGGGGGGTGGGCAGGGGAAGGACCAGACCATGCGAAAAATGAACATAATATTTTAGCTGCAGTTCATTCCTTTTCAGCTTTGTATTCTTGTTATTTAAAAAGCATGCCTAGACATTCCATTGTTACACCCATAACCTAGGCTTAATGTACCATTAAGCTCCTAGCTTTCATATCTTGGTTTTCTAACCCTGCTGACAAGCAGTGGCATTTGCACAGAGCAGGCAGCCCTTGATGGCCTGGGATTCGGATGCTGAACCTGAGGGATCCCAGCCTGCACAGGATTCCCCGCCTCCAGAACCAGCTGAGCCGGGGCTGGGGCTTGAGCCTGAAGGGTCCTCACCTGTGCTGGGTCCTCAGGTGCAGGCATTAGCTGAGTCTGCTCTGGCTCCTGAGGTGAGGGAGGACCCATTGCCTGCAGGTGCTCCACTCTCAGCCCCATCAGAGGAAGCTGAGGTTGCCTCTGGGTCCGGTAACCCTCCAGCCTCTGAGGCTCAGGGCAGAGAGGCGGAGGGAACTAAGTTCCCGCAGGAGGAGGGCTCACCTCCAGGCCAGGAGAGGCAAGTCACCAGAGGATTGGGGCCACCCTATGCCTCGGGGCAGATAAAAGCCAGCCAGCCCCAGTCCCAAGTTGCGGGAGCAACGTTGCTGGTTGTCAGCTCCTGCCTGAGCCCTGTCCTGCTTTCCTGACAGAGCTCCAGACCTCAACCGACTCCCTGCCCTGCACCCAGCTTCAGCTTCTACGGACTGCCTCCATGCTGCACCTTCGACCTCGGACTGGACTTGGACCTCGCCTCTCAGTTAGCCCACGGGACCAGCACACAGCCACACTGACCTCCTGAGGCAACGTCCCCTGGGCAGGACTAAGGGCTCGGCCATACTCCCATTTGTCCCATGCCTAGGAAGCACGGGCCCAAGCAGTTTTGCCTTTGCCCCAGAAAACCCGCTCTTTAGTGCTAAATTGGAACAGACATCCACAGAAAACCCAATTGCTGTTTGTTCCAATTCAGCACTGGAGATTAGGTTTCCCTGGAGAGAAGCAGTGGGGCATCTAGAAGTGTGGATAAGCCATAACATTTCCTGTGTTGCAAAAATGAATACATATTATTCGAACTCCCTTACTGGGGATTGCAGGAAGGGAGAGCTGCTCTTGTGCTGATGTCCTGCTTGCAGGTTTCCCACAGGCAACAGGATGCTGGACTAGATGGGCCATTGGCCTGATCCAGTAGGCTCTTCTTATGTCCTGATAAGAGACCTTGGAGGAACCTTGAAGGCTTTTGCATCCAGAAAACACTAGTTGTTTGTTTGTTTGTTGTTGTTGTTTTAAAAAAGGGGAATTAGGAGAAGTACTTGGAAAGAACTTCAGGAAAGTATAAATACTGAGTGCAGAGGTATGTGTTTGTGTTCACACACAGCTCTCCATTGCATTCATTCCAGCCTTCTACAAGAGTCTTGGTCTCTGCGTTATTCAAAGAGAGAGGATTCACAGCTTCACATTTCTGAAATCCCGTAGAAGCCTAGCGGTGCCATCAATGGAGCCCCAAATATAGCAGGGACTTGCAAGCAAAGAAGCAACACACATTATCATCTGTAGAAGAGAACCCAGTGAGACCACGGAGTCCAGAGCCTAGAATTACCTAACTGCACGACTAGTCTAGTTTTGCTATGTGCCTACTGCAGTTGGATGCCTGCAAGGAGATTTGGGGGGAAAGGGGGAGATTTGGGGGGAAAGGTTTGCTAACTAAGTGGATGGGTGGCTGGTGGTTGGTTTGTTTGTTTGCTTTTAAAGCAAACAGCCTTAAAAATGCTAGCTTTGCCTACCCAAAGAGCCAAAAACAGTAATTATCACAAAGCAATTTTGTCAGCAGCAGCAAGAGGAAAGGGTTCGTTTATTTCAACGCAGCTCTGCTTACGTGGAGACTTCTCCCTCCCCTGTTGGAAAACCCCTGTGCTTCAAGGGGAGTCTTCCAAACCACTCAAAAACAGACATACAGTGGCCCTGAACAAACTTGCAGAACTCTTGTTCAGAAGGTACCAAGAGAGGGCTGGCTTCTGGAAATTCTCTCCTGGGACTGAGCAAGATAAAACTCCCAGTGTGGTTCGCAGTTTCCCAAATAAAAATATCCCCTTTACGAATTCCAGCAGAAACAAATGTGAGTGCCTGGAGGCGGTTGGAGGATGGATGGTGGCTAACAGATTGAGGTTTAATCCTGACAAGACAGAAGTGCTATTCTTGAGGGACAGGGGGTGAGCAGGTGTGGGGGACTCCCTGGTCCTGAATGGGGTAACTGTGTCCCTGAAGGACCAGGTGCGCAGCCTGGAAGTCATTTTGGACTCACAACTGGAGGCGCAGGTCAATTCTGTGTCCAGGGCAGCTGTTTACCAGCCCCATCTGGTACGCAGGCTGAGATCTTACCTGCCCACAGACTGTTTCGCCAGAGTGGTGCATGCTCTGGTTATCTCCCGCTTGGACTTCTGCGATGCGCTCTACGTGGGGCTACCTTAGAAGGTGACCCGGAAACTGCAACTAATCCAGAATGCGGCCGCTAGACTGGTGACTGGGAGCGGCCACCAAGACCACATAACACCGGTCTTGAAAGACCTACATTGGCTCCCAGTACGTTTCCAAGCACAATTCAAAGTGTTTGCGCTGACCTATAAAGCTCTAAACGGCCTCAGTCCAGTAGACCTGAAGGAGTGTCTCCACCCCCATTGTCCAACCTGGACAATGAGGTCCAGCTCTGAGGGCCTTCTGGTGGTTCCCTGCCTGCGAGAAGTGAGGTTACAGGAAACCAGGCAGAGGGACTTATCGGTGGTGGCACCCACCCTGTGGAACGTCCTCCCACCAGAGGAAATAAACAACTATCTGACTTTTAGAAGACATCTGAAGGCAGCCCTGTTCAGGGAAGTTTTTAATGTCTGGTGTTTTATAGCTTTAATAATAATAATAATAATAATAATAATAATAATAATAATAATATTCTGTTGGGAGCCATCCAGAGTGTCTGGGGAAACCCAGTCAGATGAGTGGGGTATAAATATATTAGTAGTAGTAGTAGTAGTAGTAGTAGTAGTATTCCACCTCTCTCTGCTAGCCACAGTCAGACATAGCAATGCTTCTGAATACCAGCTCCTGGAAATCACACAAAGAGAGAAGATTCTTGCGCTCGGGCATCTGGTTGGTCCCAGAATCCCGCCCACCCAGCCAAAACACACTTCTGCACAAAACAACAAGCAAATCCGAGCAGCCATGCTCACCGACCGACTGTGTTAACAAAGCCAAAGAGACACTGTCTTGGGTCAGGGATGTGCTAGCGGCAGGCATCATAGCAAGAGTGATGCTCTTCATGCGCGTGGAGAGCCCCCTGGCCACTCATCCCCTCTCCATTGCTCTCAAGGTGCTTTTGGGGCAAACTGCAAATTGGCTTCCGAATACTCACTGTTTCTGCAGCAGGTGCTGGTGTTGCTGTTGTTGTTGCTGCTGCTGCCGGTACGTCTCAATGGTGTGCTGGGGGAGGTACTGCATCAGCTCCAGAGACTCCTTGATCTTCAGTAACATCTCATAAGTCTCCCGGCCTCGCACCTGAGCACAGACAAGAGGGAGGAAGAGACTTAAGAGATGCTCAGGGCTGCTGGACCAGACCAGCCCATCTAGTCCAATGCTTTACATATGCCTCTGTCCACCCTTCCGTCGTGAAGAGTTTGTTATCTCTGCTGGCTTGCGTGCTCAGCTTCTGAAAGGCTTCTGAAGCTCTGAGTCGCGGTTTTGATGCAGAACCAAGGCTACTGGCCGGTGGGTTGGAGCATTTTGTCACCCTTCTCAGTGGTGACACCCGGGGTGACCCGCCCCCACCGCCCCACCTTTCTCCACCCCTGCCTGCCAGGAAATGGTTCGGCACAAATGAGGCAAAAGGTTTATGCAAGGACAGGGGGGCAGGCACGCCAAACTTACTGGAAGGTATAGCAGCTCATCATCGGGGGTGCGCCGTTTTTTGACCGAAGTCATCTGGATGCCGTGTGTACTCTGCCGGAAGGCTGCCAAAGGGAGGGGGGAGAGAATGGCAGTTGTCAAGCTAAGTCCAACAGCCTATCAGGTGTCTCACAGTCACAAGGAACATGTTTCCTCTCTGTTCTGTTCTGCAGTGCGCGTGCTGCGCAGTGAGCCTGCCCCATGCTCCTATTTTTTGTGGGAAGGGTGGAGTGCGAAAAGTCACATCACAAAATAATAATAAAAAGACTGCCTCAGACTGTCTCAAGACCATTGGTCTATTTTGCCCAGTGCAGTGGTACCTCGGAAGTCGAACGGAACCCATTCCAGAAGTCCAAAACATTTGGAAACCAAGGTGCATCTTCTGATTGGCTGAAGGAAGCTCCTGCAGCCAATTGGAAGCCTCATCGGACATTTGGGTTCCAAAGAATGTTTGCAAACTGGAACAGTCAATTCTGGGTTTGGGGCGTTCAGGAGCCGAAACGTTCGACTCACAAGGCATTCAGGATCCAAGGTACGACTGTACTGGCTTCTCAGAGAGGCTAGTACTTAAGAGTTTTCCAGGCCACTGGTTCTCAAAGGGTGTGGCAGGAGAAGATGGCAAATGTGGCAGAGACACTCAAGAGCAATCTAAGACACAATTAAACATTTCAGTGTAGTATACTACAGTAGAGCATAAAAGTATTATTATTATTATTATTATTATTATTATTATTGCAGAATATGGACAGATATGTTTTCGAAATGAGAGCAAGAGCACTGATCTGCCCTGAGATCTTGCGATCAAGGAGGTGGGGTATATAAATTTAATAAATGAATAAATATATATTTTTAAAAAGAGCATTGAGTGATGCTGAAGACAATATATTCGTGAGCAAGGATTTTCAATTCTGAGGTGTCTTTGTGCTGTTGAGGAGAGGAGAGTTGGATTGTCTCAAATGAGACCTCATCTAAATGAGATTACCCACCAAAAGCAAGCTCACTTGTCACTTAAGATACACACGTAAGAGTTTAGAATTATAATTTGGGAATGGTTCCTGCTCTTTTGTAGCTGCGTTGTTTTGCACTTTCTGGATGCCCCATGATTTTTGCAGTTGTGTTCTACGTTATGAATCAAGCGCCGCTGGAATTTGTTTCCTTTTGTTTCCCAGTGTATTTCTTATCAAAAGAAAACTTGGTGTGGCAAGAGCAAATTGTTATTCTGAAAATGTGGACCAGAGAAAAAACTTTGAGAACCACTGGAGATTTCCCTGGAAATTAAACCTGGAGCCTTTAGCATGTGAACCACCTGCTCCATGGCTCCGAAAGACCATTAGGTCCAGTCGTGGCCGACTCTGGGGTTGCGGCGCTCATCTCACTTTATTGGCTGAGGGAGCCAGCGTACAGCTTCCAGGTCATGTGGCCAGCAGGACTAAGCCGCTTCTGGCGAACCAGAGCAGCACACGGAAACGCTGTTTACTTTCCTGCCAGAGCTGTACCTATTTATCTACTTGCACTTTGACATGCTTTCGAACTGCTAGGTTGGCAGGAGCAGGGACCGAGCAACGGGAGCTCACCCCGTCGCGGGGATTCGAACTGCCGACCTTCTGATCGGCAAGTTCTCGGCTCTGTGGTTTAACCCACAGTGCCACCCGTGTCCCGCGTGCTTCCTTTACTTCCTTTACTTTTATGCAAACCAGGGGCATCTGGTGGGCCACTGAAAGAATAAGGTGATGGGCTGGATCAGGGGTCAGCAAACTTTTTCAGCTGGGGGCCGGTCCACTGTCCCTCAGACCTTGTGGGGGGCCGGACTATATTTTGGAAAAATAATGAACAAATTGCTATGCCCCACAAGTAACCCAGAGATGCATTTTAAATAAAAGGGCACGTTCTACTCATGTAAAAATATGCTGATTCCCGGACTGTCCACGGGCTGGATTGAGAAGACGATTGGGCCAGATCCGGCCCCTGGGCCTTAGTTTGCCTACCCATGGGTGGGGTGGTCCACTGGCCTGGCCCAGCAGGCTCTTCTTATGTTCAATCCATGCCAAAGGGTTCTGTGTGAACCGCAAAGCTTGCACATTCCTAAAGCACCGCCTCCACAAAGCCCCCTCCCCTCTGCTGGTTCTCTGAGCCCCGCAGCCGTGCCCCCCCCAGCCACAGCCTCGAGCGCCCCCTGCTGGCCTACTTACGCCTCTTCGTACCATCACCGTTCTTTGTGCTGTCGGAGACCTGCTGCTTCCGAATGCTGTCCTCATCAGCTTTGCGGTCCCTGCCCGGGCAAGCGCAGATCCGAGCCTCGAAGCACCGGCGTCCCAGGACTTGCCCGCTGGAGGATGGAGAAAACGGGGGGTCTGTTAGCTCACAGCCACGGGGAGGGCTGGCACTAAAATAAACACAGCGGGCAAGCATTTTATGCACGGAAACGGCAACCCGCAATGAACCCACATATCTGAATCCTGACAAGACAGAACTACTGTTTTGGGGTACAGGAGGCGGGTGTGGAGGACTCCCTGGTCCTGAATGGGGCAAATGTGCCCCTGAAGGAGCAGGTGTGCAGCCTGGGAGTCATTTTGGACTCACAGCTGTCCATGGAGGCGCAGGTTAATTCTGTGTCCAGGGCAGCTGTCTACCAGCTCCACCTGGTATGCAGGCGAAGACCCTACCTGCCCGCGGACTGTCTCGCCAGAGTGGTGCATGCTCTAGTTATCTCCGGCTTGGACTACTGCAACACGCTCTATGTGGGGCTACCTTTGAAGGTGACCCGGAAGCTGCAATTAATCCAGAATGCGGCAGCTAGACTGGGGACTGGGAGCGGCTGCCAAGACCACATAACACTGGTCCTGAAAGACCTACATTGGCTCCCAGTACATTTCCGAGCACAATTCAAAGTGTTGGTGTTGACCTTTAAAGCCCTAAAGGCCTCAGTCCAGTATACCTGAAGGAGTGTCTCCACCCCCATCGTTCTGCCCGGACGCTGAGGTCCAGCGCCGAGGGCCTTCTGGTGGTTCCCTCATTGTGAGAAGTAAAGCAACAGGGAACCAGGCAGAGGGCCTTCTCGGTAGTGGCGCCCTCCCTGTGGCACGCCCTCCCACCAGATGTCAAAGCGATAAACAACTACCTGACATTCAGAAGACATCTTAAGGCAGCCCTGCTCAGGGAAGTTTTTAATGTGTGACATTTTAGTGTATTTTTGGTCTCTGTGGAAGCTGCCCAGAGTGGCTGGGGAAACCCAGCCAGATGGGCGGGGTACAAATAATAAAAGAATAAGAATAAGAATCTGGGAGCCAAGCTCCGCGTTCGCAAACCACTGGACCCAACCAATGCCCTCCGCGAGCCTTAAACCTTGCCTACAGCTTGAGTCTGCCCCAAACACCAGAACATGAATGCATCTGTGTGCATGGCTCCTCTTTAAGATTTCAGCCTGTGTGTTTGGACCGATCCATGGGCCTAGTCTACATCCTGGAGTCTTACTACCCGAAACTGATTTATATATATTATCATAGAACCGTGGAATTGTAGAGTTGGAAGGAATCACGAGGGCCATCCAGCCCAACCCCCCTGCAATGCAGGAATTTTTTGCGCAACACAGGACTCAGACCCACAACCCTAAAATTAAGAGTTTCATGCTCTACCAACGGAGCAATCCCAGCCTTGGACCACCCCCCATAAGTTAGTAGTTTTGTATTCATGCAATCTTTTTATATGTAACTGTATTTTTGAAATATCTAGTTTAATATCTCTTTTGCATACCACTTAGTGAAATGGCTAATATAGTAAGGGGTATAGAAATTAAATAATCAACCCTGCTCTGCTGGAACCTGCAATATTTGGCAGCAGTTATGGGGCAGGACCTACGGGCACGATTCTCTACTATCCTATGATTGTATGACTACACGCCCCTGTTTGTGAACTGGGAATTGCTGTGTTTGTGCGCAATGAAAACAAAAGCCCCTTCTGCTTCTGGATCAAGGTGTGTGTTTTTTTGCTTGGGACTCATTTTTTGATCTCCCATCAAGTTGCAGTGGCTTTCAGGCCCGGGTCAGGCCATCGCTTGCCACTCCGAGCTCCTGCTAATGCGACTTACTCTCTGGTTTCAAGTGTCACGATGATAAGAATCGGACGCCGGTTCATGCCCCCGACGCAACTGCTGTTGCACATGAAATTGTACAAGACGGTGGTGAATTCTGTGCCGACCTGGACAGAAGAAAAAAGGGAGAGTTATACTGAGTCAGCTCTGAGTCACGCAGGAAGTGATCGGTTTGCTGAAGGCTGATGCAAGACACACACGCACCCTCCATAAAGGCTTCCTTCCCTTCCCCTCTCCAAAGAAACTTGTCTGCTTCAGATGCAACGCTAATTCGGACATAGGAACCTGTTTTGTACCAAGGTGGGCTGTGTTGGGATACTGCCAGGGAGACATAGGCCATCATACCTCCACGTCGTCTCAGGACGATCCATCAATCTCCCGTAGGTACAGTATCAGTCAATTAGCGACACGAGCCTCAGAAATAGCTGTCCACATTCCAGGACTCATGCATGCCCTTTTCGCAGAGCTTCCACAATGAAAGAATCACCCAGGAGAGCATATCTTACAGATTTATTCAGCGTTGGCCAGAACAAAGTAAAAACATGACTGCCTGCCTGCGTGTCGAGGCAACAGACAGAGACAACAGCTATATACAAAAAAGAAACTTCCTGTGAACAGGAAATACGCAGGCTGTGACTCACAACAGCCTGTCCCCTTTTTAAGGTGGAACGGAAATATCCTAACATCCTCCCCCTTTCCGTGTAACCTGTAGTACTTGTGGTTCAACCCAATTGCAACCTCTGTACATAAACCTTAAGTTGTTCTCTGTTAACAACCTTAGACAACAGATTAGCAGGAATTTCATTCCCTGCCATGTAGGACACCTGAATGAGTCCTTTCTGAATACACTCCCTTGCACGATGTAGCTTAATCTGCAAGTACTTGGTTCTTTGCTTGCAACTCTCTGAGTTCAGCAAAGCCAAACAGGATCTATTATCTTGATACACCTGTATAGGACATTTCACAGAAACTCTGATGTCCTGAAACAGTTACATCAACCATTCACAATCCATGAGTAAAATGACAGAGCATTGAGTTCTGCTTCACAGGAACTTAGGCTAACTGTCGTCTGCTTCTTGCACAGCCAGTCAAACAGGCAGTGGTTGTACATGTAGCATACTCCAGAAGTGCTTGTACCATCCGTGGTGTCACTTCCAAAACTTGCATCTGCAAAGATTTCAAGACCTCCAGTCTTCTGACTGGTGAACCTCAGCCTGTAGTGCAAAGTCCCTTTCAAATAGCGGGCTATGCGCTTCAGAGCTTTCCAATCCTCAACAGTAGGATTGTTGGCATGTCTGCTAAGCAGGTTAGTGCTTACAGCTATGTCAGGCCTTGAACATCTAGCAATGAAATTCAGCTTGCCTAGAATGCATCTGTACAGTGTAGTGTCAGAAAACGCTTCAACAGTACTATCTACCTGGTAACCTGTCACCATCGGTGTGTCTGCTGGGTTTGCATCAACCAAATTCAACCTGGTTAATACATTCTTTGTTTTCCTAGAGTGGACATGCAGGTGGATGTTTGCTCCAGCCAGTCAGAACTTCCTGTTTCCTCCTAGAATGGGACATCCTTCCTCTTGCATGTGACTAGAGGTGGGTGTGGCCTTACCTGTGCAGGTAACAAAAGCACAAGGCACGCAGCCCTCCTTCCCTTCTTTTCCATCTTCCTTTCATCATGTGAACTACAGTGACTGCCAGTCTGCAGTCACTGAGATTAAACACCCATATGGGGTAGATCCATATGTACATATTTGTAACTGTCTGCCTTTTGGGATCCAGCTGTAAACCGAATGTGACTAAACTCCTTTTATATGCTCTAAACAAGATTGTGGCGTGTTTTTTTTCTTTTAAGAGGGATATAAGGGAACTTACCAGGAACCAAACAGTGAGAGGCTTAAACAAGCCTGCAACCAGCTATCTGCTGTGCATTTTTAGGGGGAATGTAAAATTCTGCTAAGTTATAGAACTTGCTAGCGCAAGTTAGGAAGGATATCAATAAACAATCTATCCTCTCCTGCCTCCCTGAACATTCCCACACAACTCACCTGCGGTGGTTCATATGGAACCAGGACACTCTGCCTGCCAGTGATGGGGTCTTCCACATACTGAGCATGGCTGTTTCCTTCCACTCTGATCAGGTGGCTGGGAGGAGCTATTTGACCTGCAAAAGCGTATGGCAAAGGAACAAGGTCAGCAAAAGAACCAGCGTTTTGGAGAGAGATAACCCAAGGAAAGCAAGCGAACTTCCACAGTCCAGGGCTTATGTCTTGCTGTAAAATCCCTGCACCTATTGGCGTATCTCAACTCCACCTTGAAGAGCTTCCCTAGTGACAGTGACTGAAATGGACCTGTGTTCTGCTCACTGCTGTCAACTGGCCACTCTATCAGTGGCGTAGCGTGGGGGGTGCAGGGGGGGCCGGCCGCACCGGGCGCAACATCTGGGGGGGCGCACTCGCACTCGCAGCTCTCTGCCCCTACCTGGCTCACTCACTCTCTCTCACTGCAGTGCTGGCTGTGCGAATCCGATCCGAGCCGCTGGGTCGCCGCCCACTGTGGAGGGGGTGGGTGCCAGGCGTGCGGTGCGGAGAGAGAGCGAGGGACTATCTGGGGGAGGGACAGTGCAGCGGCCGTCCAGCGCAGTGCTGAGCGCGGGAGAGAACCACACCAGACCAGCCCAGGCAGCAGCAAGAAGAAGCTGGCAGCGGCGGCAGGTATGGGGTTAGGGGGCGCAAATTACTTGCCTTGCCCCGGGTGCTGACAACCCACGCTACGCCACTGCACTCTATAGCTATGCTTCATATTGTTACAGAAGTGGCGTGCCTGCCCAGGCACTCACCCAGGATCTGTGGTTCCTCTGGAAAATGGAGGCACAGTGGAGGCTGCCGTAGCTTTAGGAAATATGGTTTATTAGCCTATTTACACCTTCAGTCTTCATGGCCAGCATGGACGTTTCAAGAGGGGCTTGTCCCCTACAGCAGTGCAGTCAGGGAGTCCAAAGGCATCTCTCCTAGCCAGCCTTCGGCCAGCCTGCCCAAGATGGATCCCAGTCTTTCCTCTCCCCTTCTTCTTCTCCCCAGAACACCCTGCTAAAAACTCTTTTCTTGTCACTTCAAACCCACACCCCATCACCATGGCAACCTCTGTCTGCCTAGACTCTCAGATGTGCCATCAATCCATTTTGTCTTATTCATGCCTCTATCCCAAGTGAGGCCCTGGCTTGGAAAGGAATCTTAGCCTGTACTTTTCCACTGACCCCCAATCTTCTCTTCAATACTCCAAATCATAAAAATTTGTTCTTTGTTCTTTCTTTCTTTTTTGTTTCATTTTCTTTCTAGGTATATAAAATTTGTATATAATTTTTGTATACTTGTTGGAAATTATAGTAAGTCCTGTAATGTAATATGACAACGTCTACCGATGTAATATAAGAATGTTAACAAATAAATAAAATGCATTTTAAATAATAATAATAATAATAATTAAATCCTACCATTTATTAATTTCTAGGGTTTGGGAGGGGGTCGCCCCCAAATCTATACAATATGATAAGGATATTGACAAGCTGGGAGGTGTGCAGAGGAGGGCGACCGAGACATGGAAACCAAGACTTATGAGGCTCGGTGCATGGAATTTGGGATGCTTAGCTTAGAGGAGAGGAGATACGAGAGCCGTCATCCAAGATCTGGAGGTGCCCAACTCACCTTCGTTAAATTCCCGGCTGAGCTCGTGGTTGGGGCAGCGCTTCACCACCTCGGTGACGTGCTCCGCTTTCTTGTAGACAGGCATTGCACGGATGACGGCGCCCTGGGGAGGGGGAGTCATCACCTTGATCTGAATGGGACATGTCTTGGCGATCTGGCAGTACAACTTCTTCAGTTCGGTGGAGTACTGATGGGAGGACAAGAGGGAAGGGAGGCAAAGTCAGGAGAGCAGCCTAGGAAGACCCATTTTGCATGTGCAAGAACTCGATCCTTTGGCAGCAACGAAACTCTGGAACTCCCTGCCTATTGACAACAGGCAGGGGCCTTCCCTACAGTCCTTCAGCAGCTGCTAAAAGTGTTGTGTTATGTGTAGCTGACATTGTAATGTTTTATTTTTAAATCTTTAAGATATTTTTTTCGATTCCTGTTAATTAAGTTGCTTTGAACGGATGCTTTATATTTGACTTTCTTCAGCAATGTTTCATTTAATGTCTTAACTGCTCTGAGAGCTTTTTCCTTAAAAAAATATAGAGTGGTATAGTAATGAAAAACAACAACAAAACATAGGCAAGCATGCCCAGATGCTTAGAAAGTTAACGTGAGTTAATTCTTGTTGTTCTTCTAACTTTTCAAAAGTTTTAAATTATTGTTGTTATTTTCTCTTATTGTTATTTTTAAATCTTTTTTTGTCAAACCACTTTGAGGCATGAGTTTGTTTGTTTGCTTGACAGTCAAGAAATGTATACATTTTATGAAATTAAATAAAAGCGAAGTCACAAGCCACAGTCCCTTATCCTTCCCTCTGGGCTGCACCAATCCTGCTGAGGTCTCTTCACGATACATAGGCACCAAGGCAGTCAACACACACTTAATGTTTTATTGATTATAGTTTAGAAATTATTTATTGTAACTGTTGAGTGGATTTCTCTTTAACTTTTATATGTTAATATTATTATTTTGTACTATCCTAATAATTGTTGAATGTTACTTTATTTGATGTAGGTTGCTTATTTTAAAGTTTTGTTTTATTATCACATTTTTTATTGCATTAGATTGTTATAAGATGTAGATTTTTTGTTTCGTCAGCTTGTAAACCTCCTTGAGTATAGAAAGATGGTATACAAATAAAAAATGATGATGATGAAATATGGAGAAGAGACGACTGAGAGGAGATGTGAGAGCCATCTCCAGATATCTCAAGGTCTGTCACATGGAAGAGGGAACAAGCTTGTTTTCTCCTGCTCCGGAGAGCAGGACCAGAACCAAGGGATTCAAGTTACAAGACAGGAGATTCCAACTAAACATCAGGAAGAACTTTCTGACAGTAAGAGCTGTTTGGCAGTGGAAGGGTGTCCCTTGGAAAGTGATGGACTCTCCTTCCTTGGAGGTTCTTAAGCAGAGGTTGGATGGCCATCTGCCATGGACTCTTTAGCTGTGATTCCTGCATTGCAGGGGGTTGGACTGGATGACTCTTGGGGTCCCTTTCAGCGCCGCGATTCTGTGACTCCACCCCAGTGTGCAAAATGCCAAGTCTTTCAGTCCCAAGTAGGACTAATTTGAAGGGACATGGGTGGCGCTGTGTGTTAAACCACAGAGCCTAGGACTTGCAGATCAGAAGGTCGGCGGTTCGAATCCCCGCAACAGGGTGAACTCCCGTTGCTCGGTCCCTGCTCCTGCTAACCTAGCAGTTCAAAAACGGCGTTTCCGTGCGCTGCTCTGGTTCGCCAGAAGCGGCTTAGTCATGCTGGCCACATGATCCAGAAGCTGTACGCCGGCTCCCTTGGCCAATAAAGCGAGATGAGCGCCGCAACCCCAGAGTCGGCCACGACTGGACCTAATGGTCAGGGGTCCCTTTACCTTTACCTTTAGGACTAATTCAGCCAACTAGCCCTGGTGATTATCTAATATTTATTAGATGGATTTCCCCTAAATTGATTTCTGAACTTTGAATTTTATTGTTATTCATGTTTTCACACTGTATTTTATGCTGTTTTTACAATTAAGTGTTTTAAATTTCTTGTTAGCCACCTTGAGCCCGGTTTTTGAACCGGGAAGGGCGGGGTATAAATCCAAATGTATTATTATTTATTATAAGTGCCAGGAAGGCTGCAGGAGCTTGTCTGTTGCTTCCACGCGGCATGGAAACCCCCTGGCTGCGGCAACCACAGAAAACTGCTGGCATTTCCTCCCTTCCCAGCTATTGATGCCTTTCCACGGGGCTGGCGGGAAGAGTGCGCAGCAAGCTGTCTGTTTGCTTTCAGAGCGTCCCGTGAAAGGCTGCGTGCTCCCAGGCACGATCCCAAGGGCGCAAACAAAAGGGCCGACAGGAACGCACACGTTAAACTGCAGCAAAACTCGCCCTTTGCATCCTGTCCGGATAATAGGCTCCTGGCAAGGGTGGTTGGTTAGGCAGGTGGGTGGCAGTGTGGCAATGGAGGGGATTAGCGATGGATATTCAAGGAGGCGGGTGGGAGGGATTTTATTCTGTTACAGGTTGCTCAGGTGAGAAAACATGAATCTGGGGGGGAAATTAGAAGAAGTGGCCAATTATTTTCAAGCATGAACTCCGGCTCTCCTCTCTGCTCCACCCCACCCCTTCTCACATCGCTGCCCAAAGGATTTAGGTCATCGCAGCGAAAGGCACTGCTGCGAATACCTCGCTGTTTAAAGCCCTCTTTCGAACGCGACAATGTCGGATTGTGCAATCGCTTCTCTTTCTCGTGCCCGCAGGCTAAGGATTACGCACACAAAGGATTTACACAGCCTGCGGAAACGGGAGCGTGCCAAGCGAGGCAATATATTGTTTGAGAAAGGAGAAGAAGAAGAAAAAGGAGAGGAAAGAAAACCAGATTATTGCAACACTCAAAGCAAATTGTTGGAGGGCGGGGGGGGAGGTTCTTTAAAATAAAATAAAAAGTATTCCGAGAAATCTCTCATTGGAAAGCTCTCTTAATTAAAATGAACACTGTTAATAAGGCACAAGACTGAAGTTTTAAGGAACTGGGCAGAGGGAAAGCAGACGGGGGTTTTTTGTTTGTTTGTTTCTCTGCTAAGCACATCATGCCAACCTGATCTCGAGACAAAAGATTCAAGATTAGTATCTTTGGCGACTTTAAGAAAGGAGAAATTGGAAGGGGAGCAGAGGAGAGGAGAGGGACTGCATTGGGACCACAGTATCAGGCCAAGGGGTTTAAAGCTTTTCCTCCTGGCCATTTTCAAAAATTGCCCCACTTTCAGGTGTCTGGGTGATCCCTTTCTGCTTCCCCCTACATGGACCTCAGAAGCTGGAGAGTGAGGAATTTAACATCAAGAAAAAGTGGTGTTGATATACAGGACTAACCCCCTTCCCACACTGCTCCCCTCGCAATCCTATCTGTTTCCCTATCGACTTTAAAAATATATATATCATGGGAGATGGTCAGCACAGATTCCCTCACATCGCTGCTAGTTGCACCCATGAGAAGGAAGCCAAATAGGATGAGATCAAGGGGTTCCATCGCCCTGTCCATTGCTGTGGCCAGGTGGGTACTTTGAACTGGGCCAGAGCGTTTCTCCATTTATCCTTGTTCTGCTTACTCTGACTGGCAGCTGCCCTCCAGGATCTGAGCTCCGAGGTATCTCCCAGCCAGACCCAGCTATCTCGAGATCCTTTTAAATGGAGATGTCGCAGGAGCACAGGAAGTCAACCAGAGACAGGCAAACCGATCAGGATAATGAAGAAGTTTATCCTTGTTCTGTGCAACAGGCCAAGATTTCATTTTATTTTATTGCAATTCATTCTCCCAAGCCACTGGGCTAGCTTGCAGAATCTTACCATAACCGACAGGTGAAGACTTTCTTGTTCCAACAAGAATTGACCGCATTTAGTTAAAGGGCTGGCGCTCTGCTGTTTTTATTTTAATCATCGGTATGTTTTAAACGGATTTTGCATATGTATACAGTTTTAACTCTATCAAGGTTTAATTGGTTTTTTAATGGTTGATTTCTGTATGTTTTTAGCAACAGAGAGCAAGAAGGAGCTCTACTCCAGGGCAGCTAGTCCTCTCCCTGGAGACTGTTTCTCTCCCTTGAGATTACAGCTTGGCTCGCTTACTTGAGCAGCCTGCCATTTTACTCCACAAGCGACATTTTACGGGGTTTCTGTCCACCATTTGTGGCCTCCCACGGTGGTATGGATCGTCTTCAGGAAGGGCCAAAAAAAGCTCGGCATGCGAAGGATCTGGGGTTTCTGACAACTTCAGGCTTCAATGCCTTTGGGGCACGAGGTCTCACCAAAATGGGCAGGGACGAGGCTGCAAAGAAATGTTGCCACAAGGAACAAACGGCACCAAGAAGACCCAGCATGGGCTAAACATCCTGGGATGCTTCAAAATGAAATAGAAATCTCAGCCCTTTTGCTGTTCTTTGTGCCCAAATGCGCTCCACAGAGGGGATTTCTGAGGATATCAACACACTGGCCCGTTTTTACCTAAGAATACGACTTGCAAGGAACACGGGGGGGGGGGGAGCATTCCAATACCTGCCTCCCTGCCCTCGCCACCTGCCCATGGCAGCAGGCTGTGTTACATGCTGCTGGCACCCCGGCGGGTAATCCAGTCTCTTTCCGCGCACGCCCCATGCGCACGCCCCACCGTCGGCCAACACCTGCCTGGTTTCTCGGCACGACGTCCCCCCCCCCTCCGTTCCTTCCACCCACCCTTCTCCTGAAGGAGTGTTGACAAAGGTTTTCAAAGACCCACACGTACAGCCATTATTTGGGAGTGTCTATTTCACTCTTAACAAAGGAGAAGTCTGCCAGCGGAACACTTACTTTCCAGCGCTCAAAGCGCGGGGAGTGAAAAAGGGGCACCGGGAAGGAAAGGGGTCTTGGTTTTTGCAACGGGAAACACCCGAGCTCACCTCGCAGGGGGAGTTTCCGTCGGCCGTGCACAAATGTGGAGCACGGGAAGAACCACACACAGAGACACACAAATGCACAAACACACCGCCTCCTTGAATCTTGCAGATTCCTGTGCCTGTGAAGAAACTTAAGGACCGTCTACTCTCCTTCCTTGGAGATATTTAAGCAGAGCTTGGATGGCCCTCTGTCATGGATGCATTAGTTGAGATTCCTGAATTTCAGGGGGTTGGACTACATGACCCTTGAGGGTCCCTTCCAACTCTACCATTCTAGGATTTTAGGATTCATTTCGGATATTTCACAGCAGCGTCTTTAGTTCTAATTGGCCGGAATCATGGAGGGGTTTGTAGAGCTTCTAGTCCGACCCCACTTTCCCACTGCGGGCAATCCAGAGGTCTAGAGTGGGGTTTGGGGGCCTGGAATTCCCCAGGGGGGTACTAAGAGGCAAGAGGGATGCAAGTGACTATCAGACTTTGAAAAGTGGGATCCCTAGATTAAGTTCCTCAGTGGTGTGCTCAAAAATAGAACCATACATAATAAAGCAGGCTTAACTTAGAATTATTTAAACCAATTCATGAGCCAATAACTTATACATTGACCACTAATAATGAATCATATGTTATGGATTTTACTCCACATTTATTATGCTATTTTTGTGATACACAAACGACATGAGAAAACATGGTACACTTATTTGTATAACATTATTCTTGTTTATAAAACCCAATATAAAGGTGTTTTTTTTAAAAAAAGAATAGTGGGAACATTGGTGAATGAGGTGAGAGAATCCTTATCACAGAAAGGGCCCCCCCGGTCTGGTGAACTCCGACTAACTGAGCTGCAGTTAAAAGCCCCCTTGCTGTGAAAAGGCCATGAGGCCATTTCCAAGTCAAAGACTCTTCCAGGCCAGACCAAACATGGAAGGTCTCCCATGCAAAGACACAACAGATGCTTTTGGATTATGGAAGTGTGCTTAGGAAGCCCTCCCAAAGCATAATGTAAGATCAGGCCAGGGGCCCATCTAGTCCAGCATCCTGTTCTCAGGGGGGCCAACCAGGGGCCCCAAAGGGAAGCCAACAAGCAGGAACCAGGCTTGGGAGCCCTGTCTCCTCCTGCAGCTTCCAGCAACTGGACTTCATAAGCATCGCTGCAGAGGCAGAGCAATAGCCACCCTGGCTAGTGGCCACCCAATACCCTTTTATAGCCACCTAGGTTGGTGGCACATCATTGCCTCCTATGGGAGGGAGTTCCACTGATCTGTGCAGGGACTCCTCTGTGGTGGCTCCCTGTTTATGGAGACCCTTCGCTGGTGATCTGCACTTAATCCTCAAGTTATCGTAGTTATTTTATTTCTCTGTTCCATCTCTCAGCTATGTGCTGCTTGAAGAAGGACTTCCTTTCACCTGCCTGAAATCTCCTAGAATTCTGCTCCATTCATCCCTTCTAGTTTTAGGAGAAAGATGTGAGGGGAGGGGACTTTCCAATATCCAGTTTCGCCCTGCCATAAATAATTTTATAAACCTCTATCATGCCACTTTGCCTTTTTTTCTAAAGTAAAATCCCCAAACGTTTCAACCTTTCCTCATAGGAGATTCACTCCATCCCTTGGGTCATGCTGGCTGCCCTTTTCTGAACTTTTTCAAACTCTGCAATGTCCTTTTTGGGGCGAGGCGACCATTAGCTAGCCAGATGCCTAGAACCCATCGATAGCCTCACCCTCCACGATCCTAATCCCCCTTTATAGTTCAAGCTATGATTTTCCAAGCAGTGATGTATGGAAGTGAGAGCTGGACCATAAAGAATGCTGATCGCAGAAAAAATGATGCTTTTGAATTCTGGTGCTGGAGGAGACTCTTGAGAGTCCCATGGACTGCAAGAAGGTCAAACCTCTCCATTCTGAAGGAAATCAGCCCTGAGTGCTCACTGGAAGGACAGATCCTGAAGCTGAGGCTTCAAGACTTTGGCCACCTCACGAGAAAAGAAGACTCCTAGGAAAAGACCCTGATGTTGGGAAAGATGGAGGGCGCAAGGAGAAGGGGACGACAGAGGACGAGATGGTGGGACAGTGTTCTCGAAGCGATCAACATGAGTTTGACCAAACTGCTGGAGGCAGTGGAAGACAGGAGGGCCTGGCGTGCTCTGGTCCATGGGGTCATGAAGAGGCGGACACGACTAAACGACTAAACAACAAAGGATGCTGGCCATAGCTGCGTCCTGGAGAGGCGAGTCCCGCAGTTCCACAATGCGCTGCGTAATCCACAGCCCGCTTCCTCTCGCCCCCTTCTCCCTTTCCAGAGGGCTCCTCGTTCCAAGGAACCCCCGGAGACCACAAGCTCCGAGCACCCTTTCTTGCTGGCCGCGACGCAGCACCCCAGCCAAGGGCCGCCTGTTGCCACCTGTCAGTTGCGGGGATTAATTGCCGGAGCGAGAGCTGGGAGCGGCGCATTCCTCCCCCTGCCGCGCCCACAGGAGATGTTGACACCAGGCATGTCGCCACCCCCTCCCCGTGTACCTGAGCCGGTGTGAACCGCAGAAAGGGGAGGCGCAGAGGGGAGAGAAAGATCTGCGCGGTGGAAGTTTGGGAAGGCAGAGCGTTGACGCTGCAAAAACCACAAGGGGCAGAGGGAGGAATTGTCACACTGGTTCCCTTTGTTCCCTCTGGGTAAGGGGGGGGGGGCTACGCAAAATGCCGGGCCGGACTCAGGAGGCAGCTGGCTGTGCCCTTCCGGGGGGGGGGGGGACACACTCCCAGAACATGAAAAGCTGGGCTGCTTTGGTATACTGGCCAGGGAGGGGTGGCGAGGGAGGCAGCCAGGCAGGATGAAGAAAGGTAGCCTCCAGGCATGAATTTGGGAGAGCAGGCTGGATCCTTCTGCACCACCTCCTCCAACTTCCACTTTCACCTGGAAATACTTGGCAGCACATTCATAGGTTCTTCTTCTTCTTCTTTGGCGATCCCTCGTAGCCGAGTAAGATTGTCTTCCATAAACACGGTTTTAAAATTGAGTCCATAAGTGACTGTGGAGGCCAATTCTGGATCCACAAGTGGGGACACAGGTTTCCGGGCGGGAACTGATCACGGTGTAGGTTTGCCAACTCTGGTTTCCAGGATTCTAGTGTGACATTCAAACCACTTCTTCTTTGGTGATCCCTCGTAGCCGAGTAAAATTTTCTTCCATAAAGATGGTTTTAACAATGAGTCCGTAAGTGGCTGTGGAGGCCAATTCTGGATCCACACGTCCTTCCACAGTGGGGACATTGGTTTCCGGGCAGGAGTGGATCACGGTGTAGATTTGCCAAGCGTGCCTTCCTCTTAGCACGTTTCTCCCTTTCATCCTGAGTTTGAGCATCTTCAAAGCCCATGACATCTTTGGTAAAGGCTGTTTTCCAACTGGAGCGCTCACAGGCCAGTGTTTCCCAGTTGTCAGTGTTTGTACTACATTTTTAAAGATTTGCCTTGAGACAGTCTTTAAACCTCTTTTGTTGACCACCAGCATTACGCTTTCCATTTTTAAGTTTGGAATAGAGTAGCTGCTATGGAAGACGATCATCAGGCATCCGCACAACATGACCAGTCCAACTAAGTTGAGACTGAAGAATCATTGCTTTGACACGGGTGATCTTTGTTTCTCCCATTCTTAGGTTACAGCTAGGGTTGCCATATTTCAAAAAAGTGAACATCCGGATGCAAAAGGTGTTGACCTTTTTTTCTTTTTTTGGGGGGGGGGAGTTGTTGAGCTTCCCAGATGCATCTGGGAAATTCCAGCTGTATGGCAGCCCTATTACAGCTGCTGGAATAATTTTCATTTTTTATATATATACAAAAAAAAGGATTATGCTAACCACCTATGATTTCAGCAGCCATCTCTTGGAAAAGCAAAGGGCTGGGGGGAGCAGGGTAGAAGCATAAGAACGTAAGGAGAGCCTGCTGGATCAGGCCCATGGCCCATCTAGTCCAGCATCCTGTTCTCTCATTGGCCAACCAGATGTCCCAATGGGAAACCTGCAAGCAGGATTCGAACACAAGCCAATTCTCCCCTCCCATAGTTTCCAGCACCTGGGATTCAGAAGCTTTGCTTCCTCCAACTTAGGAGGCAGAGCACAGACATTCAGCCCCATTTCCTTCTTTCTTTCTTTCTTTCTTTCTTTCTTTCTCTCTCCCTCTCTCTCCCTCCCTCTCTCTCTCTCTCTCTCTGTCTCTCTTTCTCTCTCTCTCTCTGACAAAACAAAAATTGGTGAGAATCAGACTTGGAGAGTTGGGATAAATTGGCCCTAACATGTCAGAAATTACACTCAGTAGTAGAGATTGGGAGCAGGAAGGGGAGGAATTTTATGTAAACCTATTTCATTTGCACATCCTGGAAAGAATATGTGGTCCGAAGTGGAGCTATCCTTCGAAATCCACACCTCTCCAAATTCTGAGATGCCAAATAACATGATCAAAAATGTGTATATTAGTGGAGGGTGTACATAAAAAGGCATTTATTGGTGTCAGCATTCAAAAATGGATTATGATTGTGAAAATCCCTTGAAAAAGTGTGCAAATCAGGAGGGGTGGGCACTCAAAGGCTGGCGAATTTTCGCAGGTTGGTGTGGAAATGTGGTGTGGTGAACATCAAAAACCCAACACACACACACACACACACAAACATGGATGTATAAAAATATGGGGTGGGAGAAGACACAAGGTAGGTTCTTTCTTGGGGTAGCCTCACAATTGTGAATACCATGGGAATCTGAACCCATTCTTCCCAGTTTTTAAGCAAGCTCTGAGAATTATTATTATTATTATTATTATTATTATTATTATTATTATTATTTCTTCACAGGGCTTTTATGGATGATTTTTCTGTTTGTTTTTGTGTTTTTTATGCTGATGTGCTTTTAACCTGCAATCTTACTTTTTTCCTTTTTTAATTGCCCTGGAAACAAAAACAGAAACTTTTAAAAATGAAAAACAAACAAGGTGGGTCTCGGTGTTTTTAAAACACTGTAGAACAATCAAGCTCTTTAAGGAGAGAATTGATACACAATGGGTGGTATCTGTCTGTTGATGAATCTGGTGGTAGATTGGAGGAGGGTGTGTGTGCAATTTTTGGCAAAAAGAAACCAGCCAACCCTGCAGGCCACCTCCAATCCACCCCAACTCTTTGAAGATTTCAGGGGGCACAGAAGGCATTGGGGAAATAGAGGAAAAATGCCCCCCTCCACCATTTTCCTGGCAAATTCCTTCCATTAGCACATACTAAGAGCCCTGCTGTCTCTCCAGAGTGGTGCATGCTCTAGTTATCTCCCGCTTGAACTACTGCAATGCACTCTGTGTGGGGCTACCTTTGAAGGTGACCCAGAAACTACAACTAATCCAGAATGCAGCAGCTAGACTGGTGACTGGGGGCGGCTACTGAGACCACATAACACCGGTCTTGAAAGACCTACACTGGCTCCCAGTACGTTTCCGAGCACAATTCAAAGTGTTGGTGCTGACCTTTAAAGCCCTAAACAGCCTCAGTCCAGTATACCTGAAGGACCGTCTCCACCCCCATCGTCCAGCCCGGACACTGAGGTCCAGCTCTGAGAGCCTTCTGGCACTTCCCTCCCTGTGAGAAGTGAAGTTACAGGGAACCAGGCAGAGGGCCTTCTCGGTAGTGGCACCCACCCTGTGGAACGCCCTCCCAGCAGATGTCAAGGCATAAACAACTATCTGACTTTTAGAAGATCTGAAGGCAGCCCTGTTTAGGGAAATTTTTAATGTCTGATGTTTTAATGTATTTTTAATATTTTGTTGGAAGCCACCTAGAGTGCCCGGGGAAACCCAGCCAGATGAGGGGGGGTATAAATATTATTATTATTATTATTATTATTATTATTATTATTATTACTATGGGATCTGGCTACTGTTCAATCTAGTCCAGCATCCTGTTCTCACAGTGGCCAACCAGATGCCTGTGGGAAACCAGCAAGCAGAATTTGAACACAAGAGCAACTCTTGCTTCCTGTGGTTTCCAGCAACTGGGATTCAGAAGCACCGTGACTGTGAAGGCAGAGCAGAGCCACCCTAACTAGTAGTCATCAATGCCATCTCTTCCATGCAGTTGTCTAATCCTCTTTTAAAGCCATCCAAGTTGGTCGCCATCATTGCTTCCTGTGGCAGGGAGTTCCCTTGGTTTATGCATCAGCAAGGACTTCTCTGTGGTGGCTCCCTGTTTGTGGAGACCCTTCGCTGGTGAACTGCACCCAACCCATAGGTAAAGGTAAAGGGACCCCTGACCATTAGGTCCAGTCGTGGCCGACTCTGGGGTTGTAGCGCTCATCTTGCTTTACTGACTGAGGGAGCCGGCGTACAGCTTCCGGGTCATGTGGCCAGCATGACTAAGCCGCTTCTGGTGAACCAGAGCAGCGCACGGAAATGCCGTTTACCTTCCCGCCGGAGCGGTGCCTATTTATCTACTTGCACTTCGTGCTTTCGAACTGCTAGGTTGGCAGGAGCAGGGACCGAGCAACGGGAGCTCACCCCGCCGCGGGTATTCGAACCGCCGACCTTCTGATCGGCAAGTCCTAGGCTCTGTGGTTTAACCCACAGCGCCACCTGTGTCCCTGAACCCAACCCATAAGTTGTCATAATGATTTTATTCATCTGCTTCACGAAACCGGCCTCCTGCTTCATTGCAGAAGAAAACCTCAAAGCAGTTTGAAAGAAAGATGAATAAAAAAAATTCACTGGGTTTTTTCTTTTCTTTTACAGCTGTGATTTAAAACATACGAGAATTCAGACGCAATGTGAAGACGTCTGTGTTCACTCCGGCATTTAGCACTGGAAACAGCAGCCCAGAAAGGTGTTTTATCTGTTTTGAGGTTTTTAATTAAGATGTTTTATGGATGCTGATGATGTATGCCTGCCCTGGGCTCCCGTGGGAGGAAGGGTGGGATAAAACCTGAATGAATAATCTCCAGCAGCAGACAGATGCAACCCACTGGACGCACACACATTTATATAAACCAAACCGCAATCGTCAGAGCAAAAACTCCAGAGCAGGAATGGGTGAGTTTTGCCTTTCTGCACCAAGTGCAAGAGCAAAGCTGTTCTCTGCACAGAGGAATAACAAGGGAGATTCCTCCTTCAGGTTGCACAGGCTCCTTTAAGGTAGCAGAACAAAGTATTATTATTCTTCTCAAATCCTCCTTTTTGCAAAATTAAATTAAAAATCTTCTTCACGTGTAATAAACTAGCACATCACATTTAAGCAGAGGTCAGGTGGCCAGCTGTCTGGGATTCTTTAGTTGTGTTCCCCGCATTCCAACTCTACGATTCTATGATACTATAACGGACATGGTTTCATACAACCCTCTTTAATATCACATTTTCTAGCTACCAACCCAGTTGCAAAATGGTTGTTATTTGCATGAAAACTGCAGGAGACAGAAATGACTATCCCTTCATAATATGCTTGCCTCCTGACATTGTCTGACGGGTAGTTGGCGAGGGCAGGCAACATGTTGTTTTGCTGTCCTTGGGCTGAGGAACTCCCTGCCACAGGTGCAGCACACTGCCAAGTATCTAAAAACACTTTTGGGCTCCGTTCTAACGAACAGCAGGGAAAGGGCTACACCTGTCCTCCCTGCTGCACCCCTTCAGACAAGTCTCACCTGAGAAAACACTCCACCCCCCCCAAAAAAGCTTCCTGGCGCACAGAAAGGCCAGGGGAAAGATTAAGTGTGAAGGACCTTTCTCCCTGACATGCTTGCTTTCCGAGTGCAGGGTTTTCATTTCATTTGGTATTGATGAAACTTCAGTACTGAGAGTCTGAAACATGGCAGGGCAGAGCAGGGGTGAAGGAAGGCGTCGTGACACCCAGGGCGGGCGTCGCTACATAGGGCGCATGTGTGGCGTCGCTACGTACAACGCATGCGCCGTATGTAGCGATGCCGCACATGTGCTGTACATAGCGGTTTGCTGGCGGCGCTGCTCCAGCGCCATATGGATGGTGCTGGGATCCTCTGCTCGTGGCTGTAGCTCTGGAGCGCCAGTGGCGGCAAGCCGCTATACAGCGCATGTGTGGCGTCGCTACAGCGCATGCGTGTGACGCCACACATGCGCTGTACTTAGCAGTTTGCTGCCGGTGCCACGATCCTCTGCTTGCAGCTGCAGCCGCAAACGGAGGATCCTCCACATGTGGCCGCGCTGCCACGAGCCCCCGCAGGGTGATTTCTTGTCACCCCCCCAGACATGGAACCCGGGGCGAACTGCCACCCTGCACCCCCCGTTGTGACGCCACTGGGGCAGAGGAACTCGTAGACCACTTCTGTGTCTTGAGAACTAGGCCCTAAGGCAGCTTCCCCACATCTGGTTCTTTCCAGATGTTTTGGAATACCAAACTTCAAAGCGACTCTCCAAAGGTGATAGGATAGCTGTTTTCAAATATCTGAAGGCCGTCGATCGTAAGATAGAGCAAGCTCACTTCCTGCTGCTCCAGAGGGCAAGACCCAAACCAACAGATCCAAATAACAAGAAAGGGGATTCTGAAGAACTTTAATGATGATACTACTACTACTGCCTATGCTGCTACTAATTTTATTACTTCTATACCACTCATCTGACTGGCTTGCCCCAGCCACTCTGGGAAGCTCCCAACAAAATATTGAAAACACCATAAAACCTCAAACATTAAGAGCTTTCCTGTACAGGGCTGCCTTCCAAAATAATAATAATAATAATAATAATATTACATTCTGACAGTAAGAGCTGCTTGACAGTGGGACAGACTCCCTTGGAAGGTGGTGGACTCTCCTTCCTTGGAGGTTTTTAAGCAGAGGTTGGATGCTTTCGTTGAGATTCCTGCATTGCAGGGGGCTGGACTAGATGGCCTTTGGGGTTCCCTCCCAGCTCTAGAATTCTGTGATGCTACTATTCTCATCAGCCTTGGCGAGCAGGACAGTTTGGGCAAGGTTGCTTTGATGCACATCTCAAAGAAGTGCAATGCGTGCAAAGGCCACTTGGAGCAATAAGGTAACTCCAAAAGGAACTGGAAAAGGTGAGCTGTCCAGGAGTCCTTTAGACCCCTTGGCTTGGAATGGATGTCTGCAAATTGCACCACTCAGCCAGTAAATTTCCTGTCGACTTCAAACGCATTAACCCTTCCTTCCCCCTCTCCTTCTCTCTCTCTCCCCCCTCTTTGCATCTCCGCTTTCCACCCCCAACTAAGACGCAGGGCAGGTCCTGTCAGGTTTGGGTTTGGAGCGAGCAGCAGCAGCAGCAAGCCGTCCCCCCCCCCATTTCCTCAGAAGCCCTGCAGGCTACAGTGCAGAGGCAAGTCCCAACCCAGCACACACCAGCTTTCAAGCACTCGGCGCCTCTGGTCTTGTCTCCGCGCATAGTTTGCAAGTAGCATCACGCCTCTCTTCCTCCGGCCCATTTCATGCGCTGTGCATGCACGCCAGACGCCTTGAAATTCTGCTTTGATTTCACAAAAATAAACCCAAGCTGGGGCGGGGGGAAGGCAGAGGCCTGTGAGCTGGAGAAGCAACAGTTCTGCTCCCCCCTTTGTTCTTGGTTCAGGGTCCAAAGCCTTCTTAATTCACATCTGGGATCGTGGACCATAGCCAGGGACCAGTGGCCAAGGTTCTCAGCATGCTACAACCAGACCCAGAGACAGGCCACAGCAAGCCACCTCCTCGATAAGGCAGGCACTCTCTAGTTTGGTCATGCCCTGTTTCCTGAATTTCCTCTAAAAAAATCAATCCCCTTCCCTCACAGCTGCTCCAGATGTTCCTTTTCCACTTAGCCAGATGTTGGTGTGATGGCCTGGGACTTGGGCTCGGACTCAGAACCAGAGGAGACTCAGTCTGCACCGGATCCTTTGCCTCAGCCATCACCTGAACCAAGTCTGGGGCCTGATCCTGAAGAGTCCCAGTCTGCACAGGTTCCCCTGCAACAAACACCAGCTGGGCTGAGTCAGGGGCGTGAGCCTGCCCTGGCTCCAGGTGCGGGGATGACCTTATTGCCTCCAGCTGGGCCATCACTTACAGCTGCTCCACTTGGGTCAGGGGAGACTGAGGCGGCCCCTGGGTCTAGTAACCCACCGACGTCTCCCGAGCTGTAGAGAGCAAGGTCTGAGAGAAGGAGAGACCTGAGTACTCGCAGGAGGAGTGCTCACCTTCGGGCGAGACAGGGAGGTGAGTTGCCGGGGGATCAGGACCGGCCGCTACCCCAACAAAGATAAAAGGCTGTCGGACCCTGCCCCAGGTTGCAGGAGCAACATTGCTGTATGCCAGATCCTGCAGCTGTCCTTGCCTGGTTTCCTGCCTTGGCCCTGTCGGACTGACTCCCAGTGGAACCTTCAGATTCTGGACTGGTCCTGGACTGTGTTTCACGGGTTACCCCCGGGCCCAGCACAGTTGGTAAAACAAGAGCTCTGGTGGAAGGGGGCAGGCAGGGACAGATGCAAGGGGTCTGACTTCAGAGAAGTTGGTCCTTTGCCCTGATGGAGAACATCTGCACTTTGGGTCTATGAACCAGTGGCATGCTGTGAAGTTTTTCATAGGAGAACAGTTAGGGCCAGAGGCGCACGCTTGCGAGGGCATTGGGGATGCTGTGACGACTCGCACACGAGAATCGTGCTTCCCCCCTAAGCTGGGCAGAAGCTTCCAAGGGTTTGGGAAGGAGGCGCCAGGGGAACATTTAGGGGACCAGGATAGTCTTCTTAGTCCACTGACCAAACGTCGCTGCCACGAACCCAATTGAGTTCAGTACCGAGGCAGCTGGATCTAGGTTCAGATACAAGTTTTGAGGTGGGCTCCGAGTGAGTTCGGACAAAAAGCTGCCTAGTGGTAGGAACCCAATTCCACACCTCAGTTACCTCTGCACTTTCCAGACACGGTCCGCACTTTAAAGCTCTGTGCTGGAGCATTTGTTGTTGCTGTTTGTCCTTGCGCATTCCCACGAAAATTCACTCTTTAGTGCTGAATCGGAGCAAACAGCAATCCATGGAAGACCCCAATTGCCAGTTGTTGCATTTCAGCTGTGAAGAGAGGGCTTTTCTTTGGGGGGGGGGGTTAAGCTCCGGGGCAAATGAAAGGGTGCCCCTGTGTCTAGAAAAAGCAGTGCGGATAAACTCTCAGGCACAGCTTCGCAGTGCATGTAGCACAATAGATAGGAAGTCTTCAGACTTCTTAACCATTGAGCTATAGGCTATAGGTCTGTGGATGAATTGTAGAATTATAGAGTTGGAAAAGACCCTGAGGATCATCTAGTCCAATACATAGCTGCCCCACACGGTGATCGAAGATGCAACCTTGGCATTATCTAACCAACTGAGCTAGCCAATTGAATAAAAGTTCTCAGAGTGCATAGGAAACACTCCCAGTTTGTGGGAAGCTCAGAAAAGAAAATTCTGAAGGTCAGATATTTATTTCCTTGCTTTTTTATTCAACTTTCTTCTGTTTCTATCCTGCCTTTCTTTCCTCATGGAACCCAAAACGGCATGAGCGTGAGTCCCAGACAGCCACCTCTTTGACCAGGCGCAGACCTGCTTAGGTTGAGCCAGGTGATGGTCTTATGTGCCTTCTAAGAACATAAGAAGAGTCTTCTGGATCAGATCAAATGAGGCCCATCTAGTCCTCAGTCCTGTTCTCACAGGGGTCAACAAGAGGCTCCAAAGGGAACCCCACAACAGGATCCAAGAACAAGAGCCCTCTCACCTCCTGTGGATTCCAGCAACTGGGTTTCAGGAGGGTTGCTGCCTTTGGAACACACAGCAGAGCATCCTGGCTAGGAGCCACTGAGAGCCCTCTCCTCCATGGATTTGTCTAATGCAGTTGTCTAAAGCTCAGCACTGTCCATCTACAGAGACTGGCAGTGGCTCTCCAAGGTTTCAGAAAGGACATCTTTCCCCAACTCTACCTGGAGAGACCAGGGACTGGACCTGGGACCTACTGCATGGAAGCAGGTGCTCTACCACGGAGCTACAGTTCTTCCCAGAAGTCTACAGCTCCAAGCTTGACTCATACATCCTCTGCAGCAACGCGGTCGCTGTTCCAACTCTGTTTTGCATGGTTGGGAGCTGGGACGTCACGTGGTCATGGGAACTTCTGAATCAGCTTCTCCATTAGGTTGGTCAGATCACATCAAAGAGTAGCCTGGCAGCTCCCAGGAGAACTGGCACTTGGCCTGAACCTTGCAATCCTTCTGAAGCTTTAGGGAAGCGGATTCAGAATGTTCCTGCACGTTCCATGTTGAGAATTACACTTTCCAGGACAGGCCAAGAAGAAACCATTGTTAAGTCTGCCATGGGCATATCCCATGGGTAGGCAAACTAAGGCCCAGGGGCCGGATCCAGCCCAATCACCTTCTAAATCCGTCCCGCAGATGGTCCAGGAATCAACGTGTTTTTACATGAGTAGAATGTGCCCTTTTATTTAAAATGCATCTCTGGGTTATTTGTGGGGCACAGGAATTTGTTCATTTCCTCCCCAAAAAATATAGTCCGGTTCCCCACAAGGTCTGAGGGACAGTGGACCAGCCCCCTGCTGAAAAAGTTTGCTGACCCTTGGCATCCCATCCCCTCAAAACGGCATCCATGCTCCAACATCTCAAGGATGCACAATGCAATGTCTGCATGGAAAAAGTTGGGAAAGTCTTGGGTCCCCAGACTGTTTTTGCTCTGTGATTTGCTGGTTCACACACCCATGACTGTGAAATAATTATGTTTTCAGATGAGGACAAAGACAAAGGCCTGTAAATCTTTACAAACAAACCAACATGGCCACACCTCTCTACGGGATTAGGAAACAAAACAAAAACAATCTCTCTCTCTCTAGCGAAGGAAAAAGATCAGGCAAAACAAGCACCTCTCTTGGCAGTCCCAATGCTAGCAGCACATCTGGTACAAAGGACTTCGTAGATTGCCTACCCAGTTTGCAACATCTTAAAGACTCTGGCTGTTGATGCGAAGGAGGAAGGGCCTCCAGAAGACCGAGAAAAGTAGACTTTGGTGAATGGCTTGTTTTCCTATTTAGGCCATCAGTGTCACCACAGGTCAGCTGGGTACAGAGGTCAGTGTCACCACAGGTCAGCATGGAGGTGTAGAGTTGGAAAATAAGGCAAGGGTCATTTAGTCCACCTCCCCCCACCCTGCAATGCAGGTAATTTTTTCCAGGCGAGTAACTGGGTGCACAGTGGTACCTTGGTTCTCAAATGCCTTGGTACTCAAACAACTTGGAACCCAAACACTGCAACCCCGGAAATAAGTGTTCCGGTTTGCGAACTTTTTTCAGAAGCCAAACATGCTCCATTTTGAGTTTTATGCTTCCGATTTGAGTGCCACACTTCCGTTTTGAGTCTTACGCTGAGTTCTGTCTGTTTTTGCTATTTATTTTGTGTTTTTGTTTTTGCTGCTCTTTTTTGTTTTGTTTTTATGACTGGGTGGAACCCAGTTCAGCTACTGATCGATTGATTGATTGTGTGGCTGCAGTACATTGTTTATTGCTTTCATTTTATGGATCAATGGCCTCATTAGATGGTAAAATTCATGTTCAATTGCTGTTTTAGGGGTTGTTTTTAAAAGCCTGGAATGGATTAACCTGTTTTGCATTACTCTCTATGGGAAAGAGCGCCTTGGTTTTGGAACGCTTTGGTTTTGGAATGGACTTCTGGAACGGAAGTCTGCTCTGACATCTAGCACATCATTAGAGGAATCCTGGACCTGACGTTCTGCAGGACCAGGTGCAATTACTGAAGGGAGGCTCAAAAAGCCTCGTTCACACATGATGTCAAACAACACTTAAAGCTGTGGCTCTAAATTAGAGCACTTATTTTACTTGCATCAGCAAAAAAAGGAAAAGGAAAGAAAAAAGATTTGGAAATTGCTGCATTTGCCTAATATTTATTTGCCGTTGACATCCATTCATAGCTACTAATGAGCTCATGGAACCAAATTCTCTGCAGAATGAGAAAAGAGCTGTATTTGTTTTTTAATGCAGAAATTTCTGTATTTGGAAATGTTTCTGTCCCACTTGCTTGACATGCAAACAATGTACACCACCACTGAGCTGTTATGGCTCTCTCCCCATATATATTGGATATGACGGGAAAAGCCCCATACCTGAATTTTGCAGGTAGCATTTCTTAAGCTATTTCTGTTTCAAGGTTTTGTGCGCAATCTTTGCAGAAGGCGCAAAACTCCTACAGGGCTGTAAGGTCTGCTTCAGAGGGCAACTTGCCCCCACCCTAAGCTTCTGTATTTCTTTGCCTCCTTTAATAGACTTTCACTAACCAGTAATCATCATTAATGCTTGCTCATCACCTAAGTAATCATAGAATCATAGAGTTGGAAGAGACCACCAGGGCCATCGAGTCCAACCCCCTGCCAAGCAGGAAACACCATCAGAGCACTCCTGACATATGGTTGTCAAGCCTCTGCTTAAAGACCTCCAAAGAAGGAGACTCCACCACACTCCTTGGCAGCAAATTCCACTGTCGAACAGCTCTTACTGTCAGGAAGTTCTTCCTAATGTTTAGGTGGAATCTTCTTTCTTGTAGTTTGGATCCATTGCTCCGTGTCCGCTTCTCTGGAGCAGCAGAAAACAACCTTTCTCCCTCCTCTATGTGACATCCTTTTATATATTTGAACATGGCTATCATATCACCCCTTAACCTCCTCTTCTCCAGGCTAAACATGCCCAGCTCCCTTAGCCGTTCCTTATAAGGCATCGTTTCCAGGCCTTTGACCATTTTGGTTGCCCTCCTCTGGACACGTTCCAGTTTGTCAGTGTCCTTCTTGAACTGTGGTGCCCAGAACTGGACACAGTACTCCAGGTGAGGTCTGACCAGAGCAGAATACAGTGGCTCTCTGCTCTTCAACCTGTGGCCTTGGATTCCCAAGTTTGCCTTCAGTATCTGATGCCCAGTGGCAGCCGTTACATTCCCAGTAAATTGTGTGGAAGCCTATTATTTGCACATTTCACCACCTCCTCCTTGTTTAAAGAACGAAAAGGGGTAGCAAGTTGAGCAGGGAAAGGTTGTATGCAAGCATCACAGCAACATTGCATTAAGCAGGATGGTGTACACAGCCAGTTGGGACAAACAGTTCATTGCTTTTCTGTGTAGCTTTGCTCTTCGCTCTGCCCTCCCCTCAAAGGGGTTTGCTTCTCATTTCAAATACAGTGGTACCTTGGTTCTCAAATGCCTTGGTACTCAAACAACTTGGAACCCAAACACTGCAAACCCAGAAGTAAGTGTTCCAGTTTGCGAACTTTTTTCAGAAGTCGAACATGCGCCGATTTGAGTGTTACACTTCCGTTTTGAGTGTTACGCTGAGGTCTGTCTGTTTTTGCTATTTATTTTGCTGTTTTGTGGCTCTCTCTTTTTGTTTTTGTGACTGTGTGGAACCCAGTTCAGCTACTGATGGATTGATTGTGTGACTGCAGTACATTGTTTGTTGCTTTCATTTTATGGATCAGGGGTCTCGTTAGATGGTAAAATTCATGTTCAATCGCTGTTTTAGGGGTTGTTTTTAAAAGTCTGGAACGGATTAACCTGTTTTGCATGACTCTCTATGGGAAAGAGCGCCTTGGTTTTGGAATGCTTTGGTTTTGGAACAGAATTCCGGAACGGATTAAGTTTGAGAACCAAGGTACCACTGTATATGAAATTCCTCATTGACGCCTTCCCCCTTAGCTTTGAGCTCTGCCCGAAACTCATTTCTTTCCTGAAAAATTGACCCAACTGTAGACTCGGTATGCTGTTCCTTTCTCACAATGTTGTCTCCAGGTCCTCAACCCCCTTCTCTTCTCGGTCTTCAGTCCTCCCTTACCTCCTAGACTTCCATCCCCTCCAACATTTCCCCGATGAAAATAGGGACATCCTATCCATATTTGCTATTAAGTTTCCAAAGTTTAACATAGACATTTCAATGAACAGTAATTGTTTCTTTCGTTTTCTCGACTTCCCACGCCATTTCCCACAGTGTTTTTATTCCTCTCCCTTTGCCGTACGCTGTCTTCTATCTTTCATATCACAGCAACATTGCTATACTCTCTAATTTATTCTCTGGCTCGTAGTTCAAATCCTGCTCATCGTGTTAGAACGCTTTTTTAAGTGATACAAAAAAAGGCTTCCCTTCTTCCAATCTTATCTTGAAGCCATCCAAGTTGGGGGCCACCTCTGCCTCCTGTGGAGCCTGCTTTGCAGGTAGCCAGGCAAGTCGCAGACTACAGGCACCGGAAGGAACTTTTCATGGCAGTGGGTTGGACTAGAGCAGGGGTCAGCAAGCTTACCGCGCCACGGGCCGGTGTCTCCAGCGCCGATTGCGTGGTGGGCCGGAGGGCGGGGGAGCGCGTGCCCATACAAGTGCGCACATGCTATTTCTGGCACACTTCCGGGTCAGAGGAGCACTGGAAACAGCTTGTGCGCATGTGCACGGGCTTCCTCTGACCTGGATGTGCACTGGAAATAATGTTTGCGCATGCGCACAAGCTACCGTATTTTTTGCTCTGTAAGACTCACTTTTTCCCTCCTAAAAAGTAAGAGCAAATGTGTGTGTGTGTTATGGAGCGAATGCAGGCTGCGCAGCTATCCCAGAAGCCGGAACAGTGATCCCTCTTGCTGTTCTGGCTTCTGAGATTCAGAATATTTTTTTCTTGTTTTCCTCCTCCAAAAACTAGGTGCGTCTTGTGGTCTGGTGCGTCTTATAGAGCGAAAAATACGGTATTTCCGGTGCTCCTCCAACCTGGAAGTTGGAGCTCTGTGGGCTGGATAAATGAGTCCCTCAGGCCTTATCTCGCCCACAGGCCTTAGTTTGGGGACCCCTGGACTAGAGGGACCCCCCTTTGGGTCCCTTCTGACTCTCCAATTCTATGACTGACGTCAGCTTTGCATCTTCTAACTGTTTGTCCTCCAGACTCTCTGCCACATTTCCCTGTGCAAACTGGATACGCCCTCTGTGAACCAGGGGCATTCTTCCCAAGGCTTGGTGGTTAGGAATACAAAACACAATCTGAAAATCAAAGATGTTCCAAGTTTTTCCCCCTCCCCCAAACCCAAACCCTTCCACTGAACAACAACTGTGAGGGCAGGCCAGCCACTCCCTCAGGAATACACAATCTGATCTGATCTTCCAATTAGGCACCTCCCAAATTATGTGCCATCATTAGGGATGGTTATCGCAGCCCTCTGGCTCTTCAATCTCCGTTGATGTTGGTTCTTCCTCCCTCCCTCTCTCTCTCTCCCAACCCACAGGAGAGTTAACATCTTTTTGACTGGAAGGTACGGGGAATCTGACAAGGCGCACCTGCAGAAAGCAAGATGCAAAAACACTGCCATGTCGTAGGTGGCTCCTCTGCCCACGTTGCCTTGCGCACAACGCAGGGGACGTCTTGCGCCCGGGGCGCTTGTGGGAAGACTTGGTGCCAACACAAACACTCTTGCAGAGCTTGAACCCCAGACCCTAAAGCCACCTCGTACAGGGCCGGATTTAGGTTTGATGAGGCCCTCAGCTCCTGAAGGTAATGGGGCCCATTCTATGTCCAGCTGTCCTTTGTCAACAACAAATTGTCGCTGGTTTTTTGTGGTGAATATATGCTCTATGGATATTTATGGGCCTCATAGGTATCTAAAGCCATTCGCACATAACAAAATATCTATTTTATCAAAGTAATTGTTGAACTGAAATACAATTAAGAAGTATATTAATAAAGTAAAGTAAAGCGACCCCTGACCATTAGGTCCAGTTGTGGCCGACTCTGGGGCTGCGGCGCTCATCTCACTTTACTGGCCGAGGGAGCCGGGGTACAGCTTCCGGGTCATGTGGCCAGCATGACTAAGCCGCTTCTGGCGAACCAGAGCAGCGCATGGAAACGCCGTTTACCTTCCTGCCGGAGCAGGACCTATTTATTTACTTGCACTTTGATTTACTTTCGAACTGCTAGGTTGGCAGGAGCAGGGACCGAGCAACGGGAGCTCAACCACCGACCTTCTGATCGGCAAGTCCTAGGCTCTGTGGTTTAACCCACAGCGCCACCCGCGTCCCAAAGTATATTAACAGTGAAATACAGTTAAGAAGAAGTATATTAATAGTGATAGTGATATTTTAGAGGGCAGGCTAGCAGGTGGGGCCCATGACTTACATCATAGGAGCCTACACAACACAAAGCACTGTTGCTGTATGTAGGTTTTATTGTATTTGTTTTTTATCTCATATTTTGGAAATGTACATCCAGTGTTTGCTTTTTCCCTTAAAAATTTTTTGGGGGCCCCCAAGAGAGTGGGGCCCTAAGCTAGAGCTTGTTTAGCTTATACGTAAATCTGGCACTGACCTCGTATACATGGTAGGGAGTCGGGAAGGAGGAGAGCATGATGTTCAAGGGAGAAGAACTAGGCAGAATTGATCTTAGGCAAGTCAATTGAAAAACTTTGGGGTTTTCCTGAAAAAAGCTCAACAACTTTTTAGGGGTGTCCCTTGTTTTAATATGGCAGCCCTACATTTATAGCACGCCTGTGGCTGCTGCTGAAAATGGTGCCCCAATTTCGAGTCTCCCCCCAACTTCCTGCAATGTTTGGCACGAGGTTCCTACACTGTCCCAGTCTCTGCTCCACGCTTATGTATTTGCTTATTGCATTTCTACACCCCCAATATGGCGGTTCTCTTCTCCTCATTTTATTCTCCCAACAGGTAGGTTCGGCTGGGAGAGAGTGGAAATGCAGAAAATGAGAAAATGAGAACCTGAGAGAAAACATTTTTTAATTGTTGCAAGCTGGCCTGGGAACCACTGGTGAAGGGATAATAATAATAATAATAATAATAATAATAATAATAATAATATTTATTTAACAAAATTTATACGCAATTTGATTGTAGCATAACCTCCAAGTGGTTTAGAGGGGAAATTAAAATTAACAGAAAGAAAGAAAGAAAGAAAGAAAGAAAGAAAGAAAGAAAGAAAGAAAGAAAACAACACATCAACATCTATGTGTCTAGATAGAGTTGCCTAAACAAAAATGTTTTAAACATGTGCCAAAAAGAGAATGCCAAAGGCTGTTTGCCAGATTTCAATAAAATAGCCGATTAAACCTGTGCTACAAAAGCAGGTGGGTTGCCTGATCGCTGCACCTTGAGCTTCTTGGAGGGAGGGTGAAAAATGTAGAAAAAACCAAGTCTAGAACATTCCTAATTTCTGGTTATGTTCAGCACTGAGCATCTCTTTGCCCAAGTCCACAACTTTGCAGAGAATGGAAGTGGGGTCGGGGGGTTTAATTCTAAGGCTCTTGTGGTTTTGAAAATATTCTTCTTAACATTATTTTTCGGTTTCCAAAAATACATGTAACAAGCAACCCCCAGATACCTCTGCTCCCTGCGAGAAACATTCCATGCATATACAATGTAGATGACACAGTCAACATTAGGCTGCTCTCCATCCTAACAGGTTATCCCAGAGTGAGCCCTGGGTAGCTGGTTTTGAGGGCGCAACGCTGTCTTTAGCAGAGTAAGAATGAGCCCTGCAGTTTCAAAATTGCCTTTGGTCATTTGGCATTGCAGGGGTCTCTTGGGGTCCCACCTCTGCAGTTCTATGATTCTATTATTGCATTCCTGAGCATCCAAGATGTTTCATGAAGTTTTTCCACAAGGGCAATATTCCATTGGCTATCCCACTGTCTATCTAGGTAGTGGCACCCGCCCTGTGGAACGCCCTCCCACCAGATGTCAAAGAGAAAAATAACTACCAGACTTTTAGAAGACATCTGAAGGCAGCCCTGTTTAGGGAAGCTTTTAATGTTTAATAGACTACTGTACTTTAATATTTTGTTGGAAACTGCCCAGAGTGGCTGAGGAAACCCAGCCAGATGGGCGGGGTATAAATAAATTATTATTGTTGTTGTTGTTGTTTTGTTGTTATTGTTATCATGCCTTGAGTTAGCAGCTGTTTTCCAACACTGTGCAATTATGTATTTGTAGTTGCAGATATGAAAAGGGCTAGTGGGTTCTTACACAATCCAGTCTGGATAGTTAGCCTTGGGGAAGACTTGATGTTTTTATCCTCAAAAAAGTTTTCGATTGAGTTCCACTGAAACAAGGCTGCATTTTAATGTTTAATGTTGTATTTTAATTTTGTTTTTTAAGCTGTATTATAATCAATTGTTTTTATATTTGGTGTTAGCCGCCCTGAGCCTGGTCTTGGCTGGGGAGGGCGGGGTATAAATAAAATTTATTATTATTATTCTTACGGTCATCTAAAAGCAGATTTAATAAAGCGAGGTTCTTTTCTAAGACTCTTGTCTGTAAGGGAAGCCGGATCTCTTATGGAACGGGGAGGTTTGGTGAGCAAATTCCAAGAGGGTGGAGACATCAGGGAAGGGCACTTGGAGAAGAAGAAGAAGAAGAAGAAGAAGAAGAAGAAGAAAGCATAAAGGGGATTTTTAATTTTTTTTTTTTAAGAGAGAAAAAATAAACCCTATAATTTTAGCAAACTCAGCAGAGGCTTTCTTGCTCAAGACATCCATCACCACTTAAAAATGAAAAAAATAATAATAAAGAAAAAGGATTCTCCCAACAAGGAAGAGAAAGAAAACCCTGTAGATTTTTAGAACAAGATTTCTTGTGAGATAGGAAGCGAGATTGCTCAAGGCAGCAGCATCAAAACACAGTCCTAGATGAGGTAGGGCCATATCTCCCACCCCCTTCCCCAAGAGAGGGGGTGGAGAAGAATTGTGTAACCATTTTATATTTTTTTAAGGCAAAGAAAACTCCTCATCATTTAAGCAGAAGCTTATGAAGCATCAATTTGCTTTGGGGTGGCATTTCCCACCATGGTGCCCTCAAGATGTTTCGGACTACAATTCCCATCAGTTCATCATAGAGTAGATGAGAGTGGCTGTCCAAATAACCTCGAAGCTGCCAGGCTGGGGAAAACTGGTGGAGAAGCTGAGAATGTCAACCTGTCCCGCAAAGGCGGCTCCGCTAAACTTGCCCCAAGGTCCCCTGGGCTTGACTTAAAACTCCTGAGTCAACGAGAGCAAAGTCTGCAGGTATTGTGCAGGCTGCTCATGCAAATGTCTCTGTTCTCTGCAGTCCACAGCATCGTAAGAACCTAAGAATGGGAAACCCGCAAGCAGGATTCGAACACAAGAGCAACACTCTCCCCTCCTGTGGTTTCCAGGAAGCATTGCTGCCTCCCAGTTTTGGAGGCAGAGCTGAGCTATCCTGGCTAGTCGTCACTCATATCAGTAAAATGGTCCTGAGTTCTGAAAGGCAGGAGAACACAAGAGCAGCTCTATAGGGTAAGACCCAAGTGAAGCACAACAATGGGGCCAGTCAAAAGTCTCTGGGAAGGATACCGCATCTGGTCTTCAGAGATAGACTGCCCCTGAACATGGAAGTTCTACGGAGCCATCAACTGTTAAAGCAAAGGAAACACCCTCCTCCTCCTCCCCTTCCTCTTCCATTTTCTGATTTCCTTTCAAAGGCACCATAGCCAATGGCCACCACCAGGTAAACTGTGCAGTAATTGGACATCCCTTGCTCTTTGGGGGGAACGTAATGGAAAGTTGACCCCGGACCTTGCTGTAAACCTAGCCGGACATTGTCGGTTGTCTTCTGGGAGAATCGCTCCAGCCGCTAACACACACGCAGATCGAACCAGGAGGCAAAAGAGCCAAAATTACCCAACGTTTCACAACGTTACACAACTTGCCAGATAAATAAAACGGGGAACTCATAATGAGAAAGCAGGCAAAACGGTTGTTATCAGGACATGACGGCTGAACTATTTAGAAAGGGAGCCTTTGGGCTTGGCGGGGCAGCCAAGACGGGGTCCCAAACACCTGGGGGGCGCCCCTTCCCATCAGCCCCACTCGGCGAGGTCGATGCTCAGAGACGCTGAATGTTGCAACCCAAAGCATATAGTGGGCACCATGTTGGACACCCTTGCTGCATTATTTTTAATTTTGAGGGATGGGGAAGGAGGGACATGAGAGCCACCCAAGGGCCAGCAGGCATGGTGCGCTGGTTCAAGGGATGTGGGAACAGTGTGATGCTGAAAACCACACAGAGAGGTTCAGAGCTGCACCGGGATAACTTCTGACCACTCCCCAGCTACACCGCCTGCGGCTATCTTGGGCAGGGGTCCTCCACATACAAGAGAACGGCATGTGCCAAGCCTGAGCCCCAGGATCCAAGGAACAACAACAACCCTTTCCATAAGATGAAGCCACTCTGGGTACCCAGGCTTTCAGTTTCTCACCATTGCTGAGAGAATATGGGTAGTGCTATGGGGCATCAGGCCCACCCGGAAAAGGGGGTCCCTTCCTCTTGTCCACTCATCCGTTGACACAACCCCACTGCTCTCCCTTTTCACCTCCACTTATTTTTATGGCAAACCCACCTGTGTGGGTCTGTGCGCATACACAAAACAACCAGCCATGCAAAACATTGGGGATCCTTTCGCTTCCGCGCCCCATATTCCAAGCTCTTTTGCAAAAGGAGTAAAAGCACAGGATCCCTTCCCTGGAATTTTGGAAAGAAAAAGTCTCTGCTCTCCAGCCAACAGTCTTTCTCGTCTGTGCTTTCCCCCCCCCTCCTTCCACTGCCGCTGCCGCACCGCACAACAAGTTTGAGCAAGCCGCAGGACACAAACACGTCCCATACAGAACGGATTGGTTGCAGATGTTCCCCAGCAAGCTCTGTCTTGTCTTCTGCAAGAACATTCATCTCCAAAACACACCGTTTCACCTACATCGCCCGCAGCCCAAACTCACAGGATTAGGAAAAAATAAAAATAAATCACTTCTTCTTCTTCTTTAACTCTTGATGAACCCACAAAGTGCGTGAGCAAGAGGGGGAAGAAAATGCACCTGCTTACTCAAGGCGCGGCGGCAAGAGCAACGCTAACTCGGGGGGCGGGTGAGAGGGCAGAGAGTGTGCCAGGGAGCACAGTTCATGGCCTTGGGCAAACCACTCTCTCCTTCAGCCTAGCCTGCCTCGCAAGGCTGTTGGGGAGAAGACGAATTAGCACGAGTTGGGTATGGAGAAACTACATGCACCAATCTGAACTTCTTAAAGGAATCCTCTTTTAAAACTACCTACATTAATGGTTATAGCTACCTCCCATGGATAATGATCAAGTGTTTGGGTTTGTTTTCCAAAGTTGTTCATCTCTTTCCCACTGCTGAATGAACAGAACGCCCTTAACAAGCAAACATGACAACCCACCGCTAGATGGGGAAGCCATCTTTAATAGTTTTGCCTCTTCTTTCCCTGTTATAAAAATGTGCTATAAGTCTCGTTAATGATCAAAGCCTACAGAAGCATTACGGCCAGAAGAACGTAAAAAGAACCAGCCTGATCAGGCCAGTGGGAAATCCGCCATTAGAATTTGAGCGCAAGAGCAACTCTCCCCTCTTGTGGTTTCCAGCAACTGATAAAGACACGCATGCCATGGAATCATAGAATTGTAGAGTTGGAAGGGACCCTGAGGGTCATCTAGTCCAACCCCCTGCAAGGAAGGAATCTCACCTAAAGGCAGGAATCTCACAGATGTCCATCCAACCTCAGCTTAAACGGAAGAAGAGTCCACAACCTCCTGAGGGAGACAGTTCTGCTGATGAACAGCTCTTGCTATCAGAAAGTTCCTCCTGCTGTTTAGTTGGAATCTCCTTTCTTGCAATTTGAATCTGTTGGTTCAGATCCTAGCCTCCAGAGCAGGAGAAGACTAGTGTGCTCCATCTTCCAGGTCCGCAATTTCCAAACTGTTATCAGCTCAAACTGGCCCCACCAATTAATCAGCATCTACAGATTTTCCTGCTCCCCTTCCTTTTGAACTTTGCTCTTAGAGATTTCTCTGGTGCTCCTGGTAGTGCCTCCCACCCAACTCTCAAATCATGACCATTTTCCATCATAAGGAAATATAATCTGGGTCACGTCCCCAGCAACTGCCAGGTGGACCAGCTTCTCGAATAATGATGGCTCCAAGGGCCAGGGATGGAAGAGAAATTCTGCTTGGTCTCTCGCTGTAATGCAAACATGCCTTATCCACACTTCTGAAAACAACACACCAAGCAAAGCACAGGTCTTCCATGAAATTTGCACTGCCCTGAATTTTGCGATTGAATTCTTCATCCCAAAAGATTAGTAAAGGTAAAAGACCCCTGTCAGTTAAGCCCAGTCGCAAACGACTCAGGGGTTGTGGTGCTCACTTCGCTTTACTGGCCAAGGGAGCTGACGTTTGTCCGCAGACAGTTTTTCCTGGTCATGTAACCAGCATGACTAAGCCGCTTCTGGAGAACCAGAGCAGCGCACAGAAATGCTGTTTACCTTCCCACCAGTGTGGTACCTATTTATCTACTTGCACTTTGACGTGCTTTTGAACTGCTAGGTTGGCAGGAGCAGGGACCGAGCAACGGGAGCTCACCCAGTTGCGGGGATTTGAACCGCCGACCTTCAGATCGGCAAGCCCAAGAGGCTCAGTGGTTTAGGCCACAGCGCCACCCGCATCCCAAAGATAAGAACTAAGATGCACATATTACCAGAAATGTATATGTTAGCAGAAGTGCCATTTGTTTGCAGATAATGTCGCAAAGTGATGTGAGCAATCTGGAAAAATGAGGGGTAAGAGCAAAATACATTGGTGCCTCAGGTTAAGAAGTTAATTCGTTTTGGAGGTCCGTTCTTAACCTGAAACTGTTCTTAACCTGAGGTACCACTTTAGCTGATGGGGCCTCCCACAGCCGCCGCCACGCAATTTCTGTTCTCATCCTGAAGCAAAGGTACTATTTCTGGGTTAGCGGAGTCTGTAACCTGAAGCATCTGTAACCTGAGGTACCACTGTAGAGAGAACCTGAAATTGACCAATTTGATAATCCCTGTCAATAGCACACATCAGCGAGTGGAAGAAGATCTGCTCTGTGGTGTAGAATATGCAGGCATACATTCTGCATGGTTTAAGGGGAGAGCTTTCCCAATCGCCTTTTTTTTACTCATTCCAGGTAGGACGCAGTAGACAGACATTAGCTCATAAAAGGGACAGGTGAGTCAGTAGCCAGGTGGAAGAGAGTCCTCTTTCACATCACTTCCAGGGAAAACAATACCAAGGTATCATAGCCATGTTCCCAAGCCTACGAGAAATGACACTGCTATGCTGTTGTCACCCATCTGTGAAGATTACTTCAGCACTTTACGATGAACCATGGGGAAAAAATCATCTTGATTTTTGTTTTGTTTTTGCCATGAAGGTTTTTTAAAAAGCAAATGGAGGTGATAAACAGAACATAGATCCTATACCACACAACACTGAAATGTCTAAACCTTGATTTGATTGTCCTTGAATCTTCCCGCAATACTTGCCTTCTTCTTCTGCCACACCTTTGAGAACCGCTGTGATAGAAGCTTATAAAATTTTGCATAGCACAGAGAAATTAGAACAAGGAAAGATTTTCTCTCTCCCTCCGAACACTAGAATTCAGTGAAGCTGAATGCTGGAAGGTTCAGGACAGAGAAAAGTAAGGACTTGTTTCCTTACAGAGTTGAACTATGGAACTCCTTGCCACAGGGGGCAGCGATGAACACCAACCTAGATGGCTTTAAAAGAGGACCGGACAATTTCACGTAGGAGGGTCGGGCGCCCTGCCAGTCTTGGCACCTGAGAGTGTCTATAAGGAAGGAGAAGGTCTTTCAGCTATTCGGGGCTTCGAGCTGTTTAGGGTGTCAAACACCAATACCGTATTTGCACAAATATAAGCTGCACTCCCCCCCCCAATTCTGATCGTGAAAAGTTAAAGTGTGGCTTATATTCATGAACTTATGCCGCCGTCAAAGTGGCGCAGCTTCCCCTGCCCAGAAGCAACCCGGGAGCATGGGGCAACAGTGCCTAGTCCGCCCGCCACTCCTCCACAACGGTGCCCAGCCTCCCCAAAGCCGCCAAATTTTAAAAGTGTGGCTTATTTGCGGGTGCGACTTGTATTCGGTCCAATACTGTATGTTGATGCCGTTTGGACTAGCCGAAGTTATCGAGTCCCCTGTGGAGTGTGTTGCGGTAACCTGGAAGGTACCACAGCAAAGGCACAACTCTTTAAATATGCCTGAATCCCCTTTTCCCCATCCTCCCTCCTTCTCCTCCTCTTAAGAGGAAACAAGATGCAAAGCAGGTTGCTCCATCGCGTTGCAACCAGCTCTTTGCATCACCTCTGGAGGAAAGCTCCCACAGGATGGTCAACGGAGGAGAAGAGTCACAGCGCTGGAGCCTAGGGCAAGGAACCTTACGCCGCAGCAGCTAGGCTCAACAGAAGCACCGATGTTTCCCCTGGGTTGGTGACGGCAGACAAAGAGGCAATCGCTACCCCATCTCCCGGTCTTGTTTTGAGTACATTTCACCCTGCAATTAACAGCACCCAAACTGTGACTCACCGGAGAAGCAGCGTGTGAACATGGAACGGTTACAAAACGCCGCTACGGGACTCCTGAGGTCAGCCTCCTCCAACCGGGAGCCCTCAATATGTCCTGGACTGCAGCCTGTGCATGCGCGCGCGCACACACACACACCCAGCCCCAGGCAGCGCAGCCTAACACAGCCATTTTATTGCGCCGCAAGCCACCTAAGTTGCTAGGCCTCAAACATGCAGTGAGATTTTGGCTGCAGCTAACCTTCATGACTGCTCCCCTGGAGTAGAGACAGGGCCATCTTACCCATAGGAGCTAGGGGTGTGGGGCACCTGGGTGCCAGGCTCCAGGGGTGCCAGGCCGAGAGTCCGGAGCCCGAGAGTTGAGTCCGGGGAAGAGCCTGCTAGTCGTTTGGCTCTTCTGCTGCGGGTGGCTATGCGCCGTGAGTTCGGGGGCGACCGAGCCAGCGAGACACTGAGGCAGCCAGCTGGCTCCCCCTGCTGCGCACCTGGGACGGGGCAACCTGGGCACCAGGCGGATCTTTGCACCATGGCGCCACATATGCTTAAGACAGCCCTGAATATAGATCAATGCATCATCTGTTCTGTCGGATTCTCTTGGGACTGCTGCTTTTGGGGAGACTCCGAGGAGTCAGGAAACTATTTCCGCAGGCTGCAATCGGCACTGAGAAGGCGGCTGCCACCACCAGCCCACCTCCAGAAAGACTTCATCTAATCGGGTTTAAAAACAACAACTGCTTTAATCGCTATGCTTTTCAAACTGGCTTGTTTTAATGTATAAACCTGGCAGAGTGAAAATCCCCCATGTTAAAAGTCTGTGTGTTTATATCGTTTATATACTGTTTACATGTCAAAATGACTTCTAAGAGGTTTGCCAGGTATCAAGTGAATCACAAACTCCATGCAGATCACTTTATTGATTTACTTCATGAACTTTATACACTGATTGTAGAAAGTACCTCCAAGTGGTTTTACACAATAAAACAATCGATTCAAAGCAACAAAATATCCAGAATTAAAATATCCATTAAAACAAACCACGTAGGTGCTTATTGCGAACATGGGGTGACGGCTTTGTTTGGTGTATTCCCTTTTTGTTTGTGCTCTTTCACCTTTTTCTCCCCTTTCTCTGATAAAGTTGCAGGAAAGAATCAACTAAATGTACTGTAGAAAATCAAAATGTGTGTGTGTGTATGTGTGTGTGTGTAGGGGGACGGACCCATTGAATTGGACTCAGCACACCCACAACCCAGTCATCAGTCCGGAGAAGGAAGAAACAGCTACACAATTTAGGTGGAAGATTTGGAAACTTCCCAGGAACTGCTCTCCACTGCGTCAAGGTGCCTTGGAATTTTACACTTCTGGACACACATAAAACCCTACTGAGGACCTTAGGAAATGCAGTTCCTTTACCCAGGCCACATCCGGCCATCTGAACAAAGCTGGAAAGCTCCAGGGCACCATTTTCTAGGAGCAAATGAGGGGTGGGGATGTCCGGAACGATGGCCCTCCACCATCAGAGGAAGGAGCCACAAAGCCAGCAGAATCTCCCTGCCTCTTGGGCAACTCATTACACCGTAAATTTTATGGCTGGTATATTTGGGTGGCCAGTTGCAGACACCTCAAACTCAAAAGGAAGTCTTTCCTTCCTTCCTCAGCAGGAGGACCCAGCTCTTAAACAGCACCCGCCATCTCAAAAGCGGGAGGAAGAAGAGAACGCAGCTTACGGGTGACTATCAGGCTGCCCGAAGTGTTGCGAGGATTAGTTGACAAATGTTTGTACAGGACTTCACAAAGTACAAACACACACAGACACACACCCCTTCACTGCATCAGATCCTTTCTGCCAAGATAAGCCAAGCTTTTACTTAAGAGGAAATGGCAGGAGAGAAAGAGAAGGAGATGGAGCCAAACTTAGAATTGTTTTCTTTTGCCTGTCTCAAATCTTCCAACGTTCAACTTTATTGGATGCCCAAAAATTCACGTGCCTGTTTGGAGGCAATCGGACAAGCTTGGGGGTTTGGGGGCATGAACCTGTGACCCTGATTTGCGGTGTCAACTACTTAGTTTTTTGGGGGGGCAGCGCAAAACGCGGGGTTTGCAGAGCAAAACTAGCACTAAACTTTGGCATTAGTTTGGCAGGGGTGGGAGGAGGGAATCCAGAATTTCAGGGTCACACATTAATGTTACAAGAGAGGGAGATAAACATTTTCCTCCTGAATTGGAAAGGAAAATAATGAACTATGCAACTGGTGGGGCATCCTGTTTTCACAGGGAACAACCAGTTGCCCCAAAAGGAAAACCCGGTACTAGGTGTCCACAAGTTGTCTTGTTAGGAGAGAGGGAGGATAACTTTTCCCTATCCACGTTGTCAATGCCATGCCTAATTTTACAAACTTCTATCCTCTCACCTCTTCCTCTTCTTTCCTTTAAACTAAAAAGTCCCAAACTCTGCACCCTTTCTCTCCACCCCCTTGATAATTTTGGTGGCCCTTTGCTGAACCTTTTTCCAACTCCCTTTTGAGGTGAGGCAACCAGAACGGCACACAATATATTCCAAAGGTGGCCGCACCACAGATTTCTATAACAACATTATGCTAATGGCAGTTGTACTTTCGATTCCTTTCCTAATGATCCCTAGCAGGGAAATTCCCCTTTCCATGGCCGCTCTACGTGGGGTCAAATTGCCAGAGGAATAAACTAGGGGCCCATTGGGGGGGGGGGGCTTACAGAGTATTCATGCTGATTTTTGTTTTGGCGGAAGGTTATGTGGCATCACCAGACAATGCTGCCATCCCACCCTCTCCACTGCAAAATATGGGGTGGGGTTCAGATTTGTGATGCAGAGCCACCAAGGGCTCGTCTCCTGCTTCTCCAGTGCCTAGAAAGCCCAGGTCCAAGCAGTTTCCCACTTGTCTCTTGCTTTCTAGACACAGATCCAAGTGGTCTTGCCTGTGCCTTGCTGCTTTCCTCCGGAAAATCCACTCTTTACTGCTAAATCGGAGCAAACAACAACCCGCTGGAAACTCAATTGCCGTTTGTTCCAATTCAGCGCTAAAGACTGGGTTTCTCCAGGAGAAAGCGGCTGGGCAAACAGAGGGGCGGATAAGCCCTACATTTGCTTTGATCGTGCAACCTAAATTTGGCTAGTATATCATTGAAGCGTTACTGCAAAATAGTGAGAGTCTTGGAGCAACCTAAGCGGTGGGCCAAACTGCCAGGGGATAAGAAACCTTCCACAATGGGCTATATATCACCTGCCCCACTTTTGATGGATTAGCAAGCAAATGGTAATTTTGCATCTTGAAGGGGCAAGAGAGGTGCTTCTAAATCCAAATATATCAGCCCAATAATAATAATAATAATAATAATAATAATAATTTATTTAGACCCCGCCTATCTGGCTGGGTTTCCCCAGCCACTCCTGAGCACCAGAAAAGTTGAGAGACGGCAACAATCCCCACAGGTCTTGCCAAAGGATTTGGGTTGCCATAATTGCGGTTGAGTTTGAGCGATTGCGGGTCTTTTGTGTGTGTGTTAAAGGAGGAAAACACGAGTGTATGTGTGTGTGCACACTTGCACTATTGAACCTAATGCTTCACGAACTGCCACCCATTCCCGAATTCGGATCCTTCCAGGAGGTTATGGTGCACTGAATGAGTCAGTTTTGACAGCCGGGTGCCAAGATTTGCTTGAACTTCCCCTTCGATGAAAAGAGTCGCTTTGACCTTTTCCCATCAACACCCCCTTCCTCGCTCTTCCTTGTCAAAACTGGTTCATCCTAGGGATCGGCAGCCCCGCCTGACTCTCTGGTTGGGTCTTTGCAGGCCACGCTCCAACAGGTACAGACTCCGTCCCCAGAGGAGACCCACCCCACGTTCAGCAGGGGTGAGGAGGATGTTCTTCACTGTTCCTGTGGGGTTGTGGGCTGGTTTGCACCCGGTAGGTACCTGTTTTCTTCCAAACTCCACAACAAGGCAGTTAGGCAACAGGTGAAGGTCTTCCGAGCCATGAAGCTGGCACAGGAGCCCTGCTTGGGTTGGCACTTGGAGCCCCCCACACCTGCCTTTCCCCCCTTTCAGGATCTCCTCCTTCCCAGACACTGTCCAATGGCTTCCCCAACATGTGTGGCTGCAGCTACAGAGCAGCAGATGGAGATTGCTTTGTCCTAGGGCCCAGCCAGCCTCAGGAAAGGGCAGAATCAGCTCCATCGCCTGCTCCCTCAGATTCCCCGGGCTGTGAGGGTGAACAGCTCCCAGGGGGCACAGGAGGGACGGGTGCTGCTCCTTGGAAATCCAGAACGTAAGGACTCAGGGAGGATGAAAGAAAGTCCTTCTCCAGGCAGACATAAACTGTGGAACTCCCTAAGGCAGGAGGCAGAGGTGGTCACCAACTCTGATGGATTTAAAAGAGGGCTGGATCCTGCTTATGGACATCTGGTTGGCCCCCGTGAGAACAGGATGCTGGATGAGGTGGGCCATTGGCCTGATCCTGTAGGCTCTTCTTCTTATGCTCTTAGGAGCCCAAACATGCTGATTGGCTCAGATGTTCCCGATTTGCCCTCTTCCCCAGGGGATCCCCCCGGATTCGCACCAGGGACTCCCTTGCCTGTAGAGCTTGAGCTGTTCCACCAGACCAGGGATCTTCCACAGGACTTCGGGGATGTGGGTAGAGAAGACAAATTCACTCTCTTTCTCTCTCTCTTTATATATATATATTCTTGCTCAGAAGTATGGCAATTTAACATAACCTAAAGAACCGAAACAAAATATAACTGGACCCCTCCTGAACTGGTTCTCACCGGACTCGCCTGACCTAAATTTAAGAGTTTCCTCGAAGAGGGAGAGAGAAAGAACTTCTTTTCATATGTTTTTTAAAAACCAACCAGACCACAAGTCAGATTTCTGGTCTTTCCAGGTAGTCATCAAGTTTCAGAGCAACAGGGGATAAATCTTGTAAGACCTCAAAGCTGCCTGCAAACCTCATGCATGTCTAAATTTACCAAAAGTCTTGGGTGCAATTCTGGTGCAAAGAGGCTTTGAGTAGGGCGAGGCATTTTTACTGCACTGAACCCCCAGTTCCCACAACTTAGAAGGTCCTCTCCTGTTGCCCAGATCCACCTCCATGACCTTCTGCCATGTCCTTCACCTACCTTGGTGTACTTTTTGCATCCTCTTTAATCCACAATGTCAAAACTAGAACTCAGAGCCCTCTCCACTTTGCTGTGCCTTCGACTACCAGCTGACCACACCACTTTTGCTTCTTAACCAACAACATCCCAAAGCCAACAGCAACACCTTTGGGGTCCATGTGATGCATTAAAAATGTCCTTTCCCTGTCTTAAAAAAGTGGAAGAAGTTTCTCTAGATGGGCTTGATGGTGGCTTGCTTGCATGCGTTGCTTTTTATTCTGTTGCGTTGTGAGTGTTTGCTTCTGTCTTCTGTGCTGTTAATTACTTTATTGATCTATGTTGGTGGTTCCGAAACCTTCAGAGGCAATAGCCCCCTCAGTTCCACAGGCTCATCCCCGGTGCCCCTTTCCCTATAAAAAGGATTCTTCAGAATGGTGGTTTGCACAGCCCACTCAGGAAGACCATAACCCAATAAAATTCCAAACTGTAACAACAAATAATACATTTACTCAAAATCCAAATGACGGTTCGAGTGTCGAACTATGACTTGAGAGAGCAGAGCTTGAATTCCCAATCAGCCATGGGTGACCTTTGGACCAGTTGCCATGTCTTCACCCAGCCTACCCCACAAGGCTGTTGTGAGGATGAAATGGGGAGGAGGAGAGCCATGTACACCTTGAGATCCTTCGAAGGAAAGCTGGCGTATATATGTAATACATACACAAAAAAGTACCGTATTTTTTGCTCTATAAGACTCACTTTTTCCCTCCTAAAAAGTAAGGGGAAATGTGTGTGCATCTTATGGAGCGAATGCAGGATGTGCAGCTATCCCAGAAGCCAGAACAGCAAGAAGGATTGCTGCTTTCACTGCGCAGCGATCCCTCTTGCTGTTCTGGCTTCTGAGATTCAGAATATTTGTTTTTTTGTTTTCCTCCTCCAAAAACTAGGTGCGTCTTGTGTCTCTGGTGCATCTTATAGAGCCAAAATACGGTAGTTCAATTAATGCAACAAAATTGATGAACTTGATCCAGGGATATCTGCTCTTTGGTAGTCATTTACACCTCTAACCCCCTTGTTTCTTAGTCCCCTCTCCCTATAGGTAAACCCCTGCAGGGGGTGGTATCGCCCATTTTGGGAACAGTTGGTCTCCCTGGTCTAAAGACCCATTGGAAGAAGCATAGGATGGAAGAACAGAAAAGCAGACCTCCTGGATCAGGTGAGGGGCCATCGGATTGTGGAGTTGGAAAAGGCTTTGTAAGCTATTTAGTCTGACTGTACCCCTTTCCTTGCTTGAGCCCCCCCTCCCAAAAAATATATAGCTGACCTATAGCCCCTCTTTGAAGACACACATCCTTCGGCCGTTAGCAAATATGAGCCACTGTCGCATAATGGTTAAGAGTGTTGGACCAGGGCCTGGGAGAACAGGGTTCAAATCCCCACACTGGGTGACCTTGGGCTCCTCCACTTTGAGATTCTTGGAAGATAAAGGGGGTCTATAAATGTAATAAATAAGAATAATAGATAATAGCAAAGGCACTTAAACAGCGGAAATCATTCCAACACCGTGAAACAGGAGAGCCCACCAGTCCTCTAGGTTACTAAGTCCCGCTGCTCTTACCAGTAATCTCCTAATTTCCAAACAGAAATCTACCCTCTTGTAGTTTCATAGAATCGTAGAACAGCAGAGCTGGAAGGGACCCTGAGGGTCATCTAGTCCAGCCCCCCCCATGCCCATCTGATCTAAGGCTGACTACTGGGGCAAGAAGAGGGGCTGTCTTTGTCCTCTTCCATGCCCTGTGGGTATCCGAAGGGCATCTGAAGGCAACGCCACCCACCTGGCATGCACGGGCAGGGTGGATAAAAAGCAATGATTAAAAAAAATAAAATCAGATTTTTTATTTTATTTAAATCAGATTTTTTAAATAAAATGCTTTTGGAGGAAAAATCTTTCTAAAGATAGTTTTCTATTTAAGTTACCTTATAGTCCAAAGGCTATTCATCAGGAAATAAGGATTTGTTTTAAGTTTTTCATGTGTGCTAAAATCTAAGTTTATATGTATGTGTGTGTTTGTATAAATGTTTACCCACATCAGTTAACAAACATGGATACATATGCTATAATGTTATAGCTTTCATTAAATAAATTGTTTAAATTGCTATTAAGGAAATGATTGTTTTTCTCCTTCCAATAAAGTACAGCTGAAGAGTTGTCCAAATTGATAATTTCTTAAACCTCACAATACTTTCATAATTATCTGTCTATGTATTTCTGATAGTATAACCAAATCATTATTTTTTGATATAACTGTAAAAACTGCTCTGAAAGTTTATTATTCCAAAAATGAAACTTTAATCTGGTTGTAAATATTAAGATTATACCAGCAAGAATGAGTCTTTCTGTAAAAAAAAGAAAAGAAAAATTTAAACCAAGTCTTACTGACTAGTGACTTAAATTAAGTCTTACTGACTGGTGATTTAAATCATGATTTAAATTGATTTGATTTAAATCAAATGCACGCTGTGCACAGGTATTCTGTTTTTGTGAGCCTCGGTAGCCACTGATAAGAGTCCACCATCTGCTTTCACCCACACCCATATTTAATCGACTTTTGCTCAGCCTTCGCAGGCTGGATCCTCTCCTGCAAATAACATTCAAAGTGTCAGAAAAACCTTAATTCCTATTGTCTGACATTTTAATCACAGGCTGTTGTTGTTTTATAAAAGCAGTCCAACCAGATGCAAACACGCACCTCGCCTGGCAACGGGAACACAAAGAAAAACAGCGGCAGAGCGAAGAACGTGGGTTTAGTCATCTTCAGGTACGCTTCTTATCAGTCTGCGGGGATCAGGCTTAGAATATCACATTTTCACATGCTCACTCCAAGGATGGGTGGGGAAAATGGATAGGGCATCCCACAAAAGGGAAGGGAGAGATGGGGTTAATCCCAAAGGATCACTTCCTGCCTCTGAAGAAAGAAATCTTTGGATCTAAGGGACCAACCCATCTGAATTCGAATCCTGCAATGGGTTCTGCCTGCGAGAGGCAATTGACTTTCCCTTTTGCAATGGGTGGAGTTGATGGGAGAAGAAAAAAGTCTCTCCTCTTTTGGGAAAAACAACAACAGCCACCATAGCCGCAGGATTTTCGAAATGCCTTGTTTTCTTCCACATGGGGGGGGGAGCACCAGGAAGAAGCAGAAAGGAGGAGGAGGAGGAAGGCACTCCTGATATATGGGAATCCAGCAAGTTCTCAGATCCCACAATAAAATGCCGACACACCATTTAAAGCTGATTACAGCTTTGCTTCCAATTGCAAGAGACCTCACACAAAAGCGTCGCAGTAAACACACCTTTATCTGCTCATGACTCAAAGAGCACAGCTGAATCTCTCTCACCTGGATTTTCAGACCATTTTCATCTCATGTGAGAAGAGTGGTCTTGAATCATCAGGTGCCCTCACCTCTGTCCTTTCCCATTTTGCTGCAATTTCCCCAACATTTCTTTTCCCTTCTTTGTGTGGAGGCAGGCAGCTTTGATTCACAGGCCAAACAAACCTGACTTGGGCATTTTACACGAATGAACCTCAGACTCAAGCACATCCTTCTCCCCACTCAAATGATCCATTTTGATCCGTTACACCCACTTGGGAAGAAAGTGCAGTTTGCTGTTATGTCTGAAACAGCAAAGCACCGTCACGTGAGCTTGCGAAAAACTAGACAAGCCTACCCATATATTTAGAGAGCTGCCACTTGTTTTAACCTGTTTTTAGTTTTTTTAATTTTTTGAAAGTCTCAAATTGTTGTCGTTAATTCTTGGTACTGATAATGTTATTGTTTTGCATATATCATTGTAAACCACTTTGAGGATTATTATTTTTCAGTTCAGCAGTGTATTAATGTTGTGAATTAAAAATAATAATAAAGTCCTCCAGATCCAGGAAGGCCAGCTTAGATCAGGACCTGGTTTGAAGGGATATTTTTTGCTGGTTCAGATGTAATTCCAAACTGTGCTTTCCACAAAACCAGATGTAAGAGAGAGAGAGAGAGAGAGAGAGAGAGAGAGAGGAGAAGAGAGGAGGGAGGAAGGAGTAAAAGGGAGAGCAGAAGGTTTGTTCACACATGTTCTAAGTCATGATGTGATGTCCATTCGGCCCTCTCTTTTGTGATGACTGACCATAAATTGATGAGAATCAGACCTGGAAAGAGTTGGGATAAATTGGCCGCAACAGATCAGAAGTCACACTCAATAGTAGAGACGTCAAGAGCATTCTGACAACCACTGAAACAGGCGCAAAAATTGCTGGTGTTCAACAGGAAATCAACCCAGTTGAATACAATCAGTATCTGCCATTGCTTTCAGTCTGCAAATTGTGCATAACTGATTACCTTTCCCTCCCACTTGCATTGTGTTTCCTTTGCGTTGTCATGAACGGGGTGGAATAACGTAACGGCAATGCAAATTACAAAATCAATGATGTAAGTTATGTGATTTTATCATTTTGCCACAGTTGAACAGGAAAACGAATAGCACAGCTTTGGGTGGAAGCGAACTGCAGCAGAACAGAAAGAGCACTGCGGGGGCCCAATACAGGATGGAATGAAAAAGATGGCAGCTTGAGAGCCAGTGTGGTGCAGTGGTTCAGAGCAGTGGATTCGTAATCTGGTGAACCAGGTTCGTGTCTCCGCTCCTCCACCTGCAGCTGCTGGGTGACCTTGGGCCAGTCACACTTCTCTGAAGTCTCTCAGCCCCACTCACCTCACAGAGTGTTTGTTGTGGAGGAGGAAGGGAAAGGAGAATGTGAGCCGCTTTGAGACTCCTTCGGGTAGTGATAAAGCGGGATATCAAATCCAAACTCTCTTCTATGATCTTATAAGCTATTAGGGTGGTGTACAACTGAATGTACACAATATCATAGAATCATAGAATTGCAGAGTTGGAAGAGTCATCTAGTCCAATTCCTTGCAGCGCAGGAATCACAGCTAAAGCATCTCTAACAGGGGGCCACCCAACCTCTGCTTGAAAACCTCCACGGAAGGAGATTCCACCACCTTCCAAGGGAGTCTGTTCCACGGTCAAAGAGTTCTCACTGACAGAAAGTTTTTCCTAATGGATGCACATTGCTGCTTAACGATGAAACTTAAAATAGTGGAATTGCTACTAGTATTGTTTATTGTTGTAGTTATACAGTGGTACCTTGGTTCTCAAATGCCTTGGTTTCCAAACACCGAAAACCCAGAAGGAAGTGTTCCGGTTTTCGAACGTTTTTCAGAAGCTGAACATCCGATGTGGCTGTCGGCTGTTGTTTCCGAGGCGCCTGCACCAATCAGAAGCTGCGCCTTGGTTTTCAAACATTTTGGAAGTCAAACGGACTTTCATAGAATCATAGAATCATAGAGTTGGAAGGGACCACAAGGGCCATCGAGTCCAACCCCCTTTCGGAACGGATTAAGTTTGGCACTTTTGTTTTTGCTATTTATTTTGTGTTTTTTTGGCTTTTTCGGTTAATTTGTTTTTGTGACTGTGTGGAACCCAGTTCAGCTACTGATTGATTGATTGATTGATTGTGTGACTGAGGAAATGGATAAAAGCCCCCCATCCAAACAACAACTATCATCAGTGCAGGTAAGAAAAAATAATAATAATTGTTGTTGTTGTTGTTGTTGTATTATTTTATAGTACAGTACATTGATTATTGCTGTCATTTTATGGATCAATGGCCTCGTTAGATAGTAAAATTCACGTTAGATTGCTATTTTAGGGGTTGTTTTTAAAAGTCTGGAACGGATTAATCTATTTTGCATTACCGGTACTTTCTATGGGAAAGCGCACCTTGGTTTTGGAACACTTTGGTTTTGTAACGGACTTCCAGAACGGATTAAGTTTGAGAACCAAAGTACCACTGTATTGCATTTTATATCACTGCTGTTGTGATATGTAAACTGCTGAGATATTTTGTTCAAACATGAAGCAGTATAAAAAGTTAACCAAACAAAGTCACTTGGTAATAATTCTGCAGCCACACCCTTTTAAATTTTGGGACTATGCACCAGAACAGTAAAATCTAAATGCAGTTGAAGTTTGCAACCTCTCTTGGTCTCTCTCTCTCTTGGAAAGAGCCAGCAATTCTTGGCCCTCCCATTATAGCCTTGGGAACTAAACGCATCTTGGCTGAGTAGCTTCCTGGGACGGCTCTCCTATGGCCGTACTGTGCTTTCCGGGAATAAGATGATCTACCAGTCAAGGGCCTCTCCAGTTCTCAGCAAGGCCAAACAGTCCTCGAGGGAATAGTTACCAGGGGGTAAAAGGCGGAGATCCTGCAAGGTGAACGCCTTATTCCCCCTGCCAACGCCCTTTGGTAACAGCCAGTGAAAGCTGAAAGAAGACTTTCAAATTGTGTTACTCTTTGCAAGGGTGGGGCATGATGCAAATCACAATTTTAATAGGTCACTGTAACCGAAGAAATCCTTCCAGTTGGGTTGGTTCCTAAACTGTCATCAGGGAGACAGGAAGGTGACAGGTATTCATCAGAGAGCCCTGGAGTCACATCAAGAGGCGAAGGCAAAAGAAAGAGCAGTCTCCTGATGAGATCTTAATTCCTTCTGATTGGGGTGCTGGAGGAGACTGTTGAGAGTCCCATGGACTTCAAGAAGATCCATTCTGAAGGAAATCAGCCCTGAGTGCTCACTGGAAGGACAGATCCTGAAGCTGAGGCTCTAAGACTTTGGCCACCTCATGAGAAGAGAAGACTCCCTGGAAAAGACCCTGATGTTGGGAAAGATGGAGGGCATAAGGAGAAGGGGACAACAGAGGACGAGATGGTTGGACAGTGTTCTTGAAGCTACCAGCATGAGTTTGACCAAACTGCGGGAGGCAGTAGAAGACAGGAATGCCTGGCGTGCTCTGGTCCAGGGGGTCACGAAGAGCCGGACACGACTAAACGACTAAACAACAACAACAAGGCAACCTCAAGAAGATCCAGGGTGTGTGTGGCTCAGATGGCCCCCAGCAACACAGGAGCCCCTGATAGAGCCGAAGATACCAAGCGGAGGTAGACGCTCCATCTCTGGTTCTCAGCAGGTCAAAGGATGCAGACCCAATGAGAACTTGGCCAACTTTGGCTCACACTCGGGAATCGTTTGTTTTATTTATTTATTTCATTGAAAGACTTTCATGAATAACAAAGGTACATATAAACGCTTCTGTTTTCAATTCACAGAGTCCTTTTGACACATCAGCTACATTCGGTATGAGACATTGTTGTCGCAGGCATTGTGAGGATGTGGGGGGAGAGAGGAGAGGGGAGACAATGATCTTTCTTTCTCTTGCATATGTAGGTGCAGAGTTGGTATCCACAAGATACAAGAGAGTACTCCCAGACCCTACAAACCTCATCACAAGCAAAGACCAATGGGAGCATGACACAGGTTGCAAAACGAACCCTATCCAATGATCTCAATTGTGTCTAAACCACCCTTGGGAATGTTTACAAGCGACCTGGTGACAAGAATCGGGACTTAGGAAAATATGACGCTTTAACCCTTGAACTGTGCCCAACGGAACTGCATTTTGCACGGGGCATTTAAATTAACTCTGGCTACCAGTGGACTTTGGAAAACTACTATGCCTCTTGAGCAACTGTGAATTACTGCAATCTAATGACTCACCACCCTCATTCTACCGCTCACATTCCCAGCGTCCTCCAACGGAGGAGTTGTTCCATCCAGTCGATGGGAAAACATGACCAGGAATGACCCATGCACTACCTTTGGAACGCAGTTCCTTCCTAACAGGGAAAACATTGGGCTGCAACTTCCCAATTGCCACCATATTTCACGCACCAGCCTTCCAGTGCCGCGCCCCACCCCAAGCCAGACCCGACTCTTACCGTCCACGTGGCCGACTTGGCAGTGCTGGATTGTTGAAATGAGACGTCAAAGCTGTGAGGTCCTGGGTAGTCTGTGTTGGAGGGGATGGCGGGCGAGGGCGAGAGGGCGTCAAAGGTTGAGCTGGGCTGGGCGTAAGGGGAGGGCGCCGTCACACTGTTCTGAGCATGGTCCGTGTTGTACGGGCTTGTGGATGAGGAGCCATTTTGTATCTGCTGGTCCATGCTGTTAAGGAGCCCCAGGTTTGTATACTGTGGCTGAAAAGGAGAGAGAGAGAATACATAGATATGTTACAGTAAGGGAAAGAACCCAGCCTCTGTTCCTCTGGAAATAATTCCAGCTCAGCTATCAGTGTTTGGCTATCTATCTATCTATCTATCTATCTATCTATCTATCTATCTATCTATCTATCTATCTATCTATCTATCTACACACACACACATTTAGCAACTTTAACCACCTTTAAGTTTGACACAATCTTGAGAATCACAGAATCATATAATTGTAGAGTTGGCAGGTGTCCCCAAGGGTAATCCACTAGGAATCACAGCTAAAGGATCCCTGGCCGATGTCCATCCAACCTTTGATTAAAGACCTCCAAGGAAGGAGAGTCCATCACCTTCCAAGCTCATAGAATCACTGAATTGTAGAGTTGGAAGGGACCCCAAGGCCCCTGTAGTCCAACCCCCTCTGATGCAGGAATCACAGCTAAAGGATTCCTAACAGGTGTCCATCCAACCTTTGATTAAAGACCTCTGAGGAAGGAGAGATTGCCACCTTCTGAGGCTGTCTGTTCCAAGAAGGTTATTTCCTGGGTTTCCTCTGCTCCATGGAAATAGCCAGGGAGTTATGATGCCACCTTCAGCCATACATTTCGTTCAAGCTCAACGATCCTTCCGATTTCTCTTCTTCTCCTGCTCCCTCCTCGCCAGTGACATCTTGATCCTTCACCTCACACTATTTTACAACAGGGAGGGATAAGTCATACTTTTTATTTTCCTTGGCTGAAATATTTAATTGTATCCCACTCATAAAGCACATCCATCAGATTATATTTTTTGAAGACTACCAGATGTAAGAAGAATCTCAGCCCTGACCCAGTTTGGACAATCACATCTCGGATTGATAAACCAAGACACGTGAGTCTTTTGAACATGCATACAGAACTTTCACAACCAAACCAGGAAGACTGTAATTGACCGCAGCTTCTCATTGCATCTGAACCGGAGAAACTCTGGTTAGCAGCATGAGAATGAGGCAAGATCCTAAACCCACTTCAAACCACGGTTTAGGATCCTGGCTCGTTCAATGCTAGGGACCAAGGTTTCCTGGTTTGGATGAAACAGGAAGCTATGAGACTTCAAGATCTGCTCGCCAAGTTACACAACGAAGATGAAAAGATCTCGGCCATAGGTGTCCATTTAGCATTGCTTTTAAGCTGCTCTTGGGTTATTTCTGTAGCTGTTTTGATTCTAGTTCACCCATCGCCCGGGGACATCTGTGGAAGGCGATTAATAAATAGCAACAAGCGAGCAGAGCTTTAGTGGGTGAGCAGGTGCAAGCAGCTCGCTCACATTTTGGTTTATGAAGCTGAGATGCGATTGCCTGAACTTGGCCACCGAAACGTGTTTACGTTGGTAAAGAGAAAGGACGGTAGAGGAACCCATTCACTCAGAGAAGAAACCAGCAAGTTTGGCAATGTCGCTCAGCACGCACCCCTGGCACCGATGCCAAGAGAAGCAGCCAGCCCTTTTGCCTGCCAGCTAGAGGCACCTTAATCCCTAAACAAAGCCACCCCTGCCTTGAGGGGCATCCTTGCTCAAGCAACGCAGCCCTTTCCCCAGCAGGCTCAGCCCTGAGAAAAGCAGGCCGTTCTCTTGGCCACCTAGATTTGCTCCATTGCCACAGCACCCTTACAAGCCTGTCTTGCTTGCTCCTGCAAGGGATGGGCCACCCAGTCAATTTCAGGTTCTCATTTTCCCAGCCTCGATTTAGCCACATTTCCACATTGGTTTGTGATTCATTTTTGTCTAAAAGTCCTCCTGAGAGTTGGCTAGCGTCCTGGTGTTAACTTCTCTTAGTATTTGTGTTTTCGCAAGCCATTTCCCCATATGCAATGCATTTTCGTCGCTTGTTTCAATGAACGTATGCACTCCGAAGCACACCTTCTCATTCAAGAACCCCAGATTTGTATTTAAAGAAAAAATTACAAAATGGTGCCAAGTCCCACCAACATCCCACTCACTGCAAAATCCCAAATGCAATCTCTGGGAGTTCCTTCAGGCAAAACCATCTGAGGAAGCACCAAAATTTGCAAACCTGGCAAACTCTCTCAAGGGGGTTTGGCACGTCCTTGATTTGGTTGTCAGGAATGTGGCAGACGAGTCTGTTTTAGCCGTGTTTATTTTTTTTAAGTGTTTAATAGGTATCTTGCCTCTTAAAATGGCTGTTGCACAAGCAGTCACCCTCCAGCAGGCATTGGGCAGCAGATCAGATTAGAAATCTTAATCGTAATAAAGAGGAAAGCAAATTGTAAATACGGCAGCCTTGTCATTCCAAGCAAGCCAGGAGCCATCTGTCTGAATGGCGAAGAGGGTAAGAGCCATTCCTCTGCCTTGATCCGGCCACATTCCACAGCCCAGCACCCCCTCCCAGCTTGCTATTTAAATAGCGATTAATCCTCGCCTTGACATGAGCAGCTGGGAGGCTGCTTCGCTCTCCCTGTTCCTCCTGTGATCCTCTAACCCTTTGGCCCACTCCACCCCTGCCCCAGACAGGTGCATCAAAATGTCCAGGTGAGGGGAGGAAAGTTAAGACACCCAGGGCCAACACTGGGTCTGGGCAGCCGAGCCCCAGGCCAGAGAGGCTTGGAGAAGCGGTTTGCACCCAGAGGTCAGCGTCTGAGTCGCTCGCGAGCCCTGGGGCAGCCATCAGATAACTCTCTCGGAGGCGTACGCCTCCTGACAAGGGAACAATTAGAAGGGGGCAGCCGAGCCAGGGGGACAAAGGCGCCACGGAATTTGACTCGGAATTTGGCTTCCGATGAAAACGCCCCTTGCCCGCGCTCTCGCTCTCCTTCCTTCCAAAGGCCACAGAGTCACTTCTGAGAACAAAACAAGGCTTCAGGTTCTTGCTTGACTGGCCACCACACCATCAAAAGATTTGGAGGAGAAAACGGGGAAAGTTGTTTGCTTCTTTGCAAATTTCAGGTGGTCTGTGTTGGTGATGCGACAGAGGCTTGCGCTGCTCCACGCCTCCCCCGAATCCTACCCTAGGCGCTCCACTGGGGCACCCAAGATGAGGCAAATTCACACGTGTGTGTGTGTGTGTGTGTGTGTGTGTGTGTGTGTATGTAGAACTGGGACAAATGGCACCTGCTCAGTTCCCCCTCCGAATATGACCATCTGAACACAGTGCTCTACCATGATTCACAGCCACCGTGTTTCAGCCAGACTTTTGCAAAACTCCACCTCTCTGCTTCCGCACGAAACGACAGGAGACCGTTTTTTCCTCTTCGCACTTAACTGCGGTGTCTTTATAAAACTGTACTTGATGAAAAGTACAGATAAAAGAAAGGACTTCTTAATGCAGTGTATAATTATGGAACTCGCTCTACCAGGAGAAAGTGATGGCCTTTGAAAGAGGGTTGGGCAAGTTCATGCCAAAGGGGTGACATTCTGGATATCGCCAGCTTACTATTCATGAACACCAACCACGTGTGCAGAAGACCTGTTAACAGGGAATTGGGAGGAAGGAATTATGGGATGGTGGCAATCATGCCACCTAAGTCAAGATTAGCCTCAGGAGAGGCCTGGGTAAAGAAGAGATCGTGCAAAACAGTGCACCAGGGCTTGTGAACCAAGAGCAGGTTTGGGAAGCTGGTTTCTTGGCCATTCCAAGACTGCCAACAGACTCTTTTCTCTGATTACAGTCAAATAACACCAAATATTCTGTGAAACAAAGATCCTCAATTAGGAGTACCAAGAATTATAAGCAGATCTATGGCAGGGGCATGGCACGGGGGGCTGCTAGGACGATGGCCCCCGGAACATTTTTCTGGGGGCGCTGTGCATGCCGCCGTGCCACCCTGAGCTGCTTTGCGAGGCTTGCAAAGCAGTTCAGGACTGGCATCAGTCTGGTGATGTTGATGGCACATGCTGGGCTGGCGTGGCAAGTTCCATTCAACCTCTGCGTCCTGCCGCCCCAGCGCCCGCCCGCCCGGGCACCAGCAAACCACGCTATGCCACTGATCTACAGTCTCATTCAGGCTTCTTCTTGTCCTGCTACTTTCCCCTGGGAAAACCCACTGAATCTTTACCACTGAATTGGAGCAATTGTCAATGGGGTTTTCCGTGGATTGAGGTTTGCTCCGATTCAGTGCTAAAGAGCAGCTTTTCCAGGGGAAAGTCATGGGGCAAGCAGAAAACAATTCAGACCCATGCTCTCTAGGCACAAGACAAGCGGAAGTATGAACAAGCCCATAAATATGTGAGGGTTTTGTTCTTGTTTTTATTGTGTCTTTTTTGCTTTTATATTGTATTTCACATTGTGAACCGCCCTGAGATCTACGGATAATGAGCAGAATACAAATTCAATAAATAATAATAATGACAGTTGCTGATCCAGAGATTTAAAGTTTCCTTTGGCTATGTTTCACAAAGCTGCAGCAAGCTAGATTCCTTCACCCACCCCTGCCTGACTGCAGATATCTTCAGAAAGGTACACCGCCCATCGCAGAAGGGTTAAAGGCAAAAACATATTGCAGGGGTGTTTGTGTGTGGTTTTAGCATAGCTCGCTCCATTCATCTGTTGCCTGTAGATTTATCGCATGATGACAATTGCACACAGTTTGATAAATGAAGGGAGATATTTTTTGCTTGCACTCCAGAGCTAAGTACAGCAATATCCACCCTATTAGGAAGCAATCTGGTAACCTTAGAAGATTTCTCTCACTGAAGCAGCAAGAAGAGATATCCATCTGTCTCTTGTTCAAACACAGGCAGCGGCGGCAGAAGGAATGAACTTTGCCTTTCCAAGGTATTCAGTAATGTTGAGGGACCTGCCAGCTCCATTTGGATGTAGCAAAATGCCCAGGGAAGGGCCAATCAGAATATTCACGTGATACATACCGTATTTTTTGCTCTATAAGACTCACTTTTTCCCTCCTAAAAAGTAAGGGGAAATGTGTGCGCGTCTTATGGAGCGAATGCAGGCTGCGCAGCTATCCCAGAAGCCAGAACAACAAGAGGGATTGCTGCTTTTACTGCGCAGCGATCCCTCTTGCTTTTCTGGCTTCTGAGATTCAGAATATTTTTTTTCTTGTTTTCCTCCTCCAAAAACTAGGTGCGTCTTGTGGTCTCGTGCATCTTATAGAGCGAAAAATATGGTACTTCTCTGGGACTGTTTCACTTCAGACTGGGGGTAGGGGTTGCACGTCTGAATGTGTGCCTTCGTTTTAAAAGCATGGTATCCCCGCATGCAGAAAGCTAGCACAGCAGAGGGAGAAATGTTTTATCTTAGTGCTTTCAACTAGTCTTCTACATTTAAAAAGTCGTAGGTGAACATTAGCAAAAATACAACCACCACCTGCAGTCTGGGATCGTAAAACTTCGACCAAGGTACTTCAGGTTGTATCAACAACTGAAGCTTTGTAACTGGCCCATCCAGGTCAGTATTGAAGGAGCGTCTCCACCTCCATCGTTCTGCCCGGACACTGAGGTCCAGCTCCGAGGGCCTTCTGGCAGTTCCCTCACTGCGAGAAGCCAAGTTGCAGGGAACCAGGCAGAGGGCCTTCTTGGTGGTGGCACCCGCCCTGTGGACCGCCCTCCCACCAGATGTCAAAGAGAAAAATAACTACCAAACTTTTAGAAGACATCTGAAGGCAGCCCTGTTTAGGGAAGCTTTTAATGTTTAATAGGTTCTTGTATTTTAGTGTTTTGTTGGAAGCCGCCCAGAGTGGCTGGGGGGACACAGCCAGATGAGCGGGGTATAAATAATAGATGATGATGATGATGATGATGATTGACTGATCTGACTGGCAGCAGCTCTCTGGAGTTTCAGCCTCAGGGGTTTCTCCCAGTTGAACCTGGCATTGCCAGAGACTGAAACTGGGCCTTTCTTCTCTGGCACACACACCTCCAGAAACTGAAAGCTCAGCACAGCCCTTTGCCAAGTAAATCCTGGATTTGCACAGATACCTGTCTCAATACCATTGATGCACGGAGCTACAAAGAAAGGGGGGGGGTCAAGGATGAGCAGGCGATTTCCCGTTCCATTTTGTGATTGTTCAATGGGCTGGCTGCTCTCCTTCACTTTCTGTCCCGTCAGACTTTGAAGAATTTCTGAAATTCATTGTGAAACGGACACATCTGCAATTTGCCAGCTTCCGTGCCTTGTTTTGCCATACAGTTTGCGATGCACACAAGCAGGTGAGCACACGGGATTGTAATACCAGACAGCAATAATCCCTCGAAGCATCCTGGGGGATGTGTACACAGATTAAATCACAGATCAGGAATGGATTCCAGTGCATTTGTATTGCTGCATCATGATTCCTCTGCTATAAGTAAGATCTCACTTCAGACAAAGGCTACATCGAATCCCAAATTTAACTGTTAGATACAGTGCTTTTTTCTTTTTAAAAAATGTCTAGGGGTGCTCTCATTTTGTCTCAAGAAAATCACTATTTTATAGTTCAAAACAGGAAAAATAAATACAGTAAATGGACAAAAGTACAAAGATTCACAAAATGTTTAGGAGTATGCACCCCCCTGTGTCCCCCCAGAAAAACAGCACTGGTTATATATCTCTATTCCAATGAGAAATGCAAAAGACCACTCAGATTCCCTTCAATAAGAGTTAATTACTTTGTACCTGTACACATGCAAAACTGTATCACAGCTTTGACTAGTCCAATTTATTTCCTCGATACTTCATTTAATCCGCTGTTGTAAATTGCATCCCACATAGCTGTGATGTTTAATTAAAAATGGTGCTGCAATCAATGTGCTTTGGCAGCTTGGCAAAGGGGAGGAGGCATATCGGTCTGATAAATAATAAATAAATAAAATGTGCAAGCGAAACGAAAACCGCAGCAAACCGTACATGTGCAGAGGTCCAAACAAACAGCCAAGTGGAAAAACGACGGCTTCGCAAAATCGCTGGTACAAGATTAGGTGGGGGGAATGGGAGGCAGAACTGTCAGAGCACCATAGAAACTCGAGGTTTTAAACCTGTGTTAAATGGATAAGGCAGCCCTGCCAATTTGGTGCCCTCCAGATATTTTGAAACAACCGCAGCCAGCACAGTCCCATGGTGTTTTGGGTGATTGGAGCTGTGATCCTACAGTTTCTGAGGGCACCGGCTTGGCAGAGGGTGGAATAAGCTGTCTAACAGAATGGATACCCATGTTTCAAAGGCTGAAATTCACTGGTAAAGGTCTGAAAGACTTTACTATTTTAGGGAAAGCGGCGTGGCAAAGAGCAGGGAGAGAAAAGGGGCACAGAGATCACAGAGACAAGTGCATATTCCAGATCCACCACAGCTGAGCACTAACAAATCCTCACACTGCAATTCAAAACTGGGCACAGTCAATTATTGGGGTTTTTTTGTTTGTTTTTTTTTAAAAACAGGACTAGCGTATAAGTTTGTTATGGAAAGGCAGAATGTGTGCAGTGTGGCAAAGAGAAGTTTAACCAAGAAGCATGGGTAGGTAAGTTTTTGAACATTTAAGAAGTGGAGCAGAGGAGAGAGAGAGAAAGAGGAACTCCTAATCGTAACTACATAAGACAGGAGAAGTATCTGCTATTTAAGACTGTGCACAATGTACATTATATGAGCTGCCTGTGCCTTCCTTGCCAGGATCAAGCTTAGACGAACTAGTTCTGCCTGTATGCAGCAGAATCTGTCTGTGCACAGCACTGATTGGCTGGCACCCGAGTGGTCATGAACTCCTTCCCACTTCTCCCTCCCTCTAGAGTGCTTTTGCAAGTTCCCTAAGTTGGCAATCAAGCAAAACGCAGAGATTTAAAGTAGTCATTCCGCCTGAAATGTGGAAGGGAGAGCGAGGCTGATGGCTGAATAACGCTTTGAATTGCGGAGAAGTCTGTTCAATGCATTGGAAACCAGTTGGGGGGGGGGGGAGAAAGATCTAGCAAACCACCTTTTTCATGCACCAAATCAATGCCCAGTCTTGCCTGAACGAGAAGAAGGAAGTCAACTTGAGATGGCTCCCATCATCACAGACCAACAGAGTCCAACAGGATGCGAAGGGCCACACACACACCCCAGCCATGGCTCAGGGGGCCAGTTCAGAGAACCATCTGAATGCCTGGCTGCCATAGGAGGGATGCCAAGCTGACTTCCTCCTGGTTCAGCCAACACTGATTTAGTGTGTGCAAAATGTCATTTCCCAGATGCTATCCGCTTGCTGCTTTGTCAAATGTCTGCTATCTAAAGCATGAAAATCATGCAGACAGTTAACAGTCATTTGCAAAAGAAAAACCCTATGTCACAAATGATCTCTCACACACATCCTTCTGATGCAACTAACATTTCTGACCTTTCAAGCATGCGGTTGGTACTCAGTACACCAATACACATCAGTGGTTGGCCTAGGAGAAGGCTGCAGGCTTCAAGTTGAGGGTTTGGGTATTTGGTCAAAAGAGTTTTGGTCCGTTGACCCATCAAATATTGGTTAATACTGGTCAATGCTGATGTGGAATTTTGAAATCACCCTTTTCATTCGAACAGTGTGTGGGAGGAGCTGAATCCTCAACAGGTACGATGCTTTTGCTAATTACAAAAACAAATCAGTTATGTCAAATGGTGAAAGTTATTTTCTTTTTAACAGTAAATAACTCTCAAAATATGTAACCGAGTCTAACTTTAGGTTTGGTTTCTGTAGCATGGTTCACTGAAGAGTTCTCCTCTGACTTCTACCCTGGAATAACAAGGTCAGTTTACCTTTCTGTGTGTGCTTTAAAAACAAAACAAAAAACAAATAAAAAGCAAAACGTGGCCACAACTATTAAAAAACACAGAAGCAGTTTTTAAAAGGAGGAGAAGGCAGGCCAGTTCTTCAGATGTTATGAAATGCCTGGCTCAACTAAGTAGTGTGCCAACTTCATCACATGCAAACTTACTTGGAAGTAAGCCCCATTGAACTGAGTGGGATTGACTACAAAGTAAACTTGCTTAGGAATGCAATGTTACTCAGATGCAAGGTTAATACAAGAAGGTAGAGGCTCAGGTTGCATATGGAGACAGAATTTAGCTGCAATTTTCTGCACCCCATTGAGCTCAATACACTTTCTTCTGGGATGTTAAGACTTCGTAGACACCTTACAGTATTTCCTCCCCTCCTTAAAACCTCAAGGCTACTGCTATTTTAACCACCTCCTTCCCAATATCCCCCACAATATTCTGACATCCCTTTATTACTTTCTGTTTTTAAGGTTCGCTGCCCATTCCTGAAATTGGGGAGGTGGGAAGTTAGAAGTGCCAATCAATGCCAATCTCTCTGCTTTCACCCTTTGGCAACAGGAATATATGGAATATTTCTGGTCAAGTCGTTCGTGTCCAATCTGAGTATGGGGGAGAAGGTGAAGGATAAAATATTTATTTTTAAGACTATTTACAGAAATATTGTAAAATTAAGGAATCTTAGAAGGATGTTGGATAGAAACTAAGTGGTTTCCAGCTGTAATGCTTTAAGAGATAGGAAAAAAGGTTTACAATTGGGTAAAAGCTTAATGGTAAGGATTTGCTGAACTAACAAACTGAACTGGAATACAAAAAAGGGAGGTATGAGGAGGTCCGGGGAAATAAGTGTAGGGAAGATAGGTTATGGAAAATTAATGTCTTTTTAACTGTTTTATTTTGTATGTTTCTTTTTTATTCTTTACTTTTTTGTTATATTTTAAAAACTTTATTCTTTTTTCTGTATTTTGTACTTCTTGTATTTTTTGAAACTTTAATAAATATCATTTTTTTTAAAAAAAAAAAAAAGATAAAATATTTATTTAAAAAAGTAGGGCACAGAAGGCAACAACGGCGTTGCAGGGGTCTTTAAAATTACGAAGCCTTCTCTGAAAAACTCCAGACAGGTTTTCCAAAATGATCTAAGCCTCTGCCCGACACTGTCTGAGACATGAATTACCTACTCTTAACCCAACCTAGGTTCTGCAACATAAGATCAATTGAACTTTTTCCCCTTCCTCGCAGGAGACCCTGTCAGCAGCTTCAGAGCACCATCCAAATAAACAGCGCCCCAGGGCAAAATACTTGCCATTTTTTTGGTCTCCTACCACCTGCCTTTGGTTCACAATAATAAAAAGGTACAATTTGTTTCAGGCCAGGATGATCAGAGGACAGAACACACACACACACACTCCCCAGTGGGGAATCATCAAGGACAAACAACTTGAGCCGAAAATCTGTGGGGTTTTCCCTCTTGCACTTTACTCCTTCTTCAGTTGTAACAGGAAACATTTATTTATTTTTAAAGCAAAACAGCCAGCCCGTGACAGCAGGTCAGTGCAAAACAAGACGAGCTCTTGCCCCACACGGCAAAATGTTTTTTTTATTTTTTTTTTAATATGAAGACTCTGCATCGGTGTACGGCGAAGAAATACTTAGGGAAGATGTCAAACTTCGCTTTTGAAACCCAGGAGCTTGACGTTCCCTGAGTTTTTGGAAGTGCAGGCATTGTAGCATCACAGTGAAAGAGTATGGATTCCCCCCTTTGCCCTGCAATGATCCCACTCTTTTATGATATATTTAACAAACTTATTTGGCTCTCTTTCCCTGCAAATAAAGAGACATACACCAGTTCTGACTGACTGTGCCGTGTGTGTGGACTCGTTTTCCCTGTTACACAAGTCTTTTTCACCCCAAAGTGCAAGTCAGCTTTCCCCACATAGCGGTGATCTCTGCGATCTTAAAAATAACTGTTTATAAAATCTTTCTAGGATGTGTGTATGTTATCCCTACCAAAGTTTGTTGCAAGCATTCATTCCCATTGCAAAGAGCAGGACCCAAAACACAAATAATTTCATTTAAATGTGGACTCGGTGACAAGCAACTGATATGTCTGGATTTGAAAATTCCAAGTTAGATCCCTTTATGTTTGGAGCTTACATACGACCAAACACACACAAAGACACAAATTAGAAAATAAAGTACAACCCCTTTAAAAAAATAATTTGTCCAGTTTATCAATATGATTGTTTATCAGCCGTAAGTAAATATATATTATGCAGAGCCTTGCTTCATTCTGAAGTATGGTATGTTTATCCTTTTACAGATCAGAAAACGTGTCCAAAACCTTACAAGGACAAGAAAATTTGGACAAGAAAATTGGCTTCCAGGTGGAAAAATCAAAATTAGAAACTGAACTGTTAGAACCCAAAACTAAGAATTTGTCAAAGATGTATAACTTGCTGTTGAAATGGAACACTCAGGATGAAACGGTGAAATCTGTTATGATTAAATGGGCACAAGACGTTGGACACAACATTATGTTCGCTGACTGGGAGCAGTTATGGACCACAGGTATGAAATTTACGGCATGTAATGCCTTAAGAGAGAATATTATGAAAATGATATACAGGTGGTACATAACCCCAGTCAAGCTTGCAAAAATCTACCATTTGCCCGATAATAAATGTTGGAAATGTAAAGAAACTGAAGGTACATTTTTTCACCTTTGGTGGACGTGCCCAAAGATTAAGGCTTTCTGGGAAATGATATATAATGAATTAAAAAAGGTACTTAAATATACCTTCTTGAAGAAACCAGAGGCCTTTCTCCTGGGCATAGTCGGCCAATCGGTGTTAAAAAAGGATAGAACTTTCTTTATGTACGCGACAACAGCAGCAAGAATACTCATCGCAAAGTATTGGAAGACACAAGAGCTACCCACACTGGAGGAATGGCAGATGAAACTGATGGACTATATGGAACTGGCGGAAATGACTGGTAGAATCCGTGACCAGGGAGAAGAGTCGGTGGAAGAAGATTGGAAGAAATTTAAAGATTATCTACAGAAACATTGCAAAATTAAAGAATGTTAGAGTGATGATGGATTGAAATTAAGTGGTTTCTAGCTGCACAGGCGTTAAAGTTATATATAGACTAAGATTAAGGATTAGGCATAAAAAGGTTAAAAGAACGGAAAACTGGCTATTAATAGATAAGAATTTAATGTTATACCATATTAAGATTAAGGATTGGGATTAAAAAGAGGGAAGGAAATTGCTGGACAAACAAATTGAACTGGAATACAAAAGAGGGAGGTATGAGGAGGTCCAGAAAATAAGTAAATTCAAAAGTGGTGATGAAAAGATGGTATTGTTTTTAACTGTTTTTTCTTTCTTTTTTTGTTTGTTTTTTTTGTATTTTGTATTGTGTATTTTTGTATTGTGTATTTTTCTTTTTACTTTTAAATTCTTTTTTACTGATGTGTCTTTCTTTATCGGAAACTTTAATAAATATCATTTAAAAAAAAAAACCTTACAAGGAATTCACGACAGAGATGTGCAGTCCTAGCTTCAGAAACGCACAGTCCTCAAATTACCTGCCATTTCCAGGTATAAATAAACATGGGGGGGGGCAGGATCCTGCCTACAACTTATAGGCTCCATGGAGATTACAGCAATGCTAGCAGATGGGATTCTGCTTCCCCACCCTCCCATTTTTACTTTTATTTAAATTTCTGCCCAGATGAGTAACCGGGCAGAGTTTAAGAAATCCTTCTTATCATCATCAATTATCAGTGCAAAAGGATAATGAGGTATAAATGATGGGAGGGCTGGAGAAGAGTTTTCTGAACCTAAAGCAATGCCTGGCACACAAATATGTATGTTTGGATGCAGAAAAGCAACTGTCTGCCCAAATCAGCCCTGGCAAAGATGCTGCAATCTCAGCGAAGCTTCAACAAGCTTGGGTGGCAATCTCCGAGACAAGAGCAAAATTCTTTTTTTTATAAAGAGAAGGGAGAGCTGTATTGGGAGATCAGAGCTGGGGGAAAGTTGGAAAGGGTTCACGGGAAGGGCGCACAAGGAAAGCGCCGGTGCCAGGGGTTTATTCGCCATTCTCCTTTCATTCCATCTTTTGTCAACTGTAACAGTTATCAGCAGAAATCTCCCATTTTATTGCAATGGGCAAAAGCACATCATCACTCAGGGCTGACAGGAGGACGGCCTGCGTCACCCGCAGAGGAAAGGGGAGCAGATAATGTGACCTCAGGTGAAGCCTGGCTGGAGGGCGACAGGATGGGAAGACTTGAGCCCAGGACAAGCGTAGGGGCACACATCTCAGGAACAACACATCTCTCCAGATATTTATAGCTGCCAGGAGACTGTGTTTGTGCCTGTCATCTCACCAAGCCCAGAGGATGAGCAGATGCATTAGCAGGCCTCAGTTCCAACCCTCGCTATCTGCAGCTAAAGGAAGCCAAGAAGCTTCCCTATCCTATCTCAGACCATTGGTGCATCTAGCTCAATATGGCCTACACTGGCTGCCAGCAATGGCTCGCCACGATTTCAGGCAGGAGCCTCTCCCAGACCAACCCAGAGATTCCAGTGGGGATTGAGCCTGGGAGCTTCAGATTCTCTGCCTGTGGCCCATCCCCAAAGGGAACCAAAGATTTCTGCCAGAGTGCCCAGAAAGCAGGGTAGCAGTTGATGCTCAGAGCAGCTGGACCAGAACCTCCACTGCCCTGGATCAAGTACCGTATTTTTCGCTCCATAAGATGCACTTTCTTCTTCCTAAAAAGTAAGGGGAAATGTCTGCGCGTCTTATGGAGCGAATGCATGGTCCCTGGGGCCGAATTGTCCAGGGGCAAAAAGCAGATCATGCTTTTTTTTTTGAAAGAGGGAAGTGGGTGTTGAAACAAAGCCGCTGATCGTTTGCTGATCAGGGAGAGAGATAAGGGAGCTAGAGATAAAGGAGGCTGCCTGGGAGGGGAGAGGTAAAGACAGCAAACTTGCAAATGGGGGGAACAGGAAGACTAAAGCAATGAGGAGAGAAATTAGAAGAAAAGGAGGAGCAAAATGCTGCTCCAGCTAAGGAAAAGACACTAAGGCAAACGAGAGGGAAGGGAGTGTTGAAAGGAAACAGCTGATTGGTGGGATCGGGAGAGAGGTAAGGGATGCTAGCGATAAAGGAGGCTGCCTGGGAGGGGGGAGGTAAAAGCCCATGGATCCTCAGGATTTTTACATTGGGTCACCCCAAATTCACCATCAGATCACATGTCTGTGGCCACAGCATGAATCACAAAAATCATACATCCACTGTTTCATTCAGAATATTGTTTTTCTTGTTTTCCTCCTCTAAAAACTAGGTGTGTCTTATGGAGCGAAAAATACAGTATTTAGGGCTACACCAACTCATTGCCATTGTCTCCTTCAAAATGGCACAGGGCAAGTGGCCAAATGGGTCACTTCTTAGCTCAGGACATCTACCTCGCTAACCCCAGATGCATCGCCGCGGGAGAGCCTTTTAAAACAAATCATTGCGGCTGGTTGTTTTGTCTGCCCAGCTCCCCGAGATGGTTTCCTGGGTTCTAAAATTCTCCCGCCTCAATCGGCAGCTTTAACGTCAATGTGTTGTCATTTAACTGCCAGGGAGCCCTCCAGAAGCAGATAGAGTTTCATGCAGAGATGCTACAGATCTGCTGACAGGGCAAGATGTCAACTTGCAAAGGACAGGCACACATTCCTCATGGAAAAGTCCATTTCTTTCAAAGAAGAAGTTGCCAAGGGAGGCAAAACCTCCTTAATTCCCATCAACTCCTCTTGCGCATTCACACAATCATTTCAAAAACTCCTGGACCCTCGGGTCAGAATCCTCACCCTCTTGCCTTTTCCATTGCAAAGATTCTCAGAACTTTTTCCATTCTTTTTTTAGGTATGCATGAAAACTTTGAAGGGCCTGCAACGCACCAGAACATACGGCACAATTTAAACTGCTAGTACCTTGCATTTCCTAAATGCATAACTCCAAAACATGAGTCTCTTTCATCATTCCTGGCCATAGTGGTGCAGAGGGAATCATCTCCTGACCTCTTAAGCACTGCTACATTATTATTATTTAAAAACCCAATAAAACACCCAACCCAAACACAGACTTTTTAGCTCCTGTGAAGGCTCTGGGAGCTACCTGTGGGTTTTTCACACACACACACACGTATACACACACACACACACACACACACACACACACACAAATGTGCCCATGCCCCACATTCTTCCTACACAAATTCCTTGCTCCCATCTCTTTTCAGCACCAACTATGGTGTGGCGCTGCACATTGCCAGTTAGTGAATGAGTCTGAAACCAGGGTTCGAAGCTGGTTGGCAAGCCCTGGTTAAAAATTAACCACATTTAGCATTTTCCCGGTGCAGACTGTTATGTATGTGTTTGCCTGAGCTTGAGTCTGGGCCATAGCTGTCAACTTTCCCCTTTTCTAGCGAGGAATCCTATTCGGAATAAGGGAATTTCCCTTAAAAACTGGGAAACGTTGACAGCTGTGGTCTGGACTAAGGATTCTGAGCTCCTGTGTTCTGATTTGATACATGATGTCCAATCACAGAACATTTCTTTTTTCTTTTTTTATAAGATATTTATTGAGATTTTCAAAATGTTACAAAATTAAAAAAAAACAAAGAAGAAAATACAAAATAAAGATAGTTAAAAACAACTCAATCTTTCCATTACTTGTTTTTCATTAGCTTGTTTCCCGGACCTCCTCACGCCTCCCTTTTTTGTATTCCCGTTCAGTTTGTTGGTTCAGCAAATCCTTACCCTCTTTGTTTATCCTAGTCTTTAATCTTAAAATATTGTAACGTAAAATTTTTACCTATTAATAATCCATTTTTCATATTCCCTTATAGTATTACAGCTGAAAACCACTTAATTTCTATCCGGCATCATTCTAACATTCATTAATTTTACAATATTTCTGTAGATAGTCTTTAAATTTCTTCCAATCTTCTTCCATCGACTCCAATCACAGAACATTTCAGGATTTGGGCCTCTGGCATTGGCTCTTCCAACTCTGAGTCGTGATTCGCAGCTTGGAAGTTTAGACAGCCAATCACGTTGGGAGTGGGAGCGGCCCAGGCTTTCAGAGGTGTATATAAGCAGTTGCTTTGCCCCTGTTTCCCAGTTATGTAGTTCAATGAAGGTTTTGCTGTTATCGCTGTGTCTTGCCTCATGGGAATCCACCTACACTTCACAGACACAACAGTATACCGTGGCTAAGTGGAGGAAGGAGAGGGAGGGAACCCACACCAGATAATTAAGGGATCGGGAAATGACAGGTGCACACTAGACCAAGAGACCAGCTCCCTCCTGGATGCTTCACTTGAGATTCCTGCATTGCACAGGCGGTTGGACTAGAGGACCCTCAGAGTTTCCTCCAACTCTACAATTCTACGATCCTGTGACCCGAGAGCATTCAAGCAGAAGGGGGAGAGAAACATGAATGGAGGATATATCTTTATTGGAAGTCAGGGATGCAGCAGACGAAGCTAGGCCAGCAAAGCACAACTCTTAGAGCTGCACCTCAATGACACTGCAAGGTGATCTGCTGCAAATCCTTGTGGAGAATGTTCTGGGGTCAGCCCTGAGAGACAGAGTGAAAAGGTATTTAGGGTGTGCAAAAAAAAAAGAGAGAGATTTTTTTATTATTATTTAGCCTTATCAGTCAGAACAGAAGAGCTGGTCCAGTCTCCTGTTCCCACAGGGGCCAACCAGATGCCCCAATGGGAAACCCACAAGCAATATTGAAGCTCTCTCCCCTTGTACGATTTCTAACAGCTGGGATTCAGAGGGCATTACTGCACCCAGTTGCAAAGGCAGAGCAAAGCCTTGATGGCCAGCAGACATCAATAGCCTTCTCTCCCTCCATGAATCTGTCCAATCCTCTTTTAAAGCCATCCAAGATGGTGGCCATCACTGATTCCAGTGGGAGGGAGTTCTACGGGTTAACAAGGCGCTGCATAAATAAATCTGTCCTGAATCTTCCAGCATTCAGCTTCTTTGGATGTCCACAAGTTTTGAGAGAGGGAGAAAAACTTTCCTCTACCCACTTCCTCCTTTATAAGCTTCTATCTTTTCGCCTCTTACTCTCCTTTTCTCTAAATTAAAAAGTTCCAAACACTGCAACCTTTCTTCCTAAGTTGCTCCGCACCCATGATCATTTTGGTGGTCCTTTTGTGAACCTTTTCCAACTCTGCAGTCTTCTTTTTGACGTGAGGCCACCAGAACTGTACACGGCATTCAAAATGTGGTCGCACCATAGACTTGTAGAACGGGGTTCTGATGTCTGCAGCAGCTTGATTCCTTTCCTAATGATCCCTAGCACAGAATCCGGCCTTTCCCACAGTGCCTCACCCTGGGTCTCTAAGGGCTTTAGGGGCCTCCCTGGAAGTTCTCCAGATGTTCTGCAGCTCAACACCCACCAACAGTGGCTGGTGAGAGTTAGCCTCCCAAACATCTGGAGGGGGCAGGTTGGGGGAAACTGCTCTGATGATTCATCCCAAAAACTATTGCTACACCTTTGCCTTGCAACCTGCCATACACTATCCTGATTTGCAATTTGAACTGAGAGCCAAGGCGAATGGGGCAGCTATACTGGCCTTGCTGAACCTGCATTCGTGACTCAGTAGATAAAAAGAAAACCACCACCCTCCACCCGGAAGTGCCCCAAACCTATTGTTTTGTGAGGTTCCCATGAAGCGCTCGTCCCTTTTCTGAAGCCAACCCCATAATCCCTGCCGTCGATCACTTGCTTAGCGCTCAAAGGCGCATTAATATCGATGTACACAAGCTGAGGGCGTCACAACAAGGTGTGAACATTTCTCAGAAATCCCTTCGTGGCAAGGAAGACACAACTAGGGGAGACCTAAAGCGATAGCAGGAAGGGATTGGGGGGGTGGAAGTGTGTAAAAAGAGGGAGAGGAACATATATTCTTTTCATCAGTGAGACAAAACCCACCCATGTAACTAATTGAAGCAGAAGCTGCAAGTTGCCTTCAAAAGAGGGTGGGGTTGGAGATCCTTGGGGATTTTGAAGACAGGTAATTTTAAAGACACAAGATCTGGAGCCCATTTCCAACATAAGTAACAACAGTCTAGTTTGGTGAAGATTCCTCTAAAGAAGAGGCAGGCAATCTAAGGCCCAGGGGCCGGATGCGGCCCAATCGCCTTCTCAATCCAGCCCACGGACAGTCCGGGAATCAGTGCGTTTTTACATGAGCAGAATGTGTGCTTTTATTTAAAATGCATCTCTGGGTTATTCGTGGGGCATAGGAATTCGTTCATCCCCCCCCCCAATATAGTCTGGCCCCCCACATGGTCTGAGGGACGGTGGACCGGCCCACGACTGAAAAAAGTTGCTGACCCCTGCTCTAAAGTGATGTTTCAAAGGTGAATCTGGTGAGAGATTTGCTGACGAAATTACATTTTGAGCGAAGCAGAAGGATAGCTTTGATGAGACAGAGAAATGTCGGCGTTGAGGGAGGTTTCCATATATCCCAAGGTTTTGAGTTTAGATATGGGGATAAATTCAATTCCACTTGCGCTTAAACGCAACTCTGCCTCATCTGCAGTTTCCAAAGTGATGCGTGAACCAAAATACAACCATCCCTCGAAATTCACACTTATCCAAATTTTGCAATGCAATTCTCCGTTCAAGTAATTCATGCACAAGCACAAGCACAAGGGTAAGAGGTGTGTGTGTGTGTGTGTGTGTGTGTGTGTGTGAATGCATATTTGTGAGAAGAAAGTCTAGAACAATCCATCATATTAGGGGAAACAACTTTGGAAAAATGAGCCCATTAGGCAAAATTGCATGTGAACATCTGTATATATTTGGGAAAAATTGCCACTAAAAGGCTGATCATTTTTTTGTGTGAGGACTTTTCTTTAAAAAAGTAACGGATGTGGAACTGTGGAGAACTGGACACGAAGTTTGGGAAAATGAGAAGCAAAGAGCGGCTGCAATTGTCAGATTCTCCCATCCCAATGCTTGTTTTTGAGCTGCACTGATGCAGTTGAGCAACTGATGCCATCTGCAGAACATGGTGCAGTTCTACCTTTGGCATATGACGGTGTGCAGAATGCAAAGTACAAAATGCAACGCAACGCCCAGATCCATAACAGGTCCTGCGGTGTGCGGCTGACCAGTAAAGACTGCTTCAGCCAGATTTTGACTGCCTGGCGAGAATCAGCCTCCATCCGTACAGCTTAACCAACATGGCAACCCTCTTTGAAAAGGAGCTGGGACTATTGCACTTGCGACTAGGAAGGATTCTGAGTGCAATGCTTCTCCGAAGGCAGCACAAAGGCACAAAGTCCAGATGAGCCAAAGACAAGCAGAACAGAGTTCAAATTGTGCTTCAGTGGCAACTGGCTTCCTTCCCCCCCCCCCCAAACAAAAAAAAAAAAAAAAACAGCAAAGCAACTAAAAAATGCTATGGAACGGGTGAGAGATTCCAGAGCAAAAATTAAACAACATGGCAGTTAATGCAGCTCCAGATCATAAAAGGAAACGGTACCCAGTTTAAGGTCAGAGTGGGTCCTTCCCAGATTTTGAACGCTCAACTTCCTTTGTCCGTTTTGAACAGCCAGGCGGGGGGGGGGGGGAATGAGAGGAGAGAAGGAGGAGGGAAGGAGCATCAGTGTTTGTATAGCCGCAATAATTTCCTTGTCAGCACCTTCATGGTGGTGGAACTCATTCCACTGAATGATTGGTTAAGTCTCTTCCTTTGAAGACAGAACTGCCTTCCCCCTTGGAAAGGGGCCAGAGAACATGGGCTGTGGGGGGTGGAGGGGGGAGAAGAGGAGGGGAGGGAGGGGTGGAGAGAGCTGTCTGCAACCTGGCTGCAGGTAGATTTCCTCGCCATACTTTTCTCTCTCCCTCCCAAATATAGCCGTTTGAAAGCAGCCCTCGAGTTTAAAGCTAAAATACTTTTGAGTATTGCAATTGCATTGTATTATTGCATTTTACCCCCCCCCGCCACAACTTTCCCCTCCAGGGAGCTCAACGTGGCACACATGGTACCCCCCCCCATTTCATCCACACAACAACCTTGTGAGGTAGGTGCAGATGAGAGGCAGTGACAGTGGTCAGGAATGATGGGTGTTGCAGTCTAACAACATCTAGGGACCTGAGTTTGAGAAAGGCCCTGTTCTAACCACTACCCCACACTGCCTTCTCAAGATGGTCGCCTGAGAATGAACACCATTAAGCCCAGAGTCACAGGAAAGAGTCTGGCTAGGAGATGTATCTTTCCAGGGGAAAGTTAGCTGCACTAGAAAACAATCTGCTTCCAGTTTGCAGGTTAAGGCCAGGTTTGGCCTATGCAGGAACATCGCCCGACACTCAGCCAAATGTCTCTCTGTGTGTTTTGTCTGTTGTGGAGCGAGACCAAGAGGATCCATCTATAGTCTGGACATCGAATTCCCATGCTGTGCAGCCAGATGCCCCCACTCCAGAAAGTCAATGAGAAGGACCTGGAGGCAGAAGGCGTTCCTCACAGTGTGTGTCCCCTGGCACTCGGAGGTCTTCACTGCCCCTGACCATGGAGGTTCTCCTTTAGCTCCTTGCGCATGGATTATTGTTGTTGTTGTTGTTGTTGTTGTTGTTGTTGTTTATGAGAGAGGATTCTAATAGGTGCCCTGCCATTCGAGCCTAGCACAAGCAACTCTTTTGATACAGGGATTTAAGGAGCAGCATTCGCAGGACTGCAACGGTGCACTCCATGCTTGGCTGTCAACGTTTCCCCTTTCTTAAGGAAAATTCCCTTATTCGAAATAGGATTCCTCACAAGAAAAGGGAAAAGTTGACAGCTGTGGCTCCATGTTGTGAGCTACCCAAGGCACCGGGGCGTACAAACGTTCTCGGAAACTGCTGTACACAACAGCCCTGGGAAAATGGCGCTGCAGAGGATTGCGTGTCAGGTGTCCCGGGTTCAACAACCTCCTGAAGACACAGGGAGAGGAGGGCGGAGCCTTCCCTTCACACAGTGTGCAGCCTGTAGATCTCCTCCCTAGCTCTCCCCCCTTCCAGCATTAAAAAAACCAACCTAAGTGGCAGATGTCTTGCCTGTTGCCTAACCAAATGCTCAGCGGGGTGAGGGAGTTCAATGCCTCACGCCCAGTGGCTTTCAATCGCATTTCCCCCTTTCCACTTGGCCAACGGCTGCAACTCGGGTCGCCGGCACCCTCTCTGGGTGAGTCAGGGCCAAGGAGGAGTCGGGTGTCTGTCTGGCACAGGCGAGACCCGCCTGCATCTTGCCTCACTTCTTCCTCTATGACATCAGCAGCCCCTGAGCTCTGGCACATGAATGGAGGCACACTTTGGAGCGTTGGACTCCATGAACTTTGCAGGAGAACATGAGGAGCCCGCTGGATCAGGCCAATGGCCCATCTAGTCCAGCATACTATTCTCACAGGGGCCAAATGCCCCGAGCAACATTGGAATCTCGATAGACTGCCTCTGGGGCTGGAGGTTCCATCTGAGCATCAGAATATAGCCCCGACGCAAGCCAATGGCCCATCTGGTTCTTGCAAAGGCCAACCAGATGGGAAACTTGCAAGCCATGGTTTCCTCAATGGGAAACCTAAAAGCAGAGTTTTCCCAGAAGCAACTGGCATTGAGAAGCAACTGGCATTGAGAAGAGGCAGAGCACAGCCATTGTGCCTTGTAGCCATTCATAGCCTTCTCCTCCATGAGGGGGCTGCTGCGGTCTGAGCTCTTTGGGTGCAACACAGCAGGGGCGGCGTGTTCTATGGACACCCCCAGCCCAGCTGATGGCTCAGGATTTGGACTTCGCCGGCGAAGGGAGCGTGGCCAAGGAGCACAAGGGAGTGCAAAGGCCTCTCTTCTGCAGAGGTACCTGGGAGGGCTCTGTTCTCCACAGGCCCTTCATTAGGACTTGCACAACAGTTCTGCCTCCCAGGCTCTCGGGTGGAACTCACTCACAGGAAACCCCTGGCCGGAGAGGAATGAGTCACAAGGAAGAAGAGGCAGTGGGAGCCAGAAGGGTAGGAGTTGCAAAAACTGAATCATGGAATCAGAAAACTGTGGAGCTGGAAAGGATCCCCTAAGGGTCATCTAGCCCAACCCCCAGCCATAACTAAGAAGCCGACACCCATTCTCCCACCTTTCTGTAGGCCTTATGACTTTGTAAAGAGCCACAGCCACTGATCCTCAGTAGGCCAGATGACCAAGCTTTCCTTCAAACCTATTCCTTGACCTCTTATAGCCCCATAAGAGCATAAAAACAGTGTAAGAAGGGGCTCCAGTCACAGTGGCCAACCAGGTGCCCACAGGAAGCCAGAAAGCAGGATCTGGGCCCCAGAGCCCTCTCGCCTCCTGTGGTCTCCAGCAACTGGGTTTCAGAAGTGTTTGCTGCCTTCAGCTGTGGAGGCAGAGCTCAGCCATCCTAGCTAGCTGCCACTGAGAGCTTTGTTCATCTGGGCAGAGCTTCTATCCACTGTCTCCCACCTCCAAAAGTTCTCCAGCTCCCCTCACTCCAGCCCTTCCGCTCCACCCTTCCTGACCCATCTCCTCTTCTTGCTCCTCCAAATCTAAAAGATGGCAAAATCCCTCTCGGGCCAGGTGTAGGTTGCTTCCGAAAGGTGGTCCAGCAATTGGTGACACTCAACATGCAGAAGACATCTTTGAAAGGAAGTCCTCAGGCCCAAACAAGAGATGGGTTGTGCAACCCTGGCCCCCCGAGTCTGGATATTTTCACAGCCGGGCGGTGGTGGTAATGGGTGGTTGAGGCAGCATTCCTAAAACTTTGTTAAAAATCAGCATTTTCGCTTCGGTTTCTGTCACCCGCTTCGAGGACTCCGGAACAATGTCAACCATTTGGAATTACACGATTTTCACGTCCCACCGGAATGGCAAAGAAAATGGTGCCGGTGCCAAACTGTTGCAAAAAATAGCGCAAAGTGCTGTGATTTCCCCCGCCATGTAATTTTCTCAAACTGCAAAGCGGCTTCCCTGCCCCCTCTCTTCTTAATTATGGATATGGTGGTTCAGAAACAGAAATGAACACCGTTTGCTTCGATCCAGCCCCCTCCTCCTCACGCTCCTCTTTCCACACCAGGAGAGCAGCATCAAAAGACCAAAAGTATTTTGCGAGGCCTGCACGGTATCAACACTTAAAAGAAAGAAAGAAAGCAGCCCTGTCCAATTTGAAACAGAGCCGAGGCTTCCCCTTTTCAACAAAGGGACGCCACTAACTCTGCAATGCTTGAGACATTTGAACCCGGTGACTGAAGGGCCATTGGGAAGCGTCAGGAGGACAAGGGGAAGATAGCCTGGAAGATTCAGATGTGATGGAGTCCCCTTCTCTTCTGAAAAGAGGTAATGGACGTGGATCAGACCTGGCCAGTGTGGAGAGACACAAGAACAATGGGGAGCAAGAAACAGCGACAGATAGATTCACTCCACACAGGCAGCAGAGATGCAGAATTATTCCAAAAACACAACGCAAGAGGCCATCAACATAGAGCGCCCATGCTGTGCTTGGTTCTTGGGTAAATTTTGCCAAGACCAGTCCAGGATGGAGTTAGATGTACCTCCAGCCCTAGCCCCAGAGAACCAGGGTCAGAAGACGTGTTCTCACTTGGCTACATTGGGTGATCTTTCCATTTTACAGATGGGCAACCGAGGCGTGGAGCAACGTAACCAGAAAAAAATCACAGCTGAACAAAGAGGCGTTTCTGCCTGGCCACATCTGGAGAGAAAGCAAGGCACTAGCTGGATGGGGAAGGGGGTAAGCCAGCAGGGGCCTCCTTGTGATAGTCTTCCTACTTAAGCCTCTTCCAAGCTTCTCCAGTCTAGCCGTGCCCAGCGAATGCTCGCCCAACTGTTTGGAGCCGTTTGCACAAAAAGAAATTTGCCAAAACAGACATTTGCTTTCTTGAACCATTTCTCCTTTCCATCGACACACTCTAGGACAACTGCTATCCCGGCTACCGGAGGAAGGGCAGGATATAAATTTAAGAAATAAATTAAATTCAGTTCTCAAATGGGCCGACTGATTATTATTATTAAACTATCTGGGCAAGCTGCAGGGAGATTTTCCTCCTCCGGGAGGCTTTCTCAAATCACAGGGTTCCGCTGCCTCCTCTTTTCAGATGGCGTGTCAACACAGCTGCCCTCTCCTCTGGAATGTAAGCTAATATTGTTGTCAACCTAGAACATAAGGGCTAACTTCCTCCGTGTGTAGCTTCCCCCATAAACACACACACACACACACAAGCGAACAAGCGTCCCGAGTCTCAGATCAGCCCAACGTTTTGCGTGCACGCTCTGCGCACACAGACTCCCTCTTGCAGCCAGACAGAAAGAATGGCTCTGCAAACAAGGAACGCAGGTGATGCTCAGCACACACATTACAGCCGCATTATATGCATGGCTTGTTGACGGAGATTCAAAAAGGGCTTTTCTCCGCCTGGACGGGATAATTAGCCACCTTACGGAAAACTAGCTCCATTAACTCGCTATCTGCAAGCAATCTGGTCTCCAAAAGAACCTCTCTTTGCATTGCTTTTCAAAACCTAGTCAAGTCCTCCGCAATGTGCTTCTTCGCACCCAGTCATCTATTGTGGCAACAGAAAGACAGTTACAGTGGTTTACAGTCAACAACAGAGACCAAAGCACCCAATTTCTACAAACTTGGGTGTTTATTTATTATCATTATTGCAATTCTCAAAATGCTGCAGCGCTGTCCAAAACCCAAATATTAACCACCTCTGCCCCAGTTAATGGAATGGGAGGGAGGGGAGGCGAAAAGAAAGCTTCCTAAAGCCTCCCAGACTTTCTCCCTGGAAGGAAGGGAGAGAGAGAAATGTTAGCAAAGACCTGCAATGTCTCCTTACCTCACTATACTGGGACTGGGCATTATTCTCAAGGTACAACATGTTAGCAGTGAGGTTAAGCAGCGCTGCTGTCCTCTCCTCGGGCTCCAGGGTGCTGTTCCTTTCCACCAGTTACCCCCCACCCCCAATAAGACCCTCTGGGGTAACGTGGGCGATCCCGCTTGCAAGCTGTCAGGACAAGAGTGTGTGCTCCTCTACATAATTTAAGGTTGCCTTATATACCTCTCCGGGCAAGGAGGGGGGTGTGGGTGTGGGGCGGGCCTGCTTGGCTGTACCTGTCAAAATGTTGCGCACCTGGGCTGCTCCACTCCAATGGAGGGAGGCCTCTCCCAGCTCATTAAGTGGCGAAGGAATCCTTATCACCAATCTCTAAAAAGGAAAGGAGGAGAAGAAGAGGGGACAGAGGGAGAGGGAGGGAGGGAGGGAGACAGAGAAAGAGGGAGCACGCCAGACAGAGGGCGGGATGTAAAAAGAGCTTGGAAGGGACGGAGAGGCTTTTCCTGGTCACTTCTTGCAATGTTTGGAGGGGAAAAAGCAGGCAGAGAAGCAACAGCATCCCAACAACTTTCTTAAACTTCATACAAAACAAATTGCGCCTAATGTTCAGTATTTATTTTTGCAAAATGCTCCAACCAAGCCGCACAACTCGTTTAAGGCAAGAGTGGGTCGCAAATCTAGCATCTGCCATTCCCATTTTCCTGGTTAGACCATAAGAACATAAAAAGAGCCTGCAGGATCAGGCCAACGGCCTGTCTAGTCCAGCATCCTGTTCTCCCAGGGACCAACCGGATGCCCATTATGGTAAAGCAGCAAAGCAGAATTCAAGCACTAGAGCAATATTCTCCCCTCCTGGGGTCTTCAGCAATGAAGACTTCTGCTTGTTCCATGCTTTAGAAAAAGTGGGTTGCAGTGATTTTGCCCTCGCCCTGCTTTTCCCCAGAAAACTGCTCTTTAGTGGTAAATCGGGACAAATGGCAATTTTCAGTACATCCCGAATGCTGCTTGCTCCAATTCAGCGCTTTCCCAGTGGAAATGGAGACGGGGATAAGAACCAAGAGTCAGAGAAAAAGCCTTGTTCAAAAGTTATTTACCCATAGTTATTTGCTGCGGCAGCTAAAAGAACCTCCAGTGTCAGGAGCAATATACGTTTGGCACCAGTTCCTGGGAGGTGGGGTGCACAAGTACGGAGGGGCAGGTGTTGCTTTCTCTGTGGTCTCTAGCCGCTGTGGCCTTCAGTTGGGGGTCCAGTCAAATCCAGAGTCCTGTTGGAAACAGCGGACGCCAAGCAAGGATCTCTATGTTATGCCAGACAGCAGAGGAGAGGCTGATTTCAACTCTCATTTCTCTGACTGAAGTATAACTCATAATGGGTCCTCAGGGTTTGGAAGGTAGGAGACAAGCGAGGGAGGGTTTATTTACTCCTGGGAAGGGGAACTGGGTGCTGCACAGCACAGTTCAGTTTGGAACAGAGAAATCCAGAAGGACTGGGATGGGCACCACACACAAGCTTTCGGATGACACACGATTCTTCACTAAGTGAAACAGAATAGTTGGCTCTTTGGGGTAGTGCTCTACAACCCTTACAGCTCATAAGAATAAGAATAGTGGCCATTTAAATATATATTGGAATTTCCCCACACTTCCTTTCCTCCCGGTGAAGAGATCTGTGTTAATACGAAACTGACTCGCATCATTACAAGTCTGCAAGGAGACCAACGTCCCTGACAAGAGACATCTCTCGTATCCCTAGATTATTGCACTGACGCATCAGACGTAATAATAATATGCGCAGGTACACATTTCATTAAATGCATTTCATCAACTATGAGCGTTAGTAAGAGTTGGTGCAGCCGACTCATTAAGATGATGAGCAACAGGCCAGGAATTCCCCCAGATCTCACCTCTGACGTGAACTCTGCACTTGGCCTGAGGAAAGTCACCTCTCAGACTCAGCTGCAAGATGGAGGAAAATACTGGCAGACTTTATTGGGCTGTTGTAAAGATTACAGCAAAAAAAGAAATAATAATTCTGTCTGGAATATCACTCAGAGACTGCTGTAACAAACATGCTTTGAGAGCCAGTGTGGTGCAATGGTTAGAGTGTTGGACTATGGTCTGGGAGACTAGGATTCAAATCCTCGTTTGGCCAAGAAGCTCGCTGGGTAACCCTGGGCCTGTCAGGTCCTCTCCGCCTAACCTACCCCACAGGGTTGTTGTGAGGGTTAAATGATGAGGGCAGGGCAAGATTTAGGTTTGATGAGGCCCTCAGCTCCTGAAGGTAATGGGGCCCTTTATATGTCCAGCTGTCCTTTATCAACAACAAACTGTTGCTGTTTTTTGTGTTGAATACATGCTAAGGTAAAGGTAAAGGTACCCCTGACCATCAGGTCCAGTCGTGACCGACTCTGGGGTTGCGGCGCTCATCTCGCTTTATTGGCCGAGGGAGCCGGCGTACAGCTTCCGGGTCATGTGGCCAGCATGACTAAGACGCTTCTGGCGAACCAGAGCAGTGCATGGAAACGTCGTTTACCTTCCCGCCGGAGAGCGGTCCCTATTTATCTACTTGCACTTTGAGGTGCTTTCAAACTGCTAGGTGGGCAGCAGCAGGGACCGAACAACAGGAGCTCACCCCGTCGCGGGGATTCGAACCACCGACCTTCTGATCAGCAAGTCCTAGGCTCTGTGGTTTAACCCACAGCGCCACCCGCATCCCCTGAATACATGCTAGATGGTCATTTATGGACCTAACAGGTATCTAAAGCCATTTGCACATAACAAAATATGTATTTTATCAAAGTAATTGTTGAACTGAAATACAATTAAGAAGAAGTCTATTAATAGTGAAAAACAATTAAGAAGAAGTATATTAATAGTGAAATAATTATTAAGCTCTAACTTAAAATGATTTTATATTCATAACAAACTTAATAATGCAAACACATTGGCATTTGGCAATAGCAAAAGTTTAGAAACACAATTTACAGAGACTCAGAATTTGGGGGTGGGCAAGAGAGTGGGGCCCTAAAATATAGCTTGTTTAGCTTGTACATAAATCTGGCACTGGATGAGGGGCAGACTCAAGGACACCTGAGGCTGGATCCAGAATCAAAGAAATCTGCTATACATCTTCCACCTGGAGATCCCACTGAGAACTGAACCTCCACCTTCCACAGGCAAAGCAACCTCTCTGGCACTGAGCTTTGGTCCTTTTCTGCTATGGCGAAGCCATCTCATCTCCCTGAGCACCCCTAGGATTGGAAGCCAGGAGCCCCTGCGCCCTAACTCAAACTCAGAGCCCCCAGGTAAACCCTCCTTCGTTGGAGTTTACGTAGCTGAGGTTGAGATGGCCACCTGTCAGAGATTTTGGACTAGATGACCCCGGAGGGGGGGTCTCTTCCAGCGCTACCATCTTTGATTCTAAACGGCCTTGGCCCAGTATACCTGAAGGAGCGTCTACACCCCCCATCATTCTGCCCGGACACTGAGGTCCAGCTCCGAGGACCTTCTGGAGGTTCCCTCACTCTGAGAAGCCAAGTTACAGGGAACCAGGCAGAGGGCCTTCTCAGTAGTGGCACCCGCCCTGTGGAATGCCCTCGCACCAGATGTCAAAGAGAAGAACAACTACCAGACTTTTAGAAGACATCTGAAGGCAGCCCTGTTTAGGGAAGCTTTTAATGTTTAATAGGTTATTGTATTTTAGTGTTTTGTTGGAAGCTGCCCAGAGTGGCTAGGGGGACCCAGCCAGATGGGTGGGGTATAAATAAATTATGATGATGATGATTTGATTCTAAGCCAGAGATCTTGGATCTGCTCGGAGGTGGAGCTAGCTGCTCTGGCACCAGGAGCAGCACCCATGATGTGCACCCAGGGGCAGGGCTAGCCGTCGGCGGGGGCAGGTCCAGCGTTCCAGGGGGCGGGGGCAATGTCACCCCCCTCAGGGATGACACCCAGGGCGGGCAGCACCCACCACACCCTCCCTCCCTCCGCCAGTGGATCTGCTTCTTCTTCAGGGCAGATCTATTTAAGTGGTCATTATATACACCTTCCTCACAGCAGGGAGCCCTTGGCAGTGAAGGGTGACGAGGGGGGGGTGCGCAGTTGAATAACCCCTCTTTCTCTCTGTCAGAAGTTGGGGAATCCAGAAACAGAGAGGAGCAGGGAGACACCCTTGTCTACATAAACTTTAGATTTGCAAGTCATATACAGTCATATTTCGGGTTACAGACACTTCAGGTTGCGGGTTTTTGGGTTACAGACTGCTGAAACCCGGAAGTACCAGAACAGGTTACTTCCGGGTTTCAGCGGTCGCACATGCACAGAAGCCCTAAATCACACTTTGCGAATGTGCAGAAGCGCAGAAGTGCAACCCGCGCATGGGTAGACGTGCCGCTGCGGGTTGCAAACTCTGCGGGTTGTGAACGTGCCTCCCGCATGGATTACGTTCGCAACCCTAGCATCCACTGTATGGCCTTTCTTTTTAAGAAAAGAAAAGAAAAGAAAAAAGAGAAAAGAAAAGAAAAGAAAAGACTTTTCTCTCACACAGCCCATGCACACCAAATGTCTGCAAACCATCAAGGTAGTTCTATATTCAAAACAAGAAGTTCAACCCATAATAACTCTCAGCCCCCCTGATTTCAGGATCACAAGCAATGCTGAATTTCACCCCAGGGCTAAAGCATACCCAGAGGAATACATTTCCAAGACAAAAAAAAAGCAGCAGCAAACTCTCTCTCTCTAAAATAGACGGGCAATGCTGGCTTCCCACTGCAGGAAAGGCACTCTGCACGTGCTCTAAGACACACCGTAAGACCCCTGCTGCTGGGGCCGCCCAGTATGGCTTCCTGTTCTCGCGGTGGCCAGCCAGAGGCCTTTGTGGGAAGAATGCAAGCAAAAGATCAGCAGCACCTGGTGGTCCTTGTCTGAGCAGCCGAAGGTTTAGCCCCAGAACTGAATAGCAAGCTTTGGCTGCAAGGACTAATAACCCCCCGGGGCAAGAAGATCTGCCTTCCTTTCATGTCTGCAGAGAAGTCACTCATCCTGAGCCCTTGGGGTAGGTCAGGATACCATAAAGCCAAACCACACAGTGTAGGAAGGTTACAGGAAGGAGCTTCTGCTAGGGATTGATTTTTCAAAACAACAAAGAAAATATTTTTTTCCATCAGGAAGAGCAGCTTTGGGCAGCATCCATTCTC